ACGTAACATTTATTATTGTGTGCTCTATGCTTTTAGACGTAAAAAACAAAGATTTTTTTATAAACCATTTTTAGTGGAGGAAAAGAAAATAGAGTTTAAATCTAATCCTTTACCTCCCACATTTACATAACAGAATACCATAAGTATTCCTATAGGCCTACCCTCAAATGTAAGCTATTTTTGTACTTCTTAAATGTGTATTTGTTCTAATAAGGGGGGGGGGGCGTTCATAAATGACGTCACACTTCAAGGGGGAGGGATATTCGTAATTTTATTACGAGAGGGGGGGGGGAGGGGGGGGGGGGAAGCGGTCAGATCGTATGACGTCACACTTTTTGCTTTTAAAAAAAAAATAAAGTTAGAAACTGCATTTTTGTCGTTGTTACGAATTTTAGAAAATTGTTTTTAAAGATTTTTATAGAAACTGATTTATATACTCTATGTTGATAGAGCTTATATAAATATATATATATATATATATATAATATATATATATATATATATATATATATATATAATATATATAATATATATATATACGCGCGCTCCCTACCACCCCCACCCCTACATGGTCTGGTGAACTGTGGTTCACGCTAAATGTTTACAATCGTAGAGCCGGGTTTAGTGACGGATATTGGGGGCAGATAATGTAGTTTGAAACGATTTTTAAACTTAGGCGAGGTAACTAAGAGGAGTTTGCTTTCAATGGGGGTGGTGGGTGATGGGGGGATAGGTGTTGCTGTTGGGGGAAAGGAGGGGGGTATCGTCCTTAACGAGCTACTGATAGTGTTTTAAAGCAAATATATTCAGTGGCAGCATTGGTACTGTCGAATTCACAAATTATGAATTACTGAAAAGTAGAAAATAAAACAACTAAATATAGCGGCGTATGATACGCCGCGGGGTCGGCTCGTAAAATATTAAAAAAAAGAAACTGATATTTTAAAAAAATTAAACTGCAATTTCATTGGTGGGGCTGGGGGGGGGGGTTGCAGGCCTGAGGTGTGACGTCCATTTTAGGGAGGGGGGTTCTGGCTATTTGTGACTATGTGTGACAACGGGGGGGGGGGGCGTAAAATCGCCCAAAGTGCGTGGAGTCATTTATGAATGCCACAAAAAAAAAACTCAAGGTTTGAACGTCGTCTTTTAATTTTAGTTTAAAAAAAAATCTTTTATAATATGTGGTAATATATTTCACGCAGTTTAATATGCGTTTTAGTCTGTATGTAGCATACATCAGCTTTATCATATTGCATTAATAATAACAGAGAAAAACAAAATCTTTCAAGATGGCGTCTCATCGTGGTCACTTCCGGCCCCTAATCATTATTAGCCGCCTGAGAGCCGTCTAGTAGTTCGCGCTACAGCATTCCCCCGCCCTCTCTCCCGCCCTTTATCCTCCATCTTTCTCTAGTCTCTTCACGTCTATTAGAGCAACCGTTTTTGGTCAATCTAAGAACCGAGAACAATGTAACGGTATTTGCCATAATCAGCCCAGCGTCTCTCAGCGGACGGCGCTAGTGTTTGCAGCGGAAGGCAATCTTGTCTGTTTCTGTAAGGTGTGATGAGGCTTGGTCAAAGTCCATTGTTAGCTTGTTACTTGCCACAATGGTGGAAGGCGCGGACTAATTGGGGCGCTGGGACCAATCTAAAAGTACCGTCTTGTGTTGAGTAGATTTCGGTACCGGGCACAGCTTGATCCATGCGGCCATTTTGAGGGGTGACTTCTGCAAGCAGGGGTAGGGGTCAAAGGTCGCATGTTGTTGTTGAGGAAAAGGTCGTTTGTATTGTTAGACGTTTGTTACCGGTGGTAAAAAAAAATGGACTACAAGTAAATATCGTTGAATTCCGGTTAGTCAAAGCTGTTGCAATGAACGAAATTTGTTCAAGAAAATTATTTTATTGTATTCAGACAAACATCGAACTAGTTAAGCTGGGTAAATTCTAGGTTCATGTGGACAGTGTGAGAGGGGGGAGGGGGGCGCTTTATTACGTCTAGACTTAACAATACTGTCTGTATACTAACTGCAAAAGTCCCGAGCAGTGTTTCTTTCAGACTTTTTTTCTCCTGGGGGTGGGGGGGGGGGGGGGAAGCGGACTTAGTTTTCCGGGGGGGGGGTGGGGCGGACACTGGTTAAAGTATATATTTTCTATATAAATTCCATTTCATTCGGGGGGCGGTAGGCGAGATGCCTGGAAGAAACTCTGGTCCCGAGTTCGGACCCAGGGCAGATGAGGCTCTTAGCTGGGGACAGCGGCCCCAAAACTCAAGCAGTTAAAAAGTTCCTTGGAAATCTCTTGTAATGTAAAAATAAGATTCCTCTAAATTAAGTTGTTTAAAAAACTTCCTTTAATATATTTAAGTGTAAAAAAAACGAAAGAAAAATAACCGAAAATGTTTTTTAAAAGTTTCAGTAAAACCATGATAAGTGTAAAAAAAATACCAGTAAAATAACAATAAGCACACAATAAGATTTCTTGTTAAACCATTTCGTGTAAAAAAAAAGTTCCCTTAAAACCAACCACTTGAAATTTAGAAAAAAAATACCAGTAAAAAATAACATTACGTGTAAAAAAAAAATTCCCGTAAAACCACTTGAAGTGTTGAAAAAGATTTTTTTTTTTAAAATCCCTTGTTGAAAAAAAAATGTTACATAACAGCATTAACCATCTATTCATCGACGCAAATCAGCGGAGTGATCTCGTCCTAATCAGGCCCGCGCGAGCAAATTAAATTGAACCCTGCTAACGAACCCCGGCTAAACCAATCAGAAACCTGCTGGTCTAACTAGACCCTCACAGCCTCTCGGTTTAAACACGGCAGCAGGGGGGGGGGGACAGTTGGGGGGGGGGGGGGCAGAGATTTCGTCTGGGTGGAGGGTTATCGTGACCAGTAGGGGGTCGAGGAGGTAGCGAGTGCGTCACGCAAGATGATGTTGAGAGCGCACTTTAGATTAAACGGTCGAAATGGGTTGAACAGGATTTACACACGCGAAGACTTTACCACATTACGCTGAGTGTCGTTTTTAGTTTTTATTCGAGAAAAAAAATGTTTTTGTAAAGCGACTGTGAAATCAGTGCTACTCTACTTTATCTGCGCTATGGACCGTCGGGCCCATAATCTACTGATAATACAGCACAAATAACTTTGTTATAAATAACTTTAATAATGTACATAACCATTTTTCTTCGTTCACACTGTAACATTGGAGGGATTTCCTCCACCACTTGGAGTTGGCAAGCAAACGCTCCCCCACCCGACCATGTCGTCCCATGATGAGACAGACATAAATAAAGGGGGGTAGGACAAAAGGCCGACATCTAAAAGGCCGACAAGACAAAAGGCCGACACGGACAATAGACCAACATGGACAAAAGGCCGACAGCCAAAAGGCCGACAGGACATAAGGCCAACAAACCATTTATTCCTAAATAGTGTGTGTGACGACAGGCCAACCAATGGCGGATTCCCACAGTAAAACAAAACCAAATAAGAAAAACAATCATTGTGTTTTGTGTTGAAAATGGTGGCAATACTGGGTGGGCTGCTTCTTTAAAAAGACGTAACTCGATCGTTTGGAAAAGTTACTGTATTGTCATTATGTTGTGAAAACGAAATTACTGATCATGCGACGTTCATGTTAATTTAATCGTATGATACCGCATCAATCGTAAAATTACAGATTTAATTAGTTGTGTAAAGACGTGTCAGCGTTTGGAATACACGGAACTTGGGACCTACTAACTGCCCGGGGCTGGGGCTAGAATGACAGTATCCAGAGTTTCTTCCAGGCATCTCTTCGGGGGGGGGGGGAGGGGAATTTTTACCGCCCCCCCCCCCCAGAACGAAATTAAATTTATATAATTTATATAGAAAATATATACTTTTAACAGTGTCCGCCCCCGCGAAAAAAGTCTACCGCCCCCCCCCCCCCGAAAATTTCAAGTGCCCCCCCCCCCCCCCCCGGAGAAAAGTCTGGAAGAAACACTGACAGTATCTCTCAATTGGTGATGCACTCGATGCCATCAGCAAATTTATATCCAGCTCGGCTGGATACTTTTCGCGATCTAGCCCACGATTTAGGACTTGTGTTATAATAGTTCGTAGCATCTTACACCGATTCTGAATAGCTGGGGTGTGTTGTTTTTCTTCGTGAAGCTAATAATATGACGCTATTTTGGTCGTAAATTGCGTTTAGTTGTTGAATGTGAGTTTCCTTAACGTCTAAATCCCCGCAGATCCACAATAATGCATTATTTTCTCTGAGAATTATCCTGCTTATTTTTATCGTGCTAGAATATCAACTATAGTCTGACAGAGGGGAACTTTCTGGTAATGTTGCTTGTTGGTTAACGGATAGTGTGTCCAGTTTTTCTTTACATTTCAGCATTAGTAATTTTTTTAGGTCATTGATATGTTCAATATGCGGCAGAGGTATCGGTTAATGAAAGTCTGAAGTTTATTATTATTAGCACAGCTCCAAAGACTGATATTTATTTAAAACTGTGTATAAGTTATTTCCCATCATATTATTGTGTGTATCGCAGCAATCCCCGTCACAGTTTTCACCGTAATTGTTTTTATACAACCCAAACACACACAAAACAAAAGTTTAAAAATAGTAGTAATTTTATTGTAACATCAACAAGTAACAGCAGTGTATTAAATCAATCTGTAAAATATGAACACAACATGGCTCTAAAAGTAGAGGGAAATATATGGGGAGTATAGAGGCAGTGGTAAACATTCTCCACCCACACCAAGACCAACTCACACAAGTATGTACATCATTTGATTCAAGGATTATGTAAAACTATAGGACTCTATGTTGTCACTAACCACTGCATGTGACTACTGACCACTATTGAGTAAAACAATAGCCATGTTAAACCCATCAAGCAATTGTCACTTTAATCAGCAAGCAAAATTTAGCAGGTAAAAGCTTGTATTTAGGGCACCCCCCCCACCCCCCCCCCCCCCCCCCCCCCCCCATTAAATACAAACATAATATACAAAAATCATTAAAGCTAGACATTTTGGCTAAGAAGTTCAACCAAAAAAATATTGGATTAAAACCAGACAAGTTTCATTTGGTTTGACTTGAATACATTGACTGATACAATCACAGCTAGTATCACTGGGGTGTAGGTTTAGCCCGTTTTAAAACTATAACAAAGTCATGCAATGAACGAACTCAACTAGTAGAGCAAGCTGTAGCTAAGTAGTACATGATCATTGAACAACACAAAGTTGGTCATGGTACAAAAACATTGTCTTGCATGTCTAAACAGTTTGTATTAAATTGGTTAGCTTAAAAAAAGTTACCCAGAACTTTGTGGTTCATGGAGTATAGGAAGTAGAGTGCAGTGCACCTGTTTCTGTGACCTTAGCATATGAAGGGATAGTGTGGTCAGCAATATGCCAGCCGTATTTGCTTTCCTTAACGCGAGTCAGATACCCATCAGAGCTGGGTGAAATCTGGGACGTCCTCCTAAAGATTTCAGCCAAGGTTCCGAAATCAAGTCTACCCTCTACCAACTGACCACACTATCCCATGGTTAGTCATAAAAATTATTTAATTTTACCAAAATATTTTTACATTTTAAACTAACAGGTCAAATGTGAAGAATATTTTCGTAAAACATTTGCTCAGGAAGATGAACAAAAATCACTTCTTTTTATACAAGTCCAAACTTAAACTTTGGGTAAATAGTTGAAGTCTGTGGCTACAAATATGGCTGCCAGCCTGCAAACAATTTGCAAAGGTTTCTGGGATCACTTGCCATTTGGATGAGGAAATTGACCTGGCCAGATACACTCAGCTGTGCATTGCCCTCTTGTCCGTTTAACTTCTGCTTCAGACGCAGGAGAGTTCTCTCTGCCAGTTTGTTCTGGTCTTTGGAATCTGGAGAATAAAAGATAGTGGTTAAAGAAAAATTTCAGAGAAAATATATCAGAAGAAATGAGATTATATTTGTCGCTTTGATGTAATTTATAATCTTGTTATCATAAACATAGACCAAATTTTTAAAAATAAAATACTCCTACAATATTTTAGAGAGTAGAAAAAGCTTGTCAAATTAAAATAGACATTTCAGATTTAATTAGAAGCTTCTATTATTTTAGTGAAGCATACAAAAAACATGATTTCTTAAAAATAATCAACGAAATAAAGTTTTATTTTGAATTTTATATTGAACTTCGCAAATCTTATCTGGCAACCTGCATATTAAAGGGTTTGTTGACAAATACAGCAAGCAATTACAAATTTATATCTGCTTGTCCTACATTTGAAATAACTTTGGTGGTTTAAAAATACTGTTGGTCTTAGTTGTGTTTCTTAAATTTCACCTTATCCATTGTATAAGTTAAAGTAAGTACATCATTATCAACATGATAAAAATTCAACAGACCAAAAAAAATATAAAAAAATCGTCCCTTTTTACCTGATGCTTTGGTTCCAAGGTCTCCGCCTGCCAGTCCTAGAGTGGCTGGAGGCTGACCACTAGCAGGTATTTGACCACTGGATGGCACCTGAAAACTGGCAGCCATGGACTGTTCCATAATGTCTTGGTTTGCCTGCTCACGTTTCCTCTGAGCAAAGAGACAAAACAAATACAATTAAGAAAGGGACGTAATTATCTGATTATTTCCCTTGTTATGGGAACACTGTTTATCCATCAAATTCTCTCTCCTGTAGATAAATAAAGTAAAAAAAAAGTAGTTCCCTTTTCAAACCTGGCGGTCTATCGGGCAAGTGAAGTAGAGTTCACTTGTTTCTGTGACCTCAGCATATGAAGAGATAGTGTAGTCAGCACTATGCCCGGCTGCCTTTACTTTCCTTAACGTGAGTTAGGCACCCATCAGAGTTGGGTGGACTCAGGGAGTCTACTGATTTTATCCTGGATTCGAACTCGAGACTTACGGGTTAGCAGTCCAGCTTTCTACTGCTAGACCACTCCGTCCATTGTATATAATTAATCATATTAAATATATAGCCTATTTAACAAGTTTTTAAATAAAAAATAATTTTTTCTTAAATATAACATTAAATATAAAACCCTTAATTTCATAATTTATTGAGGGACCAACAATTTTATTATGCGTTTGATATCTAACGAAAGTTTGCAAGAGTTAAAAAGTAAAACCATTACACAGAAAACTAAAATTTTATAAGCAGATCACACAGGTGTGTAGACCTAGTCTCACCTGAATGGTCAGCGCCTGCTGGGGTGTTAGTGTCCAGTGTGACAGTGGGTCATGCAGCAAAACTTGGACAATGGTCATCAGAGACTCACTGTTGGTCTTCATCACATGCATGGTCTGCTCACAACACCTGGAAGTATAGCGGAACATGGCTCAACAACTGCTGGGTGAGTAGGGAAACTGGATGTTTTATCTAAGAGACGCAATATGACTGGGTGAGTGGGGAAACTGGGTGTCTGATGTAAGAAACACAATATGACTGAGGTGAAAAAAATTAGAGTCTGACCTTCTAAAGACACCTTCAACCCCTGTGACCCCCATCCCATCCACTATGTCCCTGGTTAATCTAAACGGAACAGTCTCTGGGGTAGGAAGGATGTGTCCCATGTCAAAGGCAATTCCTGAAAAAAAAAATTCAAGATTACAATGTTTTTTTTTAAATGCAATCTGGCATATTGTTTCAGAATAATAATGTAAAAAAATCTGGCATATTAAATATCGAATTGATTAAAAGTTTAAAAATTTTTTCGCAACTTTGTATTTTTAACTTAAGAGACCAAAGGAAATAGAAAGAAAATTAATCCTTACCCAGGTCGATATGGACCAACTCTGCAGTTTGTTTGTCAATGAGAATATTCATCAGATGGCGGTCACCCAGCCCTAGTATGTAGCCCACTAGAAAAAAAAAGACAGATGTGTCACAATGGCAATTTGTGGACAAGTATACACAAAATAAAGGATCACTGCAGAGCCTGTATATGCTAAACTAAAGGTGAAAGGTTTTCAATCAGAAAATTAATCTATGAAAATAAAAATTCTTTAATAATAATAAATAATATTAACATGCAAATTGAACAATTCTGAAATGTGTACATGCAAATTAAAGTTTAACTGAACAAATAAACAGAAAAAAGAATAGTGAATGAATGATGGCTGCAAAAACAAAGTTAAGTTTACCCATATAAATAAAAAATGTGAAGTATGACCACAAGAATTGAACTCACCAATAGAAGTGGTAGCAACACTACGTGTGTAGATCAGACGTTTCTCAAACCAAGTTGAAGGCTCCATGAAATTCTCCATGAAGAAATACCTGAAGACTGGTTTAAAGTTGGCACAGATCTCCTGATAGGCCTTAAACCTTTTGTCTGGCTCATTGCCAGAATTCTGAAAAGTTCAACAATAGTAAAAAACAGTTTTATTTTATTTCACTATGCTTTTCCTTGTCTAAAGTTTGTTATCTAGTTTTCTTTGCAGTTTAGATAACACTAAGGGGTCATCCATAAATGACGTCACACTCGTAGGGGGGAGGGGGGGTCCGTAATTTTGTGACGATGTGTGATGAGAGGGGGGGGGGGTTTAGATGTTGCGACGTCACATTTTTGCATCATAAAAAAGCAATGTTAGAAAACGAATTTGAGCCGTTATTTCGCATTTTAGATAACTGTTTTAATAAATTGTAATAGTTTAGACAAGATTTTGGAAAAATATCGATGTTTAAAAAAAATTCAACTGCAATTTTGAGGGGGGCTGTAGGTTGAGGTGTGACGTCATTTTAGGGGGGGGGGGGGGTCTGGCTTTTTGTGACGACGTTTGATGGAGGGGAGGGGGGAGGTAAAAATCGTCAAAAAAAGCGTGACATCATTTATGGATGACCCCTAATCTGATGATTGTGTAGCAAAGGATAAAAACTTGAAAACAGTGAAGATGACTAAGGGCCAATCTGACAGAGGCGAAGTGTAAATTCTGATCTAACAAATTTTTCAGGAATTCAAATTTTTTTCTTGCTAGCATTTGATGGTTTTTTTTCCCAAGTTTGTAGTCCAATTCAAGAATAAATTAATTACATTAAGATCAAAATACTTTACAGATATATCCTTTTTAAAAAAAATTTAAATTTTGTCTCAATTTAAAGGGTGAGTGTTTATTTAAATATACTTTTTGATGATTCTTCATTTATATAGATAACTTTGTTTAAAAAGTTTTAAAAAATAGTTAACATTACATGTAGGTGGTTCCTGCAGTCCCTGGGGAGCCAGTCTTTAGGTCTGTACATGGTGTGGGCGCCAGGTGAGCGGGTTGTTCCTATCAAGTATTCCCCCAGTGGTTGTGTCCCCTCACACCACTGAAGCAGCCCACACTTCTGGCTCAGTGGAATCACCTGTAGAACAAACACATTTTTTAAATTTAAAAAAAAAAAAACAGCTTATTTTTTCCACAATAAAATATCCTAAGTAAGGTTAGGAAATGTGGTGTCAGCCAAAAAAAGCACATGTCTCAGAATTAATAAAGTATTTTAATTAAAGCTATGAAATTTACTAAAATGACAAAAACTGGAAAGATAAGAGAGTGAAAGAATTTGTTTTCCCAAATTCTGACATTCTCAGCATAGTATGTCCTAGGTTTTATAACATTGAATTAATATTTTATTATTATAATTTAAAACCAAAACATTACAATGACATGTGGAACCCCCACCTTGTATGTCCTGATGTTCAGCTGTCTCTGCCTGGTCTCTGGTGCCCCTGCCAGCAGCTGGTTGACCAGGGAGAAAACCTGCTGCATCACCGCATCTTGTCGCAGGTCATCCTGACCCTAGGAAAGAAACCACACCAGTGAATAATCCAACATTTATATAAACAATGTAGCAGGTCATCCTGACCCTAGGAAAGAAACCACACCAGTGAATAATCCAACATTTATATAAACAATATAGCAGCAGGTCATCCTGACCCTGGTGAGGAAAATACAAAGGTAAATAGGCTGGTATTTATGTTAACAATGTAGCAGGTCGCACTGACCCTGGACGAGGAAAACACAAAGGTAAATAGGCCAGTATTAATGTTAACAATGTAGCAGGTCACACTGACCCTGATGAGGAAAACACAAAGGGGAATAGCAGCATAATATATTAACAATGAAGCAGGTATACTGAACCTAGGGAAGAAACCATAACAGTAAATTTATATAAATCTTTTCTTATTCCAAAAACACAGTTTAAATAAATTAATTATATAATGTAAATAAAACTGCAAGGACCTGTTACATTGGTAAAGTACAATGCACTTTCTGCTTATAATTTCATACAAACAATAACATTTTATATATCATATTTATATTATATTTGACAAACTCAATTCTTCAGGTGAAAATTGCAGGTTATGCTAATATTTCCTTAACAAACTGGTTTAAATTACATTTAAGGCTAATACGTTTTCCTAGAGCAACAGGTAAAGCCTAGATTACACAATGCCATATTTACCTTGAAAAGCTGCGTCCTCAGGTGCCCATCAGAGCCCAGACATTTGATCACCTGGGGTAAGTTGATTCCCCCAACAGTTTCATATTTTTTATCAAATCTTACAGGTAAAACCTACATTAAACAACAACATAATTACCTTGACAAGTTGCGTCCTCAGGTGCCCATCAGAGCCCAGACATTTGATCACCTTGGGTAAGTTGATTCCCCCAACAGTTTCATATTTTTTATCAAATCTTACAGGTGAAACAAGGCTGGTGTAGGCTCCTGATGGGTCAACCTTCAATAAAATTGTAAACCAATCAACTCATAAAATTTTAAACCAATCAACTAAAACAGTGAAGAAGTGTCACAAATATAAAAATTATTCTATAAAATTATAAAAGTTGTAAATATACACTTAAAAATATAAGGTATCAAAAAATATTTTTTAATCCTGTGTAATGAACTACTTAAATATAATATGTCAAATATAATTTACTCTGTACTAAAATATACAAAAGCTATGTTTTGGTAGCACTTACATCTAGCTCAACAGAAGGCAACAGAACATTGTCCAGTTTATCTAGCTTTAGAATCTGAAGTGTTGGCAGTAGAGGCTGTGGACCTGGCAGAAGATACAGCACATTTTTTTAATATTTAAAAAAATTATTCAGGGGTTTAAAATATCACTCAACATTAAAAATTTGGATTTAAGTATCATCCAATATTACAAATTTTGATAAAATGTCATCCAACATTAAAACTTTTGGGTTAAAATATCATGTGACATTAAAAATTTGGTTTCAGATATTGTCCAATATTAAAATTTTGGTTTAAAATATTGACCAACAAAACAAAATGATGAATTACCTTTTTTGCTAGCAACTGGCCAGTTGGCTAGCTCAATGTAAGCTACACAGAGTTGTTCCATGTTTTGAATGATCGATCCAAGTTTTTTATTGCTCTGTGACAGTTTAACTAGGAGATCTTTAGCTGCTTGCACTCTTGCCTGTCAACAGAAAAAAGATGTCTAAAAGAAACTATGAACACAGCTAGTTTAGTTGTATCATTATGTGAAATTTGTTTTAAGTGTCTGTAATTTTTCTTATGTGTTTCAGGTAAGACCATCATTTTTTTATTGTACTACATTATAGGTAATAGATATAATAAGGTTAATAAACAAATTAGTGATCCAAATTTGCTTAAATTTTGGGCATATGATAATTTGAAAAATAAACATTTTTAAAACTTACAACATCAGATATTTCAGCTTCAGGTGTTGTCAGTTTGCTTCGTCTTTTGCTGGCAGTTTCTTTGGTTAAAAGCTCATCATCCTTGTGTGCATTAGCAAGGGCCATAATTATCCACAGAGCGTGATGGGGATGGTCCTCAGCTACTTTTTGCATCAGCTAATGTTGGTGGGTGGGGCAAAGAGAGAAGCACAATTAAAGCACTATTACAGCTAGAGTACCAAAATAATGAAAGACTGCTAATTACTACCAATCTACATTAAAAAAGTGGTAAAAATCTGGTTCCCATAACAGGTATGTTAGGGTAACCATGATAGTTTGAGTTTTTGTTTTTTGTTTTGAATGTATTTGAATTTCAATAAATTTTTCTCATAAACAAAAGCCATGTTTCTACTAAATATTATTTTAAAAGAAACTAAAAATAAAACTAAAAATATTACCCTCATCAAAGCCTGCTGAAACTTTGTGCTATCTGTGGAGTTCATCCTGGCAGCCAGTTGGTAGTAGAGGGGTAAAAACTTGTAAGTCTTAATGGCCTTTATGGAGCTCTTCAGTTTTAAGTAGCAAACAAATGTTCAAAATATTAGCTCTCCAGTTTAGAAAAATCAGATAATTCACAACTGTCTCATTTTCCTAAACAGAACTACAATTTAAGATAACACTTATAAGCCTGTAAGAAATTCCCATATTAAACAAAGCAAATAATATAATTCTTGTAAGCCTAAGTTAATTTCTTCATTTTTGAAAATAAACAAGATATAAAATTAAAGCTTTCAAGCGCTTTTGTTGAAAACTAATACAAAGCTAACTTTATAATGGAGCATGACATACAACTATTTTGTTTTAAACCTATTTTCTTAACTAACTTTGTCTATTGATCTTTCCGTTAATTAAACCAACCTGAATGAGATGGTTCACCAGGTCATTGCTGCTGTTCTCAAACCAAAGGGCCACAGCCCTTTCCTTAACTAACTTTGCCTATTGATCTTTTCGTTAATTAAACCAACCTGAATGAGATGGTTCACCAAGTCATTGCTGCTGTTCTCAAACCAAAGGGCCACAACCCTGAACACTGTCAGGTCATGTATGTCACCGTACTCCAGACATCGCAGGTAGTTTTCTATGGCCTGATGCAGAAAGCGGTTGCGATCTTCACCCAGGGACGTGATCTCTTGCTGGTCTATTTTAAAATTTCTCTCCACCTGGTTTAGGTATTTGCTGCAAGAAATGTATGTTTTTATAGATATGGAAATGTAAATCTACATGAAACATTTTCAATGATGATACAAATACTATAGAATTACCTGATTAAAAAGAGTTTCCATATATTTTTTAATATTTATATAACTAAGTGACAATATATAAAACAGTTTTAGCTTGATGCATCCTACCTAAAATGTATTTGTTTAATTATTTTTAAAAAAGGCACTTGGAGAACACTAATCGCTTACTTTTTTAAAAAATTAAAACTTAAATCTGCTCAATAAAGAAATAATTTTGGTTAGATAAAATTTAAATATCTAAAAAAAAAAAATCAAACTAGTTACCCATTTTTTAAAATTATCCAGGATTATTCAGGATTTGTTTAGTAAAGTAAATTGCTTTTCATTTACCATTTTAAATAAAATTTAAGAAATGTTAATGTACATGTGTTTTGATGAAGATAAAGGGACATTACCTCTTCTTCAGCTCCTCTCTAAATTCCCTGCATTCTTCCAGTTCTTTTTTTGTTCTTTGCAGCAGGTTTCTCTTCTCCTGGAAGGTCGGTGACCTCATGTAGTCTGCTACCTGCTGGTACTGACAGTCGGCAAACCTGGCCAGGGAAACAAAAGCATTGAGAGCTTTCTTGTCATAGCTGGTGGCTGCCATCTTGGCCTTCAGCATCAGGGTCACAGTCTGAAACATTTCAGTAATGTGGACAGTTTTATTCACTTTGGCAGCTAATTGTACTTATAATACATTTCTGCATTCTATTTTGATTTATAATTAAAATTTTTCAATACATTTAAAGGTTCTATAGATAATTTCTTATTTTTTAATTGTTTAATAAACTTTATTAAATGATAAATGATTTTTTTACATTTTACAGATAATCTATATATATATATAATTCTCTTCTTGGAGACGTTAGAAAACAAGCTGCAAGCTAATTGTTTACGGCTGCTTTCACGGGGGAAGGGGGGGTGTAGGGGGAAAGGGGGGGGGGGGGGGTAGTGTTTTAAAGCAAATATTTTCAGTGGCAGCATTGGTACTGTCGAATTCACAAATTATGAATTACTGAAAAGTAAAAATAAAACAACTAAACAGTGGCGTATGATACGCCGCGGGTCGGCTCGTTAATTATAAAAATTAACTTCAGGAAAAAAAATTATTTAATTAAAAGGATAATATAATTAAATTACAAAGAATAAAAATGTAATTGGCATTACTTATGGCAAAGTAAATTTTTAAAAAATTCGGGCCTATATCATACAATTATAGAAATGACTTACCTTTTCTAGATACTCAGTGATAATGACAGCGGGTGTCTCCAGTTTAGTTTCTGCCAGCCAGTTGCCATAGATACCAAGAGCTTCAGGATAAACAGAAATATCACTGGATGTGTGGGTGGAGTAAGCCTAAAGGATGGAACAGCAGTCATTAAAAGACATTTATAAAACACACAACATAATATAATTATTGATACACTCATTTACCATTAACCTACAAATTATTTGCAGTTCTATAATATTTGTCTACAATTGCAGCTCTTACCTGGCCAAGTTTACTGATAAGATTTTTCATGATATTTATTGCAATCTTTGGCTCTGATCTGGCCCAAAATAATTTGGCTTCTTCCACCTGCAGCTGATCCTGGTTGATCAAACTGGCAGTTCTGTTCAGGTCTTTTGTTTTCAATTCTCTTATAGCTCTTTCAGCAAGCTGTTGGAAATATCAGAAAAAATATGTTCTCATATTTATAGCTCAATTTTAAAATAAACTTTTTAATACCATTTAACAAAACTTCAGCTTTTGAAAATTATTATCATTTTCTTTTCTTCTTTAAAGTTGTTTGAACATTTTCAATATGTTTATTAAAAAATAATAATTAAATTTTGCATTAATATTTTTAAAAACTTTGTAAATTTAAAATTAACCTGAAATCTTTTGGACTTCCTCCCACTAACTGCCAAACTCCACAAAGCGCTAGTCTCCAATGTGTCACCCTGTTTGATTTTCTGTTTGGCCAGAATTTTCCCCACAGTGGCCAGCAAATGGAGTAATGGCTGTTCAAACATGAAGTCAACGGGTTTGGTGGTTATCAGAGCAGAAGTTACATCAGTGTAAAGTGAAATCCTGTTTCAAAAAATTTCATTTACAATGTTATTTTCAAGATCTGAACAAACATGAATAAAAAATACTAAACAAATTGTTAAAGATAATGTATTACTTTCTAATAATTTCCTGTCAACTGGATTTTTTTTTTTAAATATAAAAATATAAAGAATAGGGGGCCTATAGATCTAGAAACAAAATTTAATTTGAAAAAAAAAGCTGTTAATTTCCTTTTAAAAAAAATAGGACAATTTTAGATACCAATATCTGATAATAGACTCTTCCATGAAATAGGTATGTTGAGTTGTTAGAAGTATAGTAATCTTGACTAGTTTTATGGTTAGAAATTAGCTTTAGGCGTATGGTAGGACTAGGGTTGGGGTTAGGGATAGGTTTAGCATTGACATTAGCAGCAAGCCATGTGTGTATTTTACTTAACTACCAGGAACCTTACACCCCTTTTTTTTAAGCAGATTCTATTATCAGACACTGGTATAAAAATTTCCCCAAAAAAAAATTGTAATAAATCATTAAAACTGTGATTGTGCTGAAAAAAAGAAGTTATAGTTTTGTTGTTTCCTTTTATTTAATTTGCTTTTTAAAATGAATAAACGAAGAACTTACCAGGAGCCTGCCTGTTCTGATGTAGACAAGATTTGTTCCAGATGGCTGAGACACTGGAGGTCACTAAGGAAGGGGTACAGACTTTGGCAGTTTTCTACTTGGGGATCAAATCTCTTGATCACATTCAACCTGCAAATGAAAATAGTTTATACTTTTTACCTAGCAAAAACAACAGAAGTATATTAGTAATCATCAATGAGGACAGCATGAATGTACAGCTGTGTATCACTTCTAGCTCAAAATTTTTAACTTCTGTGCCACTGATGGGTAACTGACAGGTTATTGGTAACATCAAGACAGCCGGGCATAAACTGACCACTCTACCCATTCTTATTCAAAGGTTACAAAAAAGTTATTAAAAAAAACTCTACTTCATGTCTTATTGATCATGAGTTCTGAATGGGAAACTTTATTGTCTAATATCTATCAATAATGTTTAATATTATTCCTGCATGGCTTTATTTAAGGAATTAAACTTCTATTATAAGATCATAAGATTTCATATTAATTTTAGCTGAACATTTGTAGTTCCTCCAAATACATGAGGCAACAATTTTTGCAAATATAAAATATATTACGTTTTTTTTTAAAGCAGAATGAAGTTAATTAAGCATTTTTTTGTAGGCTTAAAAAATATGTCTTTAAAGAGTGTGAGATTGCAGCACTAGCACTTACCTGGCAATGCCCAAGGTGTTTTTAGCCACATCCAGGTGACCATCATGTAGAGAGGACAGTGCCTGGTAGAGAGACTGGTTAAACGTGGCTGACTCATTTTGCCTGTTGTACCAGACAGTTTTGTTTTTATGCAAACAATTTTTTTTTAATGAAAAAAGTTTTAAAATTAAATAGGGCCTACCTTAACACCACCTAAACTTAAGTTAGCCATTGATTCTTTTTGACTAATTAAACTTTAAAAAAAATTGTACACTGTTTTAAGAAAAATTGTGCTAAATAAAAAAAATTATATAAGAATTTAAAGCAAAACTAAATAAAGTAATACTTTTCTTGGAGAAAAGCAAAACTACTATCAAGGTAGTTGCAGATTAAAAAAAAAATTGTTACACATTATAAAAGTTTTTTTTTGCTTTGCAATAATTTAAAATTAGTTAAATCAATCTAAAATAGCTGTAGACAGTTGCAAGTTACTTGGCTGGTAAGTTTGAGTCCCACTGTCCCAGTTTCCACGCCATATGGAACTGATAGTCCTTTAATTTTTGACAGGTTTCAGGTGAGGCTGAGCTACCTCCCATGTTTTCATCATTGAGACCAGACAAGCAATGCTGGAGTATGTAGTCGGAACCACACAACTCTAGTGACTGTCAGAGATTAAAAAACAAATTCTTATTCAGAATATATAGTATATAAATTTCTATAAAAAGTTAGAATGTAATATACTGATAAGGAAAACCGGCAAACAATAAGTATAAATTTCTATGTTTACGCAGATGCAATATTTAGCTATAAATAGTAAGTGATGTAATAAACTGATAAGGAAAATAGAAGATGCAAACCTTGAGCAGAGGAATGTAAGACTGTGATGAATTGTTGGAGATTTCTATATCAAGGGAGGTAAGAGCTTTTGTTGGTTCCAGCTCATGTAGGTAAGTCTCCACTCTGTACATCAATAAGTACAAGTGTCAAGTGTGTAGTCATGAGCACTCATTTACTTGATTATCTAATTTATTCTTTAAATTATGCAGTTTTTTAAATAAATAATTTATAATAATTTTTTTAAAAGATAATAACTGAACCGTAGACTTAAAATTAAACTAGAAATAAAAATTAACATCGTGCACTAATAATTATATATATTATGTAAGCCTAAATATAAAATATCCCCTATACCATGGCTCTTTTTGTCACCTTTCAACTTTTGCAAATAAATTCTTAAAATTAAAATGTCCCCTCCCCACCAGGTGGACATTGTTCTCTTCCCTTGTTCCAGCTATACTAGTATGTATAATGATTAGTCTATAGTAACAAACAAAAAATGTGTACACCATGAACACACCTGGCCATTGGCTCGGCCAACCTGCCAGCACCACAACCATAAATTCCATCTGGGTCTCCAATGTTTCTGTAGGCCTCCAGCAGCAGCCCCTGGAGTTCATGGCCTTGACCCAAATCAACCTGTGAACTCAACACAGCCAGTGGGTCCAGTGGGGAGTCCTGACTAGAGGAACCAGATGAACTGGGAGAGTTTTCTCCCTTGTTTTTCCTGTTTTAAAAAAAAAGGTTTACTTTCAAAATATGTAAATCTAAGAAAAACACCCAAAAAATCCCAAAAAAATTACTTCATACCCTATCATGGGAATAATAATTTAAATACAATAAATTAATACAATAAAAATAAATAAAATATATTTGCAAATCACTTGATAAAAAATAATTTTTAACTTAAGTTTTTTTCAGAGATTCATACAGTAGTAATTTGGAATTGTATGCATTCTAGTAGAAATCTCTTATCTACTAAACTGTTGTTTCAATTTATCACTATTTTTAAGTCAAATCAGAATACAATCAATCAAGTGCAGAACTCACAGTTTACTGTCTAACCATATCTCAGCAAACAGAACAGCAGAAAAATTGGCCCCACAGTACAAAGCTGCCCTGGCAACATCCAAATAGTCAATTTCTAGCCAAAAATTATTGGTCCATGCATTCTGCTGTGTTTCTCCTCTAAGAATAAAAAAAATTGTGCAAGTTAGTGTAACATAAATAACTTAATTTAAATTTCATCTTGCCAGGTAAGCCTACTTTTTATATCTTGGTATCTTTTTGTTTCTGACCTAATGATACCGAGTAGGTAAGTGGATACATACTTTACATTTAACTATTATTGTAACACAGAATGTGACTGGACAAAAAGTACAGCAGGTAAACAGTAAATAAACAAAGTATAAAAAGTATAAAAACTGTATAATGACGTTTTAAAATGTATTAAAAAATAAGTGAATAAAAATAAATTTTCTTTGATTTTAATTTTTTAAATAAAAACATGGGAGGCTCAGGAAGTCTATTCAGTAAGTTATTTAAACTTTTTTTTTACATCAGTGGGTAAACTAAAAAACATTTTCTTTAATAAGTATTTGATCAGTGTTATTTTAAGACTCAAACAAGTTCTTACTTTTCTTTGGGTCGATCTTGTTTCCTTAAATATTGCACAACATTCAGCATAGCTCTCACAGACTCCTTCCTTGTGTAGGCTAAGTGTGGACCTATAGAGTAAGTAGAAAACAAACAGTCAATGCAGTATTCAGTACTGTAAGACTATTTAACTTTCAGTTTGATCTAAGAGCACACAATAATAATTTATTTTAATGAAACCACTGATTGAGAGTTGGGATGAGGTTATCACTCCAAAAGATATGGATACAACTGATCAATGAACAGAAAGTTGAATAAAAACAGTGAAAGCAGTGGGTGTTTTCTGAATATATAATATATGAACAGCACCTTCATTTAACTAAATGCTACAAATTAAACTGAAACTTTAGGATGCATGGACCAAACATTTTTTTGGGGGAAATCCACTTAAAGTATAAAGCCTTATTGTCATTTAAATTGTGTATGAATTTGCCAGATTACTGAAAATTTTTCACCAAAAAATGTAATAATCAAATAATCAATATTCATGAATCCAGCTTACCTGAGGGGCTGGAAACATGTTTAGTGAAGCCATGGAAGAATGATGTAAAATGAGCAGACATAATTTTCCTGCTCTCTAGCCCTCCATTTTGTAGTAAGTCATGGATCAGATAAGGGAGACAATCCTCACAAAATTTGCTCTTTTAACACAAAAAAACATAAATTTAAAAAATCAAAGAATGAACATAAAAATAACAATAAATAACAATATATTCACATTTTAAAAGTTACAACTTTTTGTATATATGCTAGTAATAACTACCTTCAATGCACACATAGGTCCAACTTTGTTCATAATTTCATCACACACTAGATCAGTTTGAAGCAATGTTATTGTCAGCCTTATAATCCACTGCTCATGAGTAGAGTTCACATCACCACACCACAAACCAACTTCATCAACAGGACTTAGGTAGTTCACAGCTTCTCTTTTTTCTTTTACATTCTAATTATTTTTAAGGAAAAAGAACTTGATTAGTAATTTGTAAGTTATTAAAATTTGTTTGCAATGTGTTCAATCAAAAAGGCTGTTTGTTTCCGTAAAACTTGATGTTTAAAAACAATTTTTAACCCTTGCCAAGAATTAACAGCCATTACTGTATTAAACACATGGTTAAGATTGGTACAGGTAAATAATGTCAGGTAGGTTAATAAGCCTAGGTAAGCCAATCACATCAAATATTTTGTTTAAATGGGTGGGCTGGTTTTATCCAATAAATCTGTCCAGGTTCAGATCATGGCAACTTTGGCTATTGTTTTCTTCAAAAATTGTTTAGACTATAGATTTATATTTTTTAGGAGTTAAAAAATATAACTTTTTCTAAATTTTATTGGTTAAAAAGACATCTCTTGAATGAACAAATCTATATTATATCAAAGTTAACCCCATGAAGCCTGTAGGCTGATGGAGAAACAAGCCAACAAATAATGTAGTATAACTTACATTTGGTAGCTTGCCACTACTTTTAAATGGGTGCAGGTAATAAAACAGAAAACTTTTCTCTTTTAACAGCTCAGAGTAATGTGTTTCAAACTGGTGGCCAGATTTTGTTGCCATGACATCTTTTAAAATGTTACCAGCTGTTTTCACAACTTCAATGCTGAAATAAAACAAATAAAAACACATTTAATAAAAAAGTTTACATTAAAATATCAAAAGCTAAATTAGAAGAAAAATGTTAACAAAATTATCAAAATTATGGGAGCTGTACGCAAGGTTTAGGAACAACTTGGACTAAGGTGGAGCTTATGACTGCTAAACAGAAAGTCCCGAGTTCGGATCCTTGGCTCAAGTCTGTAGGACACCCTTGAGTCCATCCAACTCTGATGGGTACCAGACTCATGTCAAGGAAATAAAGGTGGATGGGTATAGTGCTAACAACACTATCCGGTAATATGCCGAGGTCATTAAAACAGATGAACTCTACTTCAAGTGTCATGGACACAAAGGGAAAAGATGAAGATGATGATGCAAGATTTGTTTAAAAACAGTGACGTTCTAGTGTGATAAGGCAACCAAAAAAAAAAAGTTCAGCAATCTAAATGGGAAAAATACACTTCATAACAATGCCTGATACTAACATTTAATCAAATTAAAAAACTTAACTAACTTATCATCCAACAAATAGGAGTCAAGTGTGTGAAACAGCCAGCAATATTTCTCAAACTCATGTCCCTTGTACAGCTCCAGGGCTGTGGCTTGACTAGACACACACAGCTGCTGTGGGAGGGAGAGACTCTGGAGGTCCACTGGCCCTATGGCGCCCAGACAGGATGCTGCTGCTCCTGACATCTGCTGGCTAGGGGAGGTAAGTAGCCTGACAAGTTCCAGAACCACCTTTTTTAAACAGTTTAGACCTGGAGGTTACAAAGTTATTGCATGGTCACTTTCACCAATTACTAATTTAATATTTTAGGCACTTAAATTTTTTTTTATTTTAGAAAAAAATTTAGTTATAGTACAGAACTTGTAAAGTTATAGCATTGGTAAAGAAATTTCAAGCAAAAAATGCACCCATTAAATTTTAAGTCAAGTAAAGGCAAGATATTTTAAAATTCTATAAGTGAGTAAAACTGACAGTGACACTGCTCATATAAAAATAAAGTTAGGGGAAAAGAAACATAATTTTTTAGCCCATGATGAAGTTCTCTTATTACGAGAAGTTTGTAAATACTTTTTAAATGTACAGAAAGAGAGGGGGGGGGGAGATTGTAGAATAACATGGTTCTGTAATGAAGTAGATATAAGTGTGATCTAAACCCAAACCCAATGTTCCCTGGGAGTTTAAAAAAACAGCAGAAGAAATGGAAGCATAATCTATGAAACAAACCATGAGGTGTGGCTGCCATGTTGTCTACCTCCTTGTGGTGCTGGATGACCTGGGCAGCCAACTGGTGGAGTCTCAGGGCCAGCCCATCTGTTGGAACTCCTGACATCAGCTGACAGACATTCAAAAACTCCTGGAAATTCTGGAACATTTCAACATACTTCAAATCAGAAAATAAGCTTCATTTGTAATTATTTAGATATTTGCATAGTTCATTGTTGTGATATTTTTTTTTTCTGTTTTATTCTTTTTAGCATCAATAGCTTTACATATTTAATGCACATCAAAGGATTTTTTCTAATGTTAATATTTTTTAACTGTATTTTTATTTTAATTAATATTATTTTACTTTAAGCAATTTGTTTGCATGGAGTACTAGGCTTTAAGAATTTACCACCTCAAAATCTTCTACTGTTTAGCATATTTGAGTAAAGCTATATATTTTTACAAGAGTCAAACAGTTTATCAAAGACATATTTTAAATACGAAAAAATATCTGAAATCAGTGTGGTTGAAGTAAAAATACCAACATTTATTAAAGTGTGCTCCCTTGTCTGATGAAGATTTTCTATCTTCAAATTCACATCTTGCATACAAGAAGATGGCGACACTGGATTCAAGATAGCCAAGGAGTTCTTAAGGTCGTCACTCTCACCATGGTTAGATATAACACTTAGAATAATCTCTCTGGCAAGCTGACTGATAGCTGTAGTCTTCACAGCAACGTATGCGACAATGTCAACAATGCAATGAACATAGTTGGCCATCTCCTGTATAATAAAAAATTGTATACGTTCATAATCAGAACTGGGTGAGTAGGCCTACTTAGTTTGGTACATCATAAAAAAATATAAAAAATTAAAAAAAAAAAACAAGTTCACTTCAGATCATTACATACACATTAATATATGGCAATACAGAACAATATATGCTTAAGAATCAGAAATTGCTATTTAATTGCAGAAATTGCTATTTAATTTACAGTAAAATCTTATGTCTTTTAAAAAGATAAAAGTAGCATATGCGAGTTAAAAAAAGTTAGTCTACTTACATCTGGACAAATGACTAAAGCTTTTTTACACACTCTATTTAAAATGTGAAGGCAAGCTAAAATACATTCTTCCTCAAAGCTGGGGCTAGTTACATGAGGAAGATCAGAGCTGAAATAGTAAAAATTTGGGATAATATTATTGCTTTTATAATTAGGTTTAGAAAAAAAAAAAGAAACTAATACGTCTATTTAGAAGAATTATAAAGATTATATTCATAAAGTTAAAATATAAAAGTTAAAAATCCCAGATCTGCTACAAAAATCAAACAATAAAAAAATAATAAATGCTCGGTGTGAATCACCGTGACAGTAAACTAAAATAGTAGCATCAGACCTGACTCTGAGCATGGTCAGCAGTCTGTTGATGACATCTCTGACCACGGATGCCCAGGCGCCACCTAGCCCATTCTCCAGCTCATCCAGCAGCATGTCCACAAACAGCCCATACATGAGCAGCAGCCGGATCTGCTCATGGGTCCTGTGTTCACAGCCCAGCATTGTGGCCAGGGACAGCAACACTTGATACAGGCCATCCTAGGTAGGACAGATTGGACTTTATTATATGGCAGCAAAACTTTTTGGTTCATTTCGTAAAAAAAAAAAAATCATTTTTTTGTAAATAAAAGTTTTTGCTATTTCATTATAAGAAAATTCAACTGATAAGAAACTTGATGAATATACAGATTAAAAAAAAAATTAACGCAGGTAAAAATCAAGCCAACCAGCATTTGATAAATATACAGATTATAATCTGGCAATTTGAATTTGCATACTTTAAATCAAATAAACCTAGACTTCAAGGAGTATATAGATTATTAGCTAGTATAGGTAAAATCAAACCAACCTGGACTTTGATGAGAACTGAAACCAGTGTGGTGTTATTTCCTCCTTTGGTGAAGTTCTGAGCCAGATAATTGAGGGTAATTTTGATCATATCCTTGTTGTAGAACGGAGGGTTGGGTTCAGGGTAAACCATGCTGAAACCACAAGACATTTCTGAGATATCAACAACTTAGTCCAACCAAGCACAAACAAGGCAGCAGTTGTTTGATTTTGGAGTTGTCTCTCCTAGATGAGTGGCTGTCCCCAGTTATCTAGCCTCAATTTACCCTGATTTTTAAAACATCTTAAATCGACCTGTATAATATTGAATTTACTCAAATAACATTCTGAACTTACCAATGTGTTGGGTTACTTTTCTCTCTTTCAATGTGCAAACTCCTGAGAATACCCATGACAACCTCTCCAAGTTTGTCCGCTACACACTCATTGATTTTCTACACAGACAAAAATGCATTGTATTCATGTTGAGTTAAATTAGAGAGCACTTTGATTACATTCATCAAGTCTCATGTGGGATGATGGGGTGGAAAGGAAGAGCACTTGATAACTAAGTCTCAAGTTTGGTTCAAATGGTCAAATAGGTTGGCTGTTACAGAGTCAACCCAGCTCTATTTAATACCCAGATTTAAGTCAGGGGAAGCAGGACCACAGTACTGAACAGGTAACCCCTTCATGTATTGAGTCAGGTTTTTTTTTCTATTTTTATTCAAGTAGATGGGGAGTGAGGCTTTTTCAGCATAGGGGAGAGGGGTTAAGTGGGATCATGGAACCTATATAAATTATACTATCTCTATTTTATCCAAGCAAGGAGGGGGGAGGGGGCCTGGACATACTCTGGGAGGGTAGTAACAGCCCCCCTCCGAAAGAGATGCCTCTGGCCAAAGTAATTGATGAGTCTACTTCATATACCCTATGAACTTCCAGTTAAAAAAAAATGTTTACATAATCAAAAATCTATATGTAAGTAAAAGTTCATCTAACCCACCTCTTCAGTGAGTTCATCTTTCAAGATTTTGAAACAGGAGTTAGCTCGCACAAACTGGCTGTGTAATGGGGACAGGGGTTGAGGGGGGTTGGCAAAGAGGGGTAAAATGTGGACCAGGAGACGAGGGAGGGATGACACGACAGCCTGACGAGGGTCAATGTTTAGAGGGTCCAGGACAGCTCGGACTTCAGCCATGGTCAGCTTTGTGATGAGCACCTCAGACACAATGAGGTCTTGGTTTGATCTACAGAGGGAGATAGCTTAGTTGGATAAGCAAGTTATAAAGTTTAGAATAAATTTTAATTAGAAATATTAAAGTATGGCTGTCTTCTGAATTCTGATTGAAGTTTTTTAGTTTGGCAAAAATATCTTTAAATCTTTTAGCTCAATCTAAATAATTACATTTTTTGTTTAAGGGGGTATTAATATAAGTTGGGAAAATGTATATTTTTCACCATATTTTAATTTTAAACTGCTAGAGAAATGAGCAAAAGCAAAAATACAAAAGGTTAAAAAAAAAGAGATAAATTTGAGTCTAAAGTAGATACAAATCAAGAGTTTTTTTTAAACTGTTACCTGATAAACTGTTCTGCTGTGTCATAACAGAAAAGTTGAAATGGGAAATGTTTAATAGAGGAGTTGACCATACTTTTGTTCTGCCAGTTATGAATGATATAGGGCAGGTGATAGTGGAGGTAACTCTGAATGTCTTTGTACTGTAACTCTCTTGAAATGATGTTCAACATCTGCAACAAGCAGTAGCAGTTGGTTCCATGACAAATGATCTCAGGACAAATGATCTCAGACAAAATATCTCAGACAAAATATCTCACGGACAAATGATCTCAGGACAAATGATCTCAGGACAAATGATCTCAAGGACAATTGATCTCACGGACAAAAGATACCAGGACAAAATATATCAGGACAAATGATACCATGGACAAATGATCTCAGACAAAATATCTCAGACAAAATATCTCACAGCAAAATTTTAATAGTTGATTTGAACTTTTTTTTTATTGACTGTCAATATGGTTTTGTTTACTTTTCTACGCATAATAATTGTGAATAAAGTGAATATGTTAAACTTAATAAAGCATCAAAAAATGTATTAAACTTAATCTTTCTAATAGCATTTGATTTAAAAAAGTTAAAATTAAAACAAACTTACTACTGAAAGGTATAATAAATGATAATGTATAAAAAATAAATAAAGTAACGGTAGCTATACAACATTAATGTTCAAAAGACGCGAAATATTTTTCAAAAATGTGAATAAGTCTTTAGGTTTGTAACGTAAAAGTATTTTTTTATTGCATCATCAACACAAACGAAACGCTTACGTTTCTATACCGGCAGGTACATTGTTATGATCAGACCTCTCCAATACCACGTGATCATGTATTGTGTGAACTCTAGCTCGACATGTTCTATCTTCACATTTCCAAATCTCTTTGCCTGCTGCTCTTCTTCTGGCTTTTATAAACATAATTCTCCAGAAACTAATGTCTTATACCCTTTTTGCGAGGTAACGAAAGAGGCCATAGCTGAGTAATCACCACGAACACTGCATTGCTTGCATGCACACTACGACAAACGTGGCTCCGCGTTGACCGCTGTCGTTTAAATAAGCATTTGTCACCAGATCACATAACTATTGACTTTAGATGCTAGTTGTATTATGGAGGTTGGATATCTTTCCCTTAAGGCATGTCTCTGCCATCAAAGCGGGCGGCCACCTTGATACGAAGGTGTGTTTTTATTGTTATTTAATCCCCTTTGATCTAGTTTCGTCCACCTGACGTGGTAGGATTGTCTCATATTTGCCAAGCTCACCTACGTTGTCTATCAAAAAATTTCTTTAATCTTCACATACTATATTAGTAATCTTAGTTTTAAAATGTTTAGTGCAATATGACAAATTTATGCTGCAATCATTTCTTACAATTATTATATAGACCAATAAACAATATTAAACATAGTAAACAAAACCACATGACAGTCAATAAAAAAATGTTCAGATCAACTAAAGTCACCCAATACACTATTACAATTTTGCTGTGAGATATTTTGTCTGAGATCATTTGTCCATAATATCATTTGTCCTGATATATTTTGTCCTGGTATCTTTTGTCCGTGAGATCATTTGTCCTTGAGATCATTTGTCCTGAGATCATTTGTCTTGAGATCATTTGTCCGTGAGATATTTTGTCTGAGATATTTTGTCTGAGATCATTTGTCCTGTCACCGTAGCAGTTTTATTATAAAGTGAAATTGTATTTTTTATTTTAGAGTTGTTCATAAATGTGGTAGTGTTTATTGGTGTGGTTAAAATAACTTGTCATCACAACAAATGTAGACATCACACTCATAGTGATTAGAATCAAGATACTTTTAAATTAAAATATATGCTCTGGTAAATTATACAATTTTTCTTACATGAGCAAATCTTCCCCACTAACGCCAAAAATATTCAAATCTATCATTTACTCAGTTTACATCTTCATCTGGGGATGGAGTGGCCTAGCGGTAGAGATCTGGACTGCTAACCCATAAGTCTCGAGTTTGAATCCAGGTTCAAGTCAGTAGGCCGTCCCTGATAACACCCAGCTCTGATGGGTACCTAACTCACGTAAGTAAAGGCGGCTGGGCATAGTGCTGGCCACACTATCCCTTCATATACAGAGGTCACAGAAACAAGTGAACTCTACTTCACTTGCCTCGTAGACCATCAGGTTTGAAAGGGAACTTTACATTTTTTTTACATCTTCACCTACAGACATGAAAGCCTCACCTTTCTGACGAGGACCAAGGTGATCTTGTTGTCCCCTAACATCTGGACCAGCCCCAGCAGACACTGTCTCTCACACACAGGGCTGTGGGTTATGATGGTCAAGAGAGCAGCCAGGCACGTAGCTTGGCGGTTGGACAGTTCATCCTTCAGAACATGTTGGCTGATTTTTCCTGGCTAAAGATTTTATAACAAACAACTGAACTCATCCTTCAGAACATGTTGGCTGATTTTTCCTGGCTAAAAGTTATATAAACATACAACTGAACTCATAATTCAGAACATGTTGGCTGATTTTTCCTGGCTAAAGATTACATAAACATACAACTGAGCTCATCCTTCAGAACATGTTGGCTGATTTTTCCAGGCTAAAGATTACATAAACATACAACTGAGCTCATCCTTCAGAACATGTTGGCTGATTTTTCCAGGCTAAAAATTATATAAACATACAACTGAACTCATCCTTCAGAACATGTTGGTTGATTTTTCCAGGCTAAAAATTATATAAACATACAACTGAACTCATCCTTCAGAACATGTTGGTTGATTTTTCCAGGCTAAAAATTATATAAACATACAACTGAACTCATCCTTCAGAACATGTTGGTTGATTTTTCCAGGCTAAAAATTATATAAACATACAACTGAACTCATCCTTCAGAACATGTTGGTTGATTTTTCCAGGCTAAAAATTATATAAACATACAACTGAACTCATCCTTCAGAACATGTTGGTTGATTTTTCCTGGCTACAGATAATATAACATAAAATTCAATGTTTAAAGCATTCTTTAAATATTAATTTTTTTTAAAACAGTAATTGTCTAATTTGTCAAAAGGATTAATTAATAGAGTATTTCGTAGTTAAATGTAAATTAAATTAATGTACAGCAGAAACAATGTTCTGAATTAAATATTTTAATTAATCAACTTAGAAAAGTGAAAAAAAAATTTGAATCACCTCGACATCAAGATAATCACTGCACTGTAAAAAGATCGCCTGAAAGGCTTTTAACTGAGAACTTTTTTCCCTCATAATACAAGTTTTATCCTCAGCTTGAGTGACAAATAACCTGAAAGCAATTTTTTATTAAATTTCACGCCAATGATTGCCAATTATTTTGTTTTTAAACTACTGGTTATAATTTATAGTTATTTATAGTTACAGTTTTTTATAGTTATAATAATATAGTTATTTTTCTCTCTCCTCTAAAAATGTAACACTATTTTAAAAGGCACTTTAAAAATCCCTAAAAGATTAAAAATGGTAAGCCTACAACTAGCTAGAATTTGCGACAAGTAAAGGGTTAATTTAAGACAAATTCAAACATACCACTTTATAGAGTCTGCAGCCAAGTATCGGACGAGAATGTTTTCCTCCGCCAAAAGTTTTGGGAGTTGCTGCCCCATGGTAATTAATTCTGTGCCATTATCATCATCGTCTTCATCTTCTTTCATCACCTTTAACTGTCCCCAGGTGTGGTCAGGGTCTAGCTGGTTAAGAGTGATAAGCTTTTGAAACAGAAACTATACATAAACTAACACTAAAGTTGACCCTAGTTAGGATCATTTAGTTAAACTTTACATGGTTTTGAACTGGAAACTATACATAAACTAACACTAAAGTTGACCCTAGTTAGGATCATTTAGTTAAACTTGAAATGGTTTTGAACTAGAAACTATACATAAACAAACACTAAAGTTGACCCTAGTTAGGATCATTTAGTTAAACTTTACATGGTTTTGAACTGGAAACTATACATAAACTAACACTAAAGTCAGCCCTAGTTAGGATCATTTAGTTAAACTTGAAATGGTTTTGAACTAGAAACTATACATAAACAAACACTAAAGTTGACCCTAGTTAGGATCATTTAGTTAAACTTTACATGGTTTTGAACTGGAAACTATACATAAACTAACACTAAAGTCAGCCCTAGTTAGGATCATTTAGTTAAACTTGAAATGGTTTTGAACTGGAAACTATACATAAACTAACACTAAAGATTACCCTAGTTAGGATCATTTAGTTAAACTTTACATGGTTTTGAACTGGAAACTATACATAAACTAACACTAAAGTTGACCCTAGTTAGGATCATTTAGTTAAACTTTACATGGTTTTGAAACTATACATAAAGATGCTTTCTCCTACAGAATTAACATTTTTGAATAGTTTGGTTTTTAGAAACAAAGCACCAATGTCACTTGTAATAATTTCTACTCATTAAATATAAGTTATATAAAAATTCAACTCAAGACTTCCTAAAAGCTTGTGAAGTGGCACAAAAATTTTAAGTTAAAGCTGGTAAACGAGACCCAATGCTTAGGGGGGAAAATGTCTTTAAAAATAAATTAAACAAAGAACCTTTATGACGTCACTCATGACTTTGGCTAGTTCAAATTTCAACTGTGGAGATCCTTCACTTGCCAACTGCCTGTGAAAAAACACAATAAAATTTGTATTGCATGTTTGGTATATTGGGCTAGAGTTTGTAGGATGTCACAGCTCTGATAGGTGCCTGACTTATCGCAACAAAAGAAAAGCAGCCAACCACAATGACACTTGATCGGGTAATTAAAGATCACATATAGACTAGATAACATTTTAAGCTAAAAAGTTAACTTAATATTTTTATACCAGAAGTCAGATATAAACTTGAAAAAGTAGTCGCGGCAGAATTTTAACTCTTCTGATGGGAGATTTCCAGGGCATGACAAGTGTGGAATGATGTACCCAAGGTGAGTCACAATGGCACAGCAAACTTGGCAATCAGAGCTCAAAACTTTTGCTGTCTGTCTGAAAGTTTAAATTTAAATAATAAATTTAATAAAATAAATTTGTTTTTTTTTTAAACAAGAAAAGATTTTTTTTGTTTCAAACTATGAGCAAAAATAGTTTTAAAGATACTATGTTGTGGTTTTTTTTTATTTAAGAATTACAATAAAATTTTAAATGATTATTGTTAATCCAGCAAAAATTAATAAGAACAAAAATTAATATATAATTACTAAAGCACCCTGACAAAAATCCAATTTTATCTTTAAAGCTGAGTCAACAAACATGTTGCAATGTTAAAAATTAGCCATAAAATACATGTAAAGGGACACAACTTACTTAAACACACTGAGAATGCTTTTGATGTTTGCAGGGGTGATAACATGTACTTTGGTCATCAAATATTTGGTTATCAGCATCAACTAGGGATAGATAATTACACTTTTAACCTTTACAGTACAGTGTAAAAAAACTTATTTAATTGTTTTAAACACAAGCTGTAAACTCAAATTAAAACAATATCAAAGAAAATTGAAGTCATACACTTAAAATTTAAAAAAAGAGCAAAATACTTTCTGCAAGAATAAATTATTTTTAATTGAAAATAAAAACCATCTAGAAAACAAACCTGATGAATATTTATAGCAGCATTAGGGTCAAAACAATGGGACCCAATTAGGTACAGCAGTCTACCCTTGATGTGGTCACTGTCCATCTCAGCTCGACAAGACAACTGAGATTCATTTTCTCCCAACAATCGACGATCAAAGGCTATGGACTTACACAAAAGTTCTGTAGATAGCAGTCTAAGCTGGTGGGGCTCCGTCAAGTTTTCTTCTGACAGGAAACTCCACACATCTTCAATGGGTAGGATAGAGGTCAGTAATCATGGACAACTATCATAACATGTAGAGTAAGGGTCAGTTATAGTAGACAAAGGTGGACAACTATAATAACATGAAAGGGTAAAGGTCAGTTATAGTGGAAAAAGGTGGACACCTATAATAACATGAAAGGGTAAAGGTCAGATTGTAGTAAAAGGTAGACAACTATCATAACATGTAGAATAAAGGTCAGTTATAGTAGTAAAAGGTAGACAACTATCATAACATGTGGAATAAAGGTCAGTTATAGTGGACAAAGGTACACAACTATCTCTACCAATCAGAATGGGTAGAAATAAAAGATAAAGGTGGACAACTATCTACACATGTAAACTGTCATGTTTTTGTGTAGTTCACTGACCTTTGACAGGGTGTGTTTCTTCAGTGTGATCTGCACCAAAGTCAATATCCATATCTAGGTCAGAGTCGTGACCCGCCCTGGAAGTATTTACAGGGTTAAAATCATCAAAGTCCAGATCTTCTTCCCTATGAGAATGTTCACCGTTGGAAAACAGTTTATGTGGCTTGGATGATTGTTTTGAGCCTTCTGGTTTCCTCTCTCTTTTCTTCTCAGCAATCAGCTAAAAAAAATAAACACATTTTTTTTAATACCAACCAACTTGATGTGAAACAGTGATAGAAAAAAGTCAGTCCTCAAACTAAAGACTGCTTTTTACAGACATAAAGGTGTATTTCTTGTCGTGTCAGTGGAGCTTGATGAAGGGATAACCTGTTTTCCCCAAATGCAGATTTATCTCCCTTAAAAACAGAAACACATGGCTTTCATAAGGATAAACAAAGTTAACAAATACAAGATCCAAAGCACAGAAAATTACCAAAACTAAAATCTATCCAAAGCAGATTGTAAAAAAAACAAAATATCAAACAGGATTAGAACTAAAATCTTTTGATATCAACCAGAGTCTATTTCATGTTTGCTCTAAAAAAATTAAATAGTGAAAAACCCAAAAAGGCAATATACGAAGTTTAATTAAGTTAAACAAGAATAAAAAAATAAATTTTTAAAAAGTATGTTCAATTTTAATGCACAGAATAGGCAAATAAATAACGCTACCTTCACAGATGAACAGGCCCAGAAGTAAAGTAAACTAGACATTACCTTCCCAGAAGACACATCCAGCAGAAGGTCAATGAAAGAGGGCGGCAGGTAGCAGCGGATGATCTCAAACAACCTGTACAGCTTGACGCCAGCCTGGCTCTCCCACGTCACCATGACAACCAGCCACCCCAAGCTCTTCACCAGACTGCCGACGCTTTCCTTGCGGATCTGGACGGCCAGGGCGGCTGTGCACTTCTCCATGACTTTCTGGAACTTGAGCTGCAGGGCTGGGCGTGCTGGGTGTTTTTCTTCCACATGACAGACTAGCCTCCCCAGGAGACATGCCAGCCATGATAAATATTCTATCACTGGTGTCTGCGGGTACAATGGTATTTACTTTATTTACATTATTGAGCATGTACTAATAACATGTATCTGCATGACTGTTGATCAACATTATATATACAAACATTAAAATCTCCCAATATCCTCATATATGAAAGTAGAAATATTTTTTTACTGAATTTATAAACACTGATATATTTCCAAAGTAGTGAATCTATGTATCAGTTATGCATTTAAACTATTATTTTTCAATACTTGTGTATGTTTCAAGAACTGTGTGCTTACTTAAAATAATACTAATACTACATTTAATGTAAAGAGATAAAATTTAATAAACTGAAAAATTATTTCAAATTCTAAAAATCCTTTCCTATTTCTTCTACAAACACTCTTTTAAACATGTGTAAGAACAGCAATATAATAAACATTCATTTTTCAAGTCAATTTTATAAACAAATTATCAGTTTTTTATCTTAAATGTCAATTCAATAAAAACAAACTAAAAAAATAACATGTTACATAACACTTACCTGAAAATCAAGACATTCAATTATTTTTTCCAAATGTTTTATCAAGAAATCCAAAATGGCTGAAACATGTGGATTGGTTAGAGTTGCCCCACTTTGTGCTGGCTTGTTAGAACTGCTGGATTGCTGCATAGAAGCCATGTTGAGGTCAAACGTAGTTTTGAGGAAAACAGTTTCCATGCAGTTAGGATCACGATCATTGCTTGTTTTTAGGGGACAATTTTTTAAGACACTACAGGGGTCCAGAAGTGTAAGGGCAAATAGAATTTCTCCCACCCTAACTGGAGATGTAGCAATTTTTGTGAGTCCAGTAATTTCAAAGTTTGGAATGGGAAGTAACCATTCTAGAAGTGCTTCTCTAAGGGGAAATAATGATTTGTCTGTTCTTTGGTGGGCAGCTCCCACTACACTTGGCATGTAATTTTCTAATAAACTATGGGAGGTAATGAGAGAGACCAACAGCTCATTGGCAGCTGTGGATGGGCTCCTGTAATTAGGCAAAAATAGATTCCATATTTCTTTCATTGGAGTGATTCCCCCTGACATAATGATGGCTGCCATAGTTGAGTAGCAATTTTCTTGATAGCCTTCAACTTCTGCTTGTTTAGAGTTTATCGTACTGAAAAAGATTTTTTTTAGAAATAATTAGCATTTGATTATTTCTACTGTTATTTTCAATTTAAAAAAAATGAACTTGCTTTAAATCTAGTAATTTTTACTATACAGAAAATCTATTACTAGGTCCTATTTCTATTTACTTTAAATACAGTGTTATGACACTTTATCGACAAATAGCTTATCCATTGGTATTTCTCATACAACCAAACACTGTGGCTCAGCAATTTTTAATATCCAGTTTTGTAGAGTAACAATTAAAAGGAAAATATCATGCCCATTTATTCTTTCAACTTCTGATCACTAAAACCCATACATAACATTGTAGCACTAACTCCAGCAAACAAACTCTAAAGCAGTGGAGTCTACCTGACACATGTTGACCAGACTAAAGAGAGAGTTTGTGCTGTCTGCTTGTCCATTGCATCATGGGACTGGATGGCTTGAATAAGGGATGTGAGAACATCAAATACAAACTGATATAGTTGACCCCTGAAACATTAAAAACTTGTCAGTTTAAGTTAGCAAAAAAAAAACATTTATAAGCTGAGCTATTTTTTATATCATAGCTGAAATGGAATTTTTTTTTAAAAATATAAAACGGTTATTATCCAAGGATTTTTAAAATATTGCATAAAATGTATATTCAAGAGCCATTTTTTTAATGATGTAGCAATGTTCATTCCTAAAAATATAAACAAATGTGACAGGACTGGCTTCAGTTTTGTAAATATTTATAGTATTTTTTTATAAGCATGATTTTTTAAGCTAAATTCTCTAAAAAGCAGAAATACTTAAAACAACTTTAGATCAGTACATTGCTATACTATAAAAGATTTTAAAAAGTAGATAACCAAGTGTGAATGAAGAACAGAAAGATAACACTATGTTTCTTACCTTTTGCATTCCCTCAACAGACTTGCCACCACATACAAAACATGCTTTAATCCTTCTTTACCAAAGCACTCTGGGTATTTATCTAAAATACCATGCAAAATCTGAAGCCTGTTTGAGTGAAATATATTTATACAGAATTTAATTTGAATTTTTTAATGATTGTATAAAAATCATACCTATCATAATTTAACTTTTGTAAACAGAATAATTTAAATACAAAATGCATAAATTTAAAAAAAGCAAGACATGTTAGATTTGCTGTTGCTAGTATTATGTAACTTGTTTTTGCTTCAAATTGTTAATTTATATAAATATTAAAATGCTGGGTTGAAATTTAAAGCAAATCTTAAACCAACCATGGAATAGCTTGTAGGGTGTTTGATTTCTCTTTAAGAACTTCTAGAAGTGATTTGTTTTCTACTGAAAGACGCATTCTCTTAGCAGGCAAGGCACCACAGTCCCCATGACTACTCTGCTGGCTAGCTTGTGTAAAGAGCATTGTTGTATCAGCTGGTAACAATTTGGATTCAGGCATCTGTTCATGAAGTCATTGTAAGATTAGGCAATTAATGTAAAACAATGGCTATTGGTATGGAAGATGGTTAACCAAATGTATTGTCAGTATCTTTAAGAATTAAAAAAAACTTACTTCACATAAATTTAACAACTACAATGACAAGACTTAAAATCTTTACACTATCTAAATCAATAATTACACATTTCATATAGTGAAACTATACTTTATTATCATGACAAACTAAGCAATTTTAGTTGAATATACAACAGCATTTTTCTTTTAAAAATGTTTTTGCCTTTTTTCTTTAAAAGCAAATTACTCTGAGTAGTGTATTTTTTTACTTGCATACTTTTTACTCTTCCAGTCCCAAAAGCTTACTAAATACAGAACAACATAAGCTAGGAACAAGGGATGTTAAACAGACAGCTAACAAGCACAACCTAAATCTTTACAAAAGTATCAACACTATAACTCACCTGTTTAAAGACCCCAACAGCCAGTTGTATGTAGTTAGGTTTAAGTGTGATTACTTTTGTCCTAAAATATCAGGGGAAAAAAATTAGGTACTTTAAATTAAAGTTTGGAAAAAATGAATTTGGTAAGCATCAAACATTCATTATTTATTACTTTATTTGTAGTGTTTAATTGAAAATCATAAATTGTTGTTGCAAACACAAATGTTACAAAATTTTATTATTCACTTGCTAATTCTAATTTAAAGCTAACATAATTTAAAGCTAACTTGTTTAAGTGATTTTTATTTTCTTACCCGGTGGTAAACTTGTATCTCCCCTCCAAATCTGTGTGGATCATCTCATGCAGTGTCGCCACTTGGGTCTGGTCAAAGAAATGTAAACACCAACTTTTATAGTCAACAACAGCAAAGGAAATACCTGTTAATCACTGAAGTTAAAACTACTTTACATAAAAAGAACCTGACTGACATTTAAAGCCAACAATTTGACATTTTTTTTAAACCTAAAGTTAAGACATTTCATGCTAACGATCTGACGTCTAAAAGATGACAATCTGACAGTTCAAATATTTTGACAATAAAATTTATTAAAAACAAAACAAAATAATTTTTTTTAAATTGTCAATTACCTTCCACTGTTCCCAGTTGTCAGCATAAGCACCAACAGACTGGTCAGGTGCTCCATTAGGGTGATGGACATGGACTAGCAGAAGTAAAAAATCTAATACTTCCTCCTGTTCAAAAAAGCAGAATTTTTTTAAAAAAATCTTTTTATACAGATCAAAACAAAAAATCATCAAAATCAAACGTCAAATTTAAAAGATTTCTGTAAAAATGCTGGCAGGATGTTACAACCATTTCAAAACTATTTTTTTTATTGATAAAAGGGCTAAGTTTGGACAAAGGAAGCTCTAGACTAAAAAAAGAAGTGAATACAACTTGCAAATGTTTTATGTAGTACCAGAAATTTTTTTTTACATATAGATCTAGTAATCATTGTACAAGCTGAATAAAGAAGAATGTTTCTTATATGAAAGTATTATTTATGTGGATTTTTTTTAATGACGAACCTTAACTTTGTCTGTGGATGGTGAACCCCATAAGTAGATAAAACTTGGCATCAAACTTTCACCAAAGTAACAAAGTTGGGCTCGGCTATTTAAAGCCGCTGCTTGGCTGAAGGTATTCAGAGCAGACAACATGCTCTCAACTATAGAAGGAGACTTGAGCTCTCTGAAACAATCATGAGAGGAAGATGGTTTTTAACCATTACTGAAGTCAAACTAAACTGAGAAGGTTACCAGATCAAATTTTATAAAACTAACCAAAACAAATGTTCACTCTCTGAAACAATTAACAATTCGTTCATTCTTAATCATTACTGAAATAAAGCTAAACTAAAAAAGTGACCAGATCATATTTTGTAAGGCTAACCAAAACAAAATTTAACATTCACGTATCAATAGGAAATTAGTTTTCTGAAACAATTACCAATGAGCTAGTTTTTAAACATTAATGAAGTAAAGCTAAACAGAAAAAGTTAACAGGGTTAACTATACCAAGATAATGGCACACACCTGATGTGTTTTAAAACTTTGGTGAAAAAGCTAAACATTTTTCTTGGAGGCTGCTCTCCCTGTAAAACATAGCCTTGCATCAGTTCTTGAATAATGCGTGCTAGAATAACTGGGTCAAACTGTTTATCATCATAAAGCCGGCAGTAGACCTGCAGCAGCTCTGTGAAAAATTTTTTAAACTGCTGTTTAGGGAGGCAAAATAAAAACATGGAACCAAAATTAACAAATCAATATAGGTTTTTGTATTTCTTATGTTCTGCATTAAAAGAAACTCACTTTTCCATTGCTCTGCAGAAATCTCCAGCCAATATTGTCTGACACGAAGGACTGACTTTAACAACACATTGCTGTATTCAGCACCAAATGCATTGAGTGTGTAGGTATCATTCAGAATGTTTAATATGCTTTCAATGATCAGATCAAGACGTATTTTAGGAGGTCCCCCTATAACAAATAAAAATGCTGTGAATAAATACTGTTTTTTGTTTTATGTTTTGTTACATTAAATGTTTAGTATTTTAGGGATGAAGTAGTGATGCAGTATGAAAGACAATCTTAAAGGAAACTTTGTCTGCTTTTTTAATAATTTTTAACAACAGGCTATATTTGTGATTATGACAAGTATTTTTTAAATAAAAACAACTTTTGTCAAAAAAGTCACGCTAGAAATTTTTCCAATTACATTGGTCATCATTTAAAGTAGAAATAAAATTACATTAAGTTAAGTGCTCATTTGGCTCATTATGATAACTAGCTTACTTCTTAACATTTTTTAAAATGTCTACAAACACTTACTGCTATTTGCTGTTCTGATGACCAATCGAAACAAGGCTGCCAGCTCTTGCTTCTTCTTGTCTCTGTTATTCAGTGTAGCTGCTGATTGGCTTTCTTTGGCCGTCTGCAGTGCTGTTATCTCTAGATCTACATACTTGTTGACAGCCTGGCAAACCAGATATTTTAGTTTTAACCTTACAGAAGTCCAAATCAAACTTTATATTTTATAAGCAAACCAGATATTTTAGTCCAAATCAAACTTTATTAAACTTTATATTTTATAAGCAAACCAGATATTTTAGGTTTAAACCTTACAGAAGTCCAAATCAAACTTTATATTTAATAACATTTTAATTCATATATATATATATATATATATATATATATATATATATAATTTACAATTATCCTTAATTTTAATGTTGTATTGACAGTCTCTTTATATGGAATTAGAAGTGAAGCCTTTTCTAATAGCTACTCTGCTTTTATGAATAAGTAAGAAAAAAATCAATGTTTTATTTAATTAAAAGTAAATTAAATGTTAAAACAGGTACTGTGCTGAAAGTTACAGTGAAACAGCAAAAAATGTAATATAAGATCAAAAATAAAATGTTTAAAAACAAATTTGGATATGACTAAAGTCGACTAAAGTGGGTTGTCTTGCATGTTATTGGATTATTACCTTAAGTATAACATTCCATGTGATGGTTTTACCATCTCCACGAGTTGACTGTGAGATTTCATCTAAGCTTCTTAAGACACTGGATGTCCCAAACAACTGCTCTAATTGTGTAGCACTCTTCTAAACAAATAGATAAAAAAAAGTTAATTAATCCCTTGTGGGTGCTAACTTTATTGGTAATTTTAATAATACAGTAATGAATAATGACATTGACAGTCAAAAAAAACTTTTGAATTAATTTAATTACATATTTACTGAAGACTTTTTTTTTATTGATATTCAAAAGCTAAAAGACATAAAGATACACAGCGTGACTTTTTTTAAACAAAGAAATACATTTTTCTACATTGTAAATGAATTAATAAAAACATGATTAGTGAAAGGAATAAAAGATTACCAAAATAATTTAAAGCCTGTACATTAGAGTTATTGTAGACTATTTCTAATATTAACTGTACTTTTCTAGTCTACATTACAAAATGCACAATCCCATTGAAATAAGAATAAGGGCCCAAAATCTTAAAAAAAGAAAACCTTTCTTTCTGTGACTTTAGACGACTCAAGGCCTCTAAGGCAATTATGGACATCATACAGGCTGCTTTCCATGACTGTTCTTCATTGACCTGCATTAAAGAATTTTTGTTAATCATCACATCAAAACTGTATCACACTAACTAGAAATGCATTAGAAACATTTTGTTAATAATTTTTCAGTTTGTCAGTTGGCTAAAATTTCATATTTATCTACCATACAGTTTTATTGGAAGTAGATCTAGATGATAGTTGTTTTATGAAGACCTCCATATACATTTAAAGTTAGCATAAATACATAGCATCATGCCTGCGAGATACTTGTAACAATACAAACTTGACTGCTTTGCAATTAGATTTGGATCTATGAGTTACATACTTTACCCATTACCATGAAATATATATCAACTGACACGAACATATTTTCAGGATTAACGAAATATCAAATTTGAATTTTTCTTAAGTTTTGACAAAAGTCAATTGGCCTATTATCAAAACTAAAACAAAAATTCATAGAATCTACATAAATTAAATAGGTGTAGAATATCTAGATCTAGTATTTTCCTAGCATGTTTGTGTATTTTGGTTGTGTTTATATTAATAATAATTAATTAGGCCTAGGCCTATAATAATATAGGCCGATTCTAGCCAGAATAAGATACGCATGCGATACGCATGTGCAATGGAGAGAAACTACGACTTGCCTTAGCGGCGATGTTTTCGATGGTACTGCGCATGCGTGTGTTTACAACCACAGAACCCTAACACCAACCCTAATCCTATCCCTAACCCTAACCCTAATCCTAACCCTAGCCCTAATCCTATCCTTAACCCTATCCCTACTCCTACCCCTAACCCTCATTCTAGCCCTAACCCTAGCCATAGGTCACTGCGCATGCGCAGAACTATCTTTTGCCGACTAAGTGGAGACGTTGGGGAGAAAAATCTTCTTCCGAGTAGACACTTCGAATGGTAATCTATCGTTTTGGGTACGTAAAATCGCCCGCGATTTGTAATGTGAAAAACAGGTGACTCCTTAAATTTTAATAATTATTTCACATTTTGAGGAGGATTTATGTTTTTAAAAATTCAAAAATGTTTCCTTGATTCATTTATGTACCTGTTTTTAAACAATTGAATTAAAACTTTTCCGTAATAAATGAAGACTAGCGATGTTTCCAACAGATGCAACCATGCTCATTTACTATAGCAGCCATCTTGTCTAAGTTTTATTTTTATAAGCTTTTAGCGCCAGATTCAGGGGGAAGCCACTCTATTTTACAAATGGCTGCTGTTTATATAGCAAATCTTGCTCTCAGACACTGCTGTTTAAAGTTAATTTCTGGCCTATATCGATATATTTAGCCATTGATTTAGGTTTATTATTCATTTATCTATAATATTTGACACAAAAGTATGACAATATACTTCTAATAAAGCCTTGACAATGAGGTAACGTTTTCGTACATAAATAGCCGCGGGCGATTTTACGTACCCAAAACGATAGATTACCCTTCGAATAATATAATAAAATATGTTCAACTGGAAGTGAACTGGAAATTGGAACTGTGACTAAAAATAGTAAACAGATCTAGAATCTAGATTTGAGTGATTTATCACTATCAAACATCTAGATCTAGATTCTAGATCTACGCTAAAATAAATTAAATTGAGTTTTATTACTTTTATTTATTTTATTTTTTATCCAAGAATCTACTTTCTTTCTGTTTCATTTCTTCTGTCACAGAATCTGCACAACCTACAAGTGTATAAGTATAGTATACTCACTCACTACTCAATTAGATCTAGATTTAGTCAGTACTATTAATCAAACAGGGTAAATAGCTATATTAAATAATCAGATTATTCGTATTAGTTCCATATTTCTAGACCTACCATTTAAAAATAGTAAAGACATTTTGTATTGTTGATGATTGAAGAAACCGAAACCAACAATTGATGCCAGATAAAGTTTTATGAAGAATGTCAAAACGCTTTTTATCGTCACAGCCAAATTAACATCTAAGATGCAACAGTCCCAATCCAATGAAGGAACTTATTACTAAAGAATAAAATCCGGAAAGTAATACAAATAACTAGATCTATATAGCCTAATAATAAGCTTTTAAATGCTATGAAAATAAGAAAATAAAACAAGCTTGCTTGCTTTAATAAAAGCATTGGTCGCTCATAAAATCTCCTACAAAATTTAGCGGAGCTGGAAATTTTGTGACATCTTACGAAATTGAGCTTGGGAACTGAACTCGAAGACTCGGGACTCATGAGTTTGGAATCTTTGCTCCCACTCTCTGCTAAATTTTCAGCTTCTATACTTAATACAAATTACTAAAATCAAGAAGAAACTCATTAAAACAATTCGCGCGCAAAAAAAAGGCGTAACTACAATCGTTTTGGAAAAAAAAATCATATATAGATCTACTCACAAATACAATTCGTTTAACAAATTCATAAATCTTTGTTTCACACATTCATCACCCTCTTACATCTTCTATTATAGTTATGGTAATTTTATCGTCACCATAAAACTCAGACACAGATATAACCCACCTTGATGATAGTAATAATAGTTACCTAATATAACCAGCAATAAAAATTGTGAACAGCTAAGTGGATTTGTAATGGTATGTTTCTGTTTAAGTTTTAGTAGGTTACTCATTTTTTACGTGTTGTTTAACTCTCTCGTATATGGAGTAGATATATAGAGGAAATATTGTAATCGCGCAAAACATCGAAATGAAGTCTTTGAAATATCGACGTTTTACACCTCCCTGGGGCGTAAAAACTTATATTTTTTGCAATCGTGTGTGTGCGTGTGTATGTATGTATGTAATCACGATAACTTGAATACCGTTTCAGTTATGTTGACGAAATTTCATATTTAGGTTAAGTATATAATTATCAAATGTGTTATATCCCTCTAACTTTTGGCCCGTTTCCGGTAACCGGAAGTGTTACTAAATTCTTTTTTACTTTTTGCGCCTCCCTCTGCGCATAGAGTTTCTTCCAGGCACCACCACCCCCTCGAACGAAATGAAATGTATATAATTATATAGAAAATATATACTTTTAACAGTGTCCGCCCCCCCCCCCCCCCCGAAAATTTCAAGTGCCCCCCAGAGAAAAAAGTCTGGAAGAAACACTGTCTGCGCATTAGTTCGGGCCTTCCGATTTAGAGACCGCTGGGTTAGGCCTACTCAGTAAACTATACATTATAAACATACATTTTATTTTAACACATTAACGAGTATGAAGCCTACAGCTCATAATGTAATTAATTTGAACACATCCGTCGCCATGTTGGAGTGCATGCTGATATGGTCTTTGACCCTGTCTAGATAGGTTAAACTGACCTGTTTTTAAAGCAGCTAGATCTAGCTCTTGCCTTGTCTTGTCTTGGCATTGAAATTACAGGTAGAGTTCTAGAATGCTGTTTTTGCCAACACTACCTACCATTACTATTTTCTGTCAACCAGTGGCGTCACTAGGCTGTGTGTCACCCGAGTCAAAAACGCATGTTGTTACACCTTCAGCATATCGGGTGTTGCCATCTAGATGCATCTAACTAAAACTAATTGCTAATATAAATGAAAATAAACCGGTAGTGATCTCCCCTAAACTTTCTCGAATATTCTTATATAAAACAACAGGGGATGGTAACTGGGGATATAGTTATGATTTTTAATCCATTTTAAATACTTAAACTTTTAAAAATAGAATAGAATCTCATAAAAAAAACATTGCGCACCAAGCAAACGCCGAATAAAAACGCGTATAACAGTGCGCAATATTATTAGTACTTTAAAAATTTACATTAGTTTTTTGAGAAATCGGAAGTAGCGTAAATTACTACTTCCAGTCAACGGAAATTACTCAAAATTTAACAGAAGGTAGAGAATTAGATCTTTTACTTACATGTGAAATTTCATTTATCAATCTGAAATAGTACTCAAGTTATAGGCTTTTGAAAAATTCAAAGTAGGAAAAGTACCACTTCCGGTTATCGGAAATCGCTCAAAAGTTGATACGGATCTACGATTTTGATAAAATACTTATATATGAAATTTCATCAACCTAGCTGTAACGGTACTCAAGTTATCGTGTTTACACACGGACAGACACACACACAGACACACACACACACAGACATACGGACAAGATTGCAAAATTATGTTTTTCCGTATCAGTGAGGTGTAAAACGTCGAGATTTGTAAAAATCTCGATTTTTTTTTTTTTGCACGATTACAATACTTTCTCTATACTACGTATATACGAGAAAGTAAAAAAAGTTGTATTTTCTCTTTACAATTGTATTATTTATTTTTCAATTTGCTGTCACCCTTCGAATCATCATCATCTTTTTCTGTTCGTGCCCAATAAACATGTGGGAGATGAAGTAGAGTTCATCTATTTCAGTGACCTCCGCTTAAGAAGAGATGTGTGGTCAGCACTATGCCAGATGCCTTTATTTTCCCTGACGTGAGTTAAGCACCAATCAGAGTTGGGGACTCGGGGACGTTCGACTGATTTGAACCCAGATTCGAACTCGAGACTTACGGGTTAGCAGCATAGCGGCTCATCGAATAGTATCACCCCAATCCCGCCTCATGACACAACTGCCGGCCACCATTGCCTGTTTCTGTCAAAAACATTTCTTCATCTCAAGAAAACTAAACCAGTACACGATGTAAGTAAAGTTTCCTTTTATACCTGACGGTCTATGGGGCAAATGAAGTAGTGTTCACCTATTTCTGTGACCTCGGCATATGAAGGGTTAGCGTGGTCAGCACTATGCACAGCCGGCTTTACTTTCCCTATAGTGAGTTAGCTGGGTGGACTCAGGGATTCGAACTCGAGACTTTCGTCCCACACGTTATATACCCATTTATTATTTTATACACCTTAGGGTCGCTCTTAAATGATGACGTCATTAGTTATGGGGTGGGGGGTCTCACTTTTCTGATGGTGTACTTTGTTGCATCTGGGGTTGGGAAGACGTTTGACGTAGTAGGGCCAATATATTTTGCTACTCGTTGTTTATATTAAAGGTGGGGTCGTCCAAAAATGCCGTCACACTCGTAGGGTGGAGGGTTTGTACTTTTGTGACGATGTATGACGAGAAAGGGGGGGGGACGTCATTTATGAATAACTCTGTTATACTTTTTATGAAGGTGAGATGCATTAATTTTGTGACAACTATTGTGGGGAGGGTGAGTGGCTGATTCTTCAGTCTGAATATGTAATGATTGGGGTGCGGTATTGACCAATATTGCATGTCTATATTTATGGACGACCTATATTCTTAATACCTTAAAATGTTATTCAAAAACATGTTAACAGCACAATTTAAAAGAGAGAAAGAATTCACATAAAATCGTTTTATTTTCGCCTTCAGTATGAAGCATAATAAAACAAAACGTTAATAAATATTTTTTGGTAAAGTCAGATAATAATACTTGTATTTTAAATAGCTGTCTCTTTATATGTTGGAAACCGGGTTTTCTTTAGTCGAGATCATAGTCCACTTCCTCCAAAATGTTTTCCTTGTTAATAGAACAAAAAACAATATGTTGAGATCAACAAAACAAAAAATAAAAGACTAGTTAAAATGTTTATAAGATCAACAGGAAAAAAAAGAAAGACTCTACATTTCGACACAAAAAAAGGCTTGACTAGTTGAAACAACAGAACAAAAAAGAAAAAAAAAACTTGTTGAAATGTTCATGACATCGGGCGATAGACGTTTTATAAATGGAAAGACAACGAGTTAAAAAAATCATAGATGAGATCGGATGATAATTGTAGATAATCGCGTATAATACGTGTCGTGGGAAAACAAGAATAAAATGTAGGGTTTCGGTTTTCAAGACAGCGTCCAAATAATTTTTTTTACGGGCGTCCTGTCAAGGATCGTCCATAAATGATGTCACACTCGTAGGGGATGGGGGGGGGGGGGGGGGGGGGGTTCGTAATTTTGTGACGGTGTGTGATGAGGGGGAGGGGGTGGGGGTTCAGATGGTGCGAGGTCACACTTTTGCATTACAAAAAAGCAATGTCAGAAAATGAGTTTTAGACGTTATTTCGCGTTTTTGAAAACTGTTTTAATAAATTGTAATAGGAATTGATTAAAATACTCTATTTTGACAGAGTTTAAAACTCTACATTATTAAAAAAAATGTTTATGGTACAAAATTACAAATTCAAAAGCACGGATCATACCGTAATTCGAATAAAGTCCTCAGGTTCTCGAGATTCACCTACCTGTTCCATTGCTTTATCTCTAGAAAACTATACCATAACAAGATGTTAACTTCGTTTTAGATTAACCTTTCCTACACTATACCCAAACACCTATTCGCGCATAAAAAAATAATAACATATTCTTCTAATTTTCCAACAGTTTCATCTCAGAATTATGAATAACAAGATACTCACAAATCCGCCTTGATCAACAATCCATGAAGAGCATGTATCTGCCACGTAATGGACTGTAAAATCCATAGCTTTCGATGCGAGTTTTGTCCCCTTCCCTACCGTCTTGACGACACACTTTGTCGTGTGGAATAGGAAGGCCAAGTAGTTCCAGTCGACCTCTTTGCCCAGAGAGTTTTCAAGGGTGCATCGGAACCGGTCGTAGGCCTCGCGTGTTTTGAAGTCTCTGTAGGCTAGGGCTTTGTCATCAATCTTTAGACACAGACATGATGAAAGATGGGTGAAGATATGGTGAAAGATGGATGAAGACACGGAAAAGATGGATGAAGATGGATGAAGACATGGTGAAAGATGGATGAAGACATGGAAAAGATGGATGAAGATGGATGAAGACATGGTGAAAGATGGATGAAGATGGATGAAGACATGGTTAAAGATGGATGAAGACATGGTGAAAGATGGATAAAGATGGATGAAGACATGGTTAAAGATGGATGAAGATATGGTTAAAGATGGATGAAGATATGGTTAAAGATGGATGAAGATATGGTTAAAGATGGATGAAGACTTGTGAAAGATGGATGAAAATATGGTTAAAGATGGATGAAGACTTGTGAAAGATGGATAAAGACATGGTGAAAGATGGATGAAGACATGATGAAAGATGGATGAAGACATGGTTAAAGATGGGTAAAGACGTGGTGAAAGATGGATGAAGACATGGTGAAAGATGGATGAAGACATGGTGAAAGATGGATGAAGATGGATGAAGACATGATGAAAGATGGGTGAAGATATGGTGAAAGATGGATGAAGACACGGAAAAGATGGATGAAGATGGATGAAGACATGGTGAAAGATGGATGAAGACATGGAAAAGATGGATGAAGACATGGTGAAAGATGGATGAAGACATGGAAAAGATGGATGAAGATGGATGAAGACATGGTGAAAGATGGATGAAGATGGATGAAGACATGGTTAAAGATGGATGAAGACATGGTGAAAGATGGATAAAGATGGATGAAGACATGGTTAAAGATGGATGAAGATATGGTTAAAGATGGATGAAGATATGGTTAAAGATGGATGAAGATATGGTTAAAGATGGATGAAGACTTGTGAAAGATGGATGAAAATATGGTTAAAGATGGATGAAGACTTGTGAAAGATGGATAAAGACATGATGAAAGATGGATGAAGACATGGTTAAAGATGGGTAAAGACGTGGTGAAAGATGGATGAAGACATGGTGAAAGATGGATGAAGACATGGTGAAAGATGGATGAAGATGGATGAAGACATGGTAAAAGATGGATGAAGATATGGTGAAAGATGGATGAAGGCATGGTGAAAGATGGATGAAGACGTGCGAATGATGGATGAAGACATGGTGAAAAATGGATGAAGACATGGTGAAAGATGAATGAAGATATGGCGAAAGATGGATGAAGATATGGTGAAAGAAAAGATGGATGAAGACATGGCGAAAGATGGATGAAGACATGGTGAAAAATGGATGAAGACATGGTGAAAAATGGATGAAGACATGGTAAAAGATGAATGAAGATATGGCGAAAGATGGATGAAGATATGGCGAAAGAAAAGATGGATGAAGACATGGCGAAAGATGGATGAAGACATGGTGAAAAATGGATGAAGATATGGTGAAAGATGGATGAAGATATGGTGAAAAATGGATGAAGATATGGTGAAAGATGGATGAATACATGTGAACGATGGATGAAGACATGGAAAAGATGGATGAAGACATGGTGAAAAATGGATGAAGATATGGTGAAAGATGGATGAAGATATGGTGAAAGATGGATGAATACATGTGAACGATGGATGAAGACATGAAAAGATGGATGAAGACATGGAAAAGATGGATGAAGGCATGTGAAAGATGGATGAAGACATGGTGAAAGATGGATGAAGATATGGTGAAAGATGTATGAAGACATGGTGAAAGATGGATGAAGATATGGTGAAAGATGGATGAAGACATGGTGAAAAATGGATGAAGATATGGTGAAAGATGGATGAAGATATGGTGAAAGATGGATGAATACATGTGAACGATGGATGAAGACATGAAAAGATGGATGAAGACATGGAAAAGATGGATGAAGGCATGTGAAAGATGGATGAAGACATGGTGAAAGATGTATGAAGACATGGTGAAAGATGGATAAAAACCTTGTGCAAAAGGGAGGGATAGTGACATTAAAAATGGAGAAAATGAACATGAAATAAACATACAATGTGAAAGAAAAATACAGTTAGTAAGAAACCTAATTTGAAATATAAAAACAAAGAAACAATCAACGAAGACACTATGATGAGCAAATACATTATCACAGAAGAACAAGACTTGCTTGGGGGGAAAATATTATAAAATGGAAAATAAAATAGAAACAATAAATACATTCTATGAAGAAGAAAGAAAGACATCGCAAAAGAAGAATAAATATTGAAAAACATTGCTTATAAAAGTTGTTGAATGTCGGAAATGACAATGCCAAATCGAGAAGTCGCGACTTCAAACCCCCGGGCAAATGAGGCTCAATAGCTGAGGACAGCAGCCCATTTAGGAGTAAAAACTCCTAAACGAAACAACTGCTGCCTTGTAGTTTGTTCTGGGTAGGACAAAGGCTATAGAAGCAAATCCAGAAAGAAAAGCAGACTGAAATTAAGGTCAATAACCTATAGGGCTGGTAAGTAGGTCACCAATCAGTTCTACGGCTCAATAAAACCTGCATGAGCCATATAACTGGTTGGTGACCTACTTACCAGCCCTATATGACGCATAACATTTTTATACGCAACATTTATTTATTTTGGAGGAAACTCCCCCCCCCCCCACCAGAATTAAGAACGACGAAGAAGAAGGACGTTGCAGTGTCAGACTGAAGCTGAATACTTACAACCATTGAGTTTCGATCTCCGCCAATTCTCAGACATTCCAGAATTTCTCGTTCAAGATCGGTCAGTGCCTCTGTATAGAATTAATTGGTGTGTCAAATGTATGTTATATTATGCTTGGTATTGTACATACACATACACCTAGGTTAACACGTACAAGCACACTTACACATACACGTACGTACGCGTAAATGTACACGCACACACACACACACACACATGTAATCCTTTCTGATGGCCATCTGCCAATTAACCATACCAAAAAAAAAAACTGACACAGATGCTCTTTTCTGGTGGGCCTTTTTAAATCATATTTTATAAACATCGACCTGTATATAAACCTCCTATTAACTAAGACCTATCGTAATAATACGGAATAATTCATGGAACCATTTACCACGGTTAGCTGAGGCGCCTTCACTGCTGTCAGCCACCATCTCCTCAAGTTTAGTGGCGATCTTTTCGTAATGGCCATCCACTGAGTCATCTAAATCTTGTGCAGGCGGTGGTGCTTTGTAAATTATTATTTTACTTTAATGACATGTTATGTTAAATAATTATGTAAAAGCTAAATATAACGTAATGGCCATCCACTGAGTCATCTAAATCTTGTGCAGGCGGTGGTGCTTTGTAAAGTATTAATTTACTTTAATGACATGGTATGTGAATAATTATGTAAAAGCTAAATATAACGTGTTGTGAGTTCAAGTTATGTGTGGGACTCCGATGGTGGATACTACTTCCACGAATCTTGATAATTAAAAGGTAAGAATAAAGTGTGTGTTGGTTTTAAGTTTGATCACTGATTTGTACTGATTTAATGATTTATCTTCGAATTGTGATCATATTTTATTAATTTAATGAGTTTACCCTTGAACTATGAGCAAATGATTTAATGAATTTATTAAGGAATTGTGAGCACATTTTATTGGCTTAATCAATTTACCCTCGTAGCTAAGGTTTTATTTTATTTTAACTAAAATTTTACTAAAATATTGTTTTTGCTTCTCAGTATTTAGATTTTTATAGCTTTTTAAAAAAAAAACTTGATAAAAATGAAAAAAAAAATTACGAGTAGCAAGTAAGCTGAATTTTTAAAATTTATCTAAACATTCGAACGTTTGGCAGTTAGATCAATATTGTCATGCAGATGAGGAGATACGAATCATACCTTGGTCGCCCACCATCCAGCTTCTAGAAAAGCTTATGAAATAAAATATTAAATAGAGACAGGGCCTACATTCTTTTTTTAATTTAAATGTTTTGAATTTTTACAAGCTTTTATTTAACTCACTTCCTCGACAGTCTGTCTGTCTGTCTAGACGGAAACGCAGGAGTGAAAATTCGGACAGTTCTACTTGACCGATACGATTCAAAGTTAGCACGTGGGTCAAGACATGAAGACAATGCAATCGGAAACTAAATTTGACTTAATTGGATGCCTAATTAATTTTTTATGAATTAATAAATATTTGGACCGAATTAGTAGGCATGTCTAGCCAACCACACCACACGCGTCATCACCTTCAATAGCTGCGCCATCACGTAATGGCTGCGTTCAAAAACCATTGCGCGCCTACTGAACGTGATGTTCAGTAGGCGTGCAATGGTTTTTAGTCATGTAACTCTATTGTAAATAAAACATGTAAAGTACTGAAAAAAAAATTCATAAAAAACGTTTTAATAACAAGCTTTTATGTAATGATGCACTAAAAAGTAGAAAATAAATTATAGACTACTATTAAAATAACTATAAAGAAAAGCGTGGGTGTCTTCCTTAACATTAGTAAAGGTATCCAATAGATACTAAAGTGACCCACGCTTTTCTTTATAGTTATTTAAATAGTAGTCTATAATTTATTTTCTACTTTTTAGTGCATCATTACATAAAAGCTTGTTATTAAAACGTTTTTTATGAATTTTTTAAAATCTATTTACAGAGTTTATGGAGTTTTCTTTCAATATTTGCAAGGCGTAATTCCTTGCATTGTGTCATACAATGGCCACAACAGTTACTATAAAGCTAAGACATTAATTTATTCCGGGGGTTATATATAAAAGACATAGGTCATTGGTCATAACTATAAAGCTAAGCCATTAATTTATAACGGAGTCATATATAAATGACATTGGTCACAACTATGAAGCTGAAGCTAAGCCATTAATTTATAACAAGTGTCATCCATAGATGACGTCACGTTTTTAAAAATATTTTTTGACAATTTTTTTACCCGCCCCCCCCCCCCTCTTTCTCTAAAGTCATAAAATCACGTCACACCTCTGCCTATAACACCCGTCAAAATTGCAGCTGAATTTTTTTTTAAACATCGACTTTTCTAAAACGCGAAAATAGCGGTTAAAAATTCAGTTTCCAATATGACTTTTTTAAATGCAAAAGTATGACATGACACTATGTTTAACCCCCCCCCCCCCACTCTCCTTCATTACAATCGTGACAAAATTACGCCCCCTCCCACTTTAAAAAAAATAATTGAAAACGAGGAAAACTTACGTTCTTCTGCTACGGCGTAAGATGATTTGTATTTGCCGGGTAGAAAAAATTTGAAAAAGGGTGAGGTTTTTTTCCCCCATTTGTTGCCATCTGAGTAATCAGGGTTTTTCGGCTTACGTTCCTTGGGTGAGTTGTCGTCCTTGGTAGGTGATTTCTTTTTGTGCTTGGATTTCTTAGTTGAGCTCTCGCCGGAAATTGTTTCGTCGAGTTTTGTGTCTGTGTCCGACTTTTTAGCGCGACCTAGAATGCATCTAATACGATGGTTTATTCTTTTCCATTTACCTTTCCGTTTACGATTTTCAACTTCTTCGATATCATTTCCTTCCGAGTTTGCTGGCAACTCAAATTTTGTTTTTCCTTTCGATTTACTCTTCACTTTTTTAAGCGTTGTTCTTTTTTCGTCGTAAATACTACCTAAGGAATGTTTTCTTGGTCTTTCTTGATATTTATCTAAGCCATTTTCTAACAAGATTTCGTCCGAGCAAGACCTTGGGCGGTTTTGTATTAGAGCTGCCGAATTTCTGTTTCTGTTCCTTGATTGTACCAAGTTTTCATCGGAAATTTCAATTACGGAAAATTTTCTTTGATTTTCCGTATTCTTGATATAACGACCGCCTTCACGACATATCCCATTTTCAAACAGGTTTTTCTTCGAGCTAGCCCTTGGGAAATTTTGTATTTGTCCTAAAGAATGTCTTTTAATGTTTTTGGCTTTTGTACTTTGTTCAAATGAAATCTCACCTAAGGAATATTTTCTAGGTTTTTCTGCATACTTTTCACGATAAATCCTATCTTCCTCCAAACTAGCTATAGGATGATTTTGTGTATTTGAAAATTTTCTCAGACTTTCATGATTTTTTATATAAAGACTACCATTTTCTTTGTTTTCTTCTGAACTAGCACCTGACTGGTTTTGTAGTATTTCTTTCGAATACCTTTTGCGTCTGCTATTTTTAGATTTTGTACTATTTCTATCGGGAATTCCACTTGAGGAGTTTTTCCTTCCAGGATTTCTTTCTAAATAACCGGCGCCGTCGTTTTCTAGGAATTCTTCGAGGACCCTGGCGGCGTCGGCTTTCACTTGATGGAAAGAATGTTGTTTGCTGTTCTTGCGGGAGAGGTGTGTTGGCTCATCATTCGACATCTTCAGCGGGGAGCCTAGATATTTAAAAGATAACAAGCGCAATCTTTGACTTTAGCAATGTGGCATGTATGGGACGGCGTGGCATAAAGGTAGAGAAAAAGACTGCTAACCAGAGAGTCTCGAGTTCGAATCCGGGTTCAAATCAGTGGAGTCCACCCAGCTCTGATGGCATGTATGGGACGGCGTGGCATAAAGGTAGAGAGAAAAACTGCTAACCAGAGAGTCTCGAGTTCGAATCCGGGTTCAAAATAGTGGAGTCCAACCAGCTCTGATGGCATGTATGGGACGGCGTGGCATAAAGGTAGAGAGAAAGACTGCTAACCAGAGAGTCTCGAGTTCGAATCCGGGTTCAAAACAGTGGAGTCCACCCAGCTCTAATGGCATGTATGGGACGGCGTGGCATAAAGGTAGAGAGAAAAACTGGTAACCAGAGAATCTCGAGTTCAAATCCGGGTTCAAATCAGTGGAGTTCACCCAGCTCTGATGGGTACCTAACTCACGTTAGTGCTGACCACTTCATATGCCCAAGTCTCTGAAGCAGTCGAACTCTACTTCATCTGCCCATGTGTCTTGGGCACGAACGGGAAATGACGATTTGGCATGTAGTAGCTGTGTATTTAGAGGAGGCCTTAGGGGTACGACAATGCTCGAGTGGGGGGGGGTCGACAAACCACGCGGGGGGAGTTTATCAACAGGTTATCTCCATTGGTATGACGGCACGGATTCAGTACAACAATTATTTTAATTAATAATGTAAACTGAGCCTAAAATGTTTCTCTGTTAATTGATTTTACACACTACGGGGTCCCTTCTGGTGCAAGGTTTTTGGTGTCGGCTCCTACACTCCCCCCTCTCCAAACACCACTCCTGCCTATATTCGAACTGCCCCTTCCTTCCCAGTGGCGTAGCCAGGATCGTCTCAAGGGAGGGGGGGGTCCAATTTTTACCCGGGGACAAACTTTCGATTTGCACCCCCCCCCCTCAAACTTTCGATTTGCACCCTCCCCTCAAACTTTCGATTTGCACCCCCCCCCCCCTCAAACTTTCGATTTGCACCCCCCTCCTCATACTTTTTACATATACCGAGGGGTCTATGGGGGGGGGGGGGGTTATGACCCCCCCTAACCCCCCCCCCTGCCTACGCCACTGCCCCTTCCTACAAAAAATTCAAACAGCCATAGTTAAAAATGGATATTAGCCAGCTACCGCGTATTACTAGCAGTAACACTTTTTGGAAACCCTGCCCCCTCCCAACCCCCAACTGCCACTAGACTGAATTCAACACAACTAGCTTCTCCAACACACGGATGTTTAAAATAACCCAAAGCTGCACGGATACGATAAGACACTTATGGTACAATCAATACATCTGTTTAAATTTTCTCTACAATTAGTGTAGACTTACACAATTTTATTGAATAAATAAACCGGGAGTGATCTCCCCTAAACTTTCTCGAATATTCTTATATAAAACAACAGGGGATGGTAACTGGGGATATAGTTATGATTTTTAATCCATTTTAAATACTGAAACTTTTAAAAATAGAATAGAATCTCAGTAAAAAACAATTGCGCACCAAGCGAACGCCTAATAAAGGTGTGTATAATAGTGCGCAATAGTATTAGTACTTTAAAAATTTACATTAGTTTTTTGAGAAATCGGAAGTAGCGTAAATTACTACTTCCGGTCAACGGAAATTACTCAAAATTTAACAGAAGGTAGAGAATTAGATCTTTTACTTACATGTGAAATTTCATTTATCTATCTGAAATAGTACTCAAGTTATAGGCTTTTGAAAAATTCAAAGTAGAAAAAGTACCACTTCCGGTTATCGGAAATCGCTCAAAAGTTGATACGGATCTACGATTTTGATATAATACTTATATATGAAATTTCATCAACCTAGCTGTAACGGTACTCAAGTTATCGTGTTTACACACGGACACACAGACACACACAGACACACACACACACACAGACATACGGACAAGATTGCAAAATTATGTTTTTCCGTATCAGTGAGGTGTAAAACGTCGAGATTTGTAAAAATCTCGATTTTTTTTTTGCACGATTACAATACTTTCTCTATACTTCGTATATACGAGAAAGTAAAAAATGTAAACTTTACTTTCAATGGTTACAATAGTATCTAACATATTATTAGTAAACACAAATATAAACAATTTTTATACACGAAGGCCTGTATATTTTACAATTTGTGTACACGTAATTAAAACTTATGTGTCTTTGACTATATATATATATATATATATATATATATATATATATATATATATATATATATATATCCATATGTATTCTTATATATGTAACTTTGTGCATGTGTGTGAACCTGTGTACATGTATTTATAACGTTAAGCGCCATTTGAACAGGGGGAAGTCACCCATATTTGACAGAAGCGGTCATAGTGCATACTGCCTTCTGAAATCGCAGTTTGAACAGCTTAAGGTTAATGCACCCCATTTCTTAGAGACGATGTCCATAGAAGTTACAACTATTTCAATTAGATATATTAAATTGAAAGTATATTAATGATAAATCTAATTATTTACACTACATGTGTAGGCTACATCAATATCTGTGTGCAAACGAACCCCGTTAAAGACATCAACCTTATCGAGTTATGTTTTTGTCCTGGGAATACTTTAAGCAGGTTTGACATCATGTCTATAAATGGAACACACATTTTTAAATATTTTTTTAAATTTATTATTTATTTTTTTACAATGAGATTGCAAATCTGGTAACGGGCAATATTTAGTCAGTGGCGTAGCTAGGGGGAGGTCGGGGAGGGCGGCAGCCCAGGATGCCATCACCGACCTCCCGTAGCTCTACCATAGTCTTTGTGTTGTTGGACAATAATTTCTTAGTCTTGAAAATTACAATGATCAGCGTAACTAGTTGTTAGGGATTAATCAGTGTTTCTTCCAGACTTTTTTTCTCGGGGGGGGGGGGGGGGACTAAAGTTTTCGGGGGATGGGGTTTGACACTTGTGGTAAAAGTATATATAAATTCCATTTTTGTTCGGTGGGGGGGGGAGTGGTAGAAGTTTTCGCCCCCTCCCCATCTCCCCGAAGACATGCCTGGAAGGACTGACATACTACTAGTCAGCTTAAATTATAGATTCATCCAATTACAATTATAAGGTTTTACACAATTTTATACAAGAGGTCGTTCATTAATGACGTCACACTCTAGGAAGTGGTCCGTAATTTTGTGACAGTGTGTGATGAGGGGGAGGGGAGTTAAGACGTCACACTTTTGCATTATAACATAGCAAAGTTAGAAAACGAATTTTAGCCTTTGTTTCGCGTTTTATAAAACTGTTTTAATAAATTGTAATAGGAGTTGATTAAAAAAAACTCTATGTTGACAGAGTTCAGACAAGACTAGAAAAATATCGTATTTTGAAGAAAAATTCAACAGCAATTTCGATGGGGTAGTTGGCATGATCCCCAATTAGAAATTAAAAAAAATAGTGCTGCGTCACATTTCTGCCCCCTCCCGACTTCCCCACACCCCCTTGGAGCGAGACGTCACTTATGGACGACCCCAACTGCTCCTGTCGCTGTGTCGTAAAAATAAATCATCGAACCAGAACGTTTGATCTCGAGCTTGTGTCAGCCAGCATTAGCATGGGGTTTTCTGCCAGTCGGCTGTTTAAATATCGTCCTGGCACAAAGCCAGAGACGTGAGAGGGCCCTTTAAGCGATTCAGTGGCGGAGCTATAGGGTGCAGACTACGGCAGGCATTAGACAAAAAGGCGTATAACATGTATACTTTTTCCCTTCTACTGCAAGATGTTTACATTTAAAAATGTAGAATTTTGTGCGGGACTACCATTATTTTTCTAACGACGCGTTACAAAAATTATTTTAAACGCGGTTTTATTTTTTATTTTATTTTTAAACGAGAAAGCGTATTTTCAATGCTGTCCTTACAATAATAAACATGTATATTTTAGTATCACATTCTCATGTCTTAAAATCACTACACTTTTATCTTTTATTTTTTTTTTTAAACGAGAAAGCGTATTTTCAATGCTGTCTTTACAATAATAAACATGTATATTTCAATATCACATTCTCATGTCTTAAAATCACTACACTTTTATTTTTTTTAAACAAGTCGAAATAAAGTATTTCGGGGGGGGGGGGGGGGGGGGGGTACATCAATGACTGCGCAGCACCAGAGAGCACACACCCTAGCTACGCCACTGAGACCAATTCGTGTCATCGATTCTCCGTGTTTGGCGACCTACGTTTCATAATACATTCCTCAAAACCACGGGAGGGCTCGGCAGGTATGGGTATTAAGTTCCCCCTTTTGGCAAATTAACAAATATCAGCTAATCAACCTTAAAGAATTCGGTCGACCCCCCCTCCCCCCTTTTGCTCAGTCGAGACAGTCAGTAGTGTAGATTTCTCGGTCGTCGCGCCCCCATGATTCTTGTGTGTGTCACATGCTACTTACGTCTGGTACGTCAAGCCGGTTTTTTAAATGGCTTTTTGGCACCCGGTGGGACCCCGTCGCCGTTCTGTGGGACCCCGTTGCTATCCTGGTGGCACCCCTTTGCATTCTGGTGGGGCCCTTTTGTTTTTCTGGTGGGACCCGTTTGTCGTTCTAATGGACCCCTTTGCCATTCTGGTGGGACCCCTTTGCCATTCTGGTGGGACCCTTTTGTTTTTTTTGGTGGGACCCATTTGTCGTTCTAATGGACCCCTTTGCCATTCTGGTGGGACCCCTTTGCCATTCTGGTGGGACCCTTTTGTTTTTCTGGTGGGACCTCGTTAACATTCAGCGGGTGCTATGGGGACCCCGTTATCATTCTGTCGGGACCCCGTTATCATTCTGACGGGACCCCGTTATCATGCTAGTGGGAACCCGGCACCATTCTAGTGGGACCCCTTTACCATCTTGATGGCAACTTGGGGAGCACCTTTACCATTATGGTGACACTAAATTGAACCAAGTTACCATTATGGTGACACTAAATTGAACCAAGTTACCATTATGGTGACACTAAATTGAACCAAGTTACCATTATGGTGACACTAAATTGAACCAAGTTACCATTATGGTGACACTAAATTGAACCAAGTTACCATTATGGTGACACTAAATTGAACCAAGTTACCATTATGGTGACACTAAATTGAACCAAATTACCATTATGGTGACACTAAATTGAACCAAGTTACCATTATGGTGACACTAAATTGAACCAAGTTACCATTATGGTGACACTAAATTGAACCAAGTTACCATTATGGTGACACTAAATTGAACCAAGTTACCATTATGGTGACACTAAATTGAACCAAGTTACCATTATGGTGACACTAAATTGAACCAAGTTACCATTATGGTGACACTAAATTGAACCAAGTTACCATTATGGTGACACTAAATTGAACCAAGTTACCATTATGGTGACACTAAATTGAACCAAGTTACCATTATGGTGACACTCAGTGGAACCAAGTTACCATTATGGTGACACTAAATTGAACCAAGTTACCATTATGGTGACACTAAATTGAACCAAGTTACCATTATGGTGACACTGAGCGGAACCAAGTTACCATTATGGTGACACTAAATTGAACCAAGTTACCATTATGGTGACACTAAATTGAACCAAGTTACCATTATGGTGACACTAAATTGAACCAAGTTACCATTATGGTGACACTAAATTGAACCAAGTTACCATTATGGTGACACTCAGTGGAACCAAGTTACCATTATGGTGACACTAAATTGAACCAAGTTACCATTATGGTGACACTCAGTGGAACCAAGTTACCATTATGGTGACACTAAATTGAACCAAGTTACCATTATGGTGACACTAAATTGAACCAAGTTACCATTATGGTGACACTAAATTGAACCAAGTTACCATTATGGTGACACTAAATTGAACCAAGTTACCATTATGGTGACACTGAGCGGAACCAAGTAGCCATTACGGTGGCACTCAGATGAACCAAGTTACCATTATGGTGACACTAAATTGAACCAAGTTACCATTATGGTGGCACTGAGCGGAACCAAGTAGCCATTACGGTGGCACTCAGATGAACCAAGTTACCATTATGGTGACACTCAGTGGAACCAAGTTACAATTATGGAGACACTAAATTGAACCAAGCTACCATTATGGAGACACACAGATGAACCAAGTTACCATTTTGGTGATATACAACGGTAACTGTTTACCATTCTGAAAAGTGTTGGTTAACTAGGAAGGTCAACCATGCCATTTGTCCCTTTCGGGAAAAAAGGCTCGTTCCTGCGTTTGAATGATTCGGGCAATTAGTGTAAAGTTTCTTCGGGCAGACGGTATTTGAGCGTTTATATGGCAATTGTCGTAGACCCGTATGTTAAGTAATACAAGGCACTGCATATACACAGAGTAAAGTACCCTTTCGAACCTTATGGCCTATGGGACAGATTGAGTTCACCTGTTTCAGTGACCTCAGCATGTGAAGTGATATTGTGGTCGGCTATATGGTCAGCCGCCTTTACTTTCCCTAACTTAAGTCAGAAACCCCTCAGAGCTGGGTGAACTCAGGGACGTCGCACGTACTCAAGTCCGATATCTATACATAAAGGCTTACATACAAATATTGTTTAATATAATATATGTATACAGGGATGTAATGTATATATTATGTAACACATATGTATATGTATATAAATATATATATATATATATATATATATATATATATATATATATATATATATATATATATATATATATATATATATCCTTATGGCTTATACATATTGTAGGCCTATATATATATATGCCTATATATATACATATATATATATACAAAGACATATATATATATATATATATATATATATATATATATATATATATATATATATATATATATATATATATATATATATATATATATATATATGTACACATACACATTTATATACATATATGTTATATAATATATACAATTGTATTACTATCAAATTTTAAACAATATTATTATATTGGCCTTTATGTATAATATATATATATATATATATATATATATATATATATATATATATATATATATATATATATATATATATATGTATGTATATATATATATATATATATATATATATATATATATATATATATATATATATATATATATATATATATATATATATGCATACGTGCATACATATTAAAAATATAGGTACAGAGAGTGTGAGTTTGTGTAAGGCCACATACAATATTTAGACGATATAGTATCACATACCGTTATTGTAGTCTTACCTCAGTACATGTTTTAAGTGAGAATTTCCCAAATTTAAATGACATGCTTCCTTGAAGACCTATCATGTATGTACTCCAGTTGACATGTATAAGAATTACATGTCCATTCGTAGCGGAACTAGCTATATATATATATATTTATATGTGCCCATATGCTTACATTGAATGCAATGTTTCTTTTAGATTTTTATTCCCGGGGGGGGGGGGGGGAGGCACTTGAAATTTTCGGCGGCGGCGGATTTAATATCCGGGTGGGGAGGGGGGGGGGGTAGACACGGGTAAAAGTATATATTTTCTATATACATTCTACATCGCTCCGGGCGGGGTGGGGGGGTGTACCTGAAAGAAACACTGATTGAATGTGTTATATAGCTGAAGTTTACAACATTGATTCAGCGTCACGGATTTTAAATTATCAAAATAGAAATGATGGTGACAACCCAACCCTTACAAAAATTTAGATTTTTGTTTTGTTCGGTGTCACCCCTTCTCCACTTACTCTAATTTTATCTGATGGTGTCACCTAGTGCGCACTGCTCCGTCTCCGCCTTGTGACGCTAATCGGGATGTAAGCAATTTTATCGAGTGATAATGACCTAGATCTATGAGTTTCCCGACAAACTATGTCCCCTCGCGACAAATCGGCCCACGACAATAGTGCTCCAGACAAGAGCTCCTTTTAAAATAAACCGGGAGTGATCTCCCCTAAACTTTCTCGAATATTCTTATATAAAATAACAGGGGATGGGAACTCGGGCTATAGACATGATTTTTAATCCATTTTAAATACTTAAATTTTTAAAAATAGAATAAAATCTCGTAGACAAATTAATTGCACACCAAGTGAACGCCAAATAAAAAAGCGCATAATAGTGCGCAATATTATTAGTACTTTTAAAATTTACATTAGTTTTTTGAGAAATCGGAAGTAGCGTAAATTAGTACTTCCAGTCAACGGAAATTACTCAAAATTTAACAGAATGTAGAGAATTAGATCTTTTACTTACATGTGAAATTTCATTTATCTATCTGAAACAGTACTCAAGTTATAGGCTTTTGAAAAATTCAAAGTAGGAAAAGTACCACTTCCGGTTATCGGAAATCGCTCAAAAGTTGATACGGATCTACGATTTTGATAAAATACTTATATATGAAATTTCATCAACCTAGCTGTAACGGTACTCAAGTTATCGTGTTTACACACGGACAGACAGACAGACAGACATACGGACAAGATTGCAAAATTATGTTTTTCCGTATCAGTGAGGTGTAAAACGTCGAGATTTGTAAAAATCTCTATTTTTTTTTTTTTGCACGATTACAAGAATTTCTCTATACTTCGTATATACGAGAAAGTAAAAACACGTAAATGCCAAGTGTTCATTGTTTCTTTAGCTGTACACTAAAAACACCTGGAACATCAAGCCCTAATTATTCAATAAACTCTGAGCTTGTAATAACCAATCGCCAACAGAATTTCTTCCAGGCATCTCTTCGGGGGGAGGGGGGGGGGGGCTCTGCCCCCCCCCCCCCGAAGAAATCTACCGCCCCCCCCCCCCGAACGAGATGGAATTTATGTAGTAAAAATATACTTTTACTAGTGTCCGCCCCCCCCCGGAAAATGTTGACCGCCCCCCCCCCCCGAAAATATCAAGTGCCCCCCCCCCCCCCCCCCCCGGAGAAAAAAGTCTGGAAGAAACACTGATCGCCAAAAATTAAGCACCTTCTTCCGTTTTTTTTTTTTTAACTCTCACCATAAACTAATTAAGTCCTGTGTTGCATTGAGCTTAATGGAAAAAATGTTGGATTAAATAAAAATATAGTCTATGCTGTAACCAGTGTCCACCCCCTCCCTCCGGAAATTATAAGAGACCCCACATCCCCACCCTAGAGAAACTCTCGTGTAGTTTTTATTGTTTTTAATCTTCTCATTTTTTTTAAAATTCTACCCTACAGCTGGGTTTATATCAGTGGCTGTAGAATAACGACAGCTATCGTGTTATTTTTGTACAAAGCATCTATAACAGTAAAAATGAACGACAAAAAAGTTGTGAAATAATTATTTTTTTAACTTAATAAATTTTCTGCAGGATTTAGCTGCACGGTAGATCCGCCTCTGTTATCTGCATATCAGTCGGTATATTTAGACCTACGCGACTCGTCGCCTCAATGTAACGAAGCGTAAAAATTCAATACTAATATTTTAAAAAGCATATAGTTAATGCTCTAAATGGTTTAGACTTCTAAACAGAACAAAAGGTGTTTTGATAAAACATTACAATAAATACAAATGCCCATGTGCATGTAAGTGTGTGTAATAGTAATAGAATTGGTCGTTGAAGTGTAGGCTATTGAAGATTTATGAGGCAGGATTTCTTTCAGACGTTTTCTCCGGGGAGGGGAAATCACGTAAAACTTTATGTGTGTGTGGGAGGGGGGAGGGGGGGGGGGGGGTGTGGAGACGGACGACGACGCAACAAAAATTTCCGGGGAGTGGGCGAACACTGGTTAAAGTAGATCTTAAAATTTATTTATAAGTTAAATATTTTTCCTATTTCGTCCCAACGGCGACGAGTGGAGGGAGGGGTTTGGCAGAGATCCCTAAAAGCAACTATGTTCTACATTGGCAACGCGTTGCCTATAAAATATAAAAACTTCAGAAAATTGTGTTTAGGTTTTAATTAGGCCTGCGTGTTTTATTTAAAATGCGACAACAGATACTCCAAACCTGATATATATATAGGAAGTTTTATATATATATATATATATATATATATATATATATATATATATATATATATATATATATATATATATATAAGTATATATAAGTATATTTAACAATTATTAGTTACTAAGAAAACAAAAACACTGCTTTGCCAGTATTTTTAGCATCTTTCGTTGCCCTCTGCCCCCTACTTGGTGTAACCCGGTGATTTGAAGTTTTCATGCAAAAATGTCAGTTGTGTGAAGGTTTAACCACATAGAGCCACATCATTCCTGTGAACCTCTTTGGAGCATAGGGAAGCAACAACACCTATACATCGTACTCGGTTCTGGGCGATTCCTCCAAGTTGAGTCCACGAGATTCTGATGTCATCAGGGGCGTAGCGAGGGGGGGGGGGCGGGGGTGCGGACCGCACCGGGTGACACCATTTAGGGGGGGGGGGGGTGACACCAAGGCAAAAAATAGCAAGATATATAGAGAAAAACTTGAGGGGGGGTGCAAATCGAAAGTTTGAGGGGGGAAGGGGTGCAAATCGAAAGTTTGAGGGGGGGGGGGGTGGTGCAAATCGAAAATTTGAAAGTTCGTCCCCGTGAAGGGTCGCTACGCCTCTAGGGGGGTGACACCATTAAGTGCCGCACCGGGTGACACCCGACCTCGCTACGCCACTGGATGTTATTATTAGTTGTGTTACTCTCCACATCTCAGAACCCTAGAGGAGAACAGTCTTCACATTGTTGTTAAATAAACGTATTTTGGAAAGTAGAAAGTGCTCTCCAGGTTGTGCGGAGAACGTTGAATGCATACATGGCCTTAAATTGATGACGCAGATTTTGATGTCCTCGTCTGCTCCCCCATCTTTGCTTAAAATATCCTAGATATGTGAAGCGATCTACCTGGAAATAGTAATTTCCTTGTAACTGAAGTGGGAGCTCCTGTTTATTGTTAATTCTCTTAATTTGTTTTTTCCCCCCACACGGTCTTTAAGCCTCTTATAATAAGTGCTTCTTCGCTGAGTTTTGCTTAGTTGGGCTGGCTGTTGTCGATGTAAAAAATCTAGGTAATCCAATAAATTAAAATTACTTTTAAAAATGAAATATTCTTCAAACCCCCACCCCCCTCACCTCCATATGTCAACGGTAGTTAAAGTCCAAATCACGCTTCCCCGAAAATGTGACGTCATTTATGGACGACTCCGCATGAAGTAATCTGTTTAGCCAAACGGAAAGTCGTAAGGATTAGGACCAAGCGAATAAAACTCAGTTTAGTTGTAGATTGTAGGCCTACATCCTAATTATGGCCTATCTTACTTATAGGTTTCCTTTGAAAATACCACTTACCACATTTTAAGGCCTAAGTCATTGTGGCAAGTATTGAGTTAGGCTACACAGAAAAATGCTGCTATATTTACATTTACTATTAAGGCTTAACTGATAGAAAAAAAATGTAAAAAGAAAAGTTTTAATGAAGTCTGGAACTTAAAAGTTAACCTCTTTTGACACTGGGACCAAGTATTTAGGTATCCATTCCGAAAGCATTTCTAGACTAGTCTAGATTGGTTTAAATTTACTCTTTAGAAAAACCTGGCACGGGGTTATCAAGATGTCTGCTTCCATAACATTACGAGGGATACAACTTCTGTATGTTATATTTTATATCGTTCCGATCAATATATCCTGTTTATGATTTTTATGATGTAAAATATCTAAAATTGTAAAATATTTAATCAGTATCTCATAAGAGATCTGATGACTTACATTAACTAAACTAACTAACTAATGTGACTTACAAAATTAAAATTTACATCACTGGCAAGCAGTTCTAGCAGTAGCAGGCTCAGCAAACACCAACAATCAATTTATAATTAATTAATTAATATTAATTTAATATGGCATCAACGAGTTCACGAAAAACCATCATTATTGTTGACATGGATAAAAAATAAAAATCGTTTTTGTGAGTGTCAATTTTAACTTCATTGCAGCTAGAGTGAGTAACAATACCAGCCCCGGACACCCTTAGCCCGAAACGGAGACTCCTTTCCGGTTCAAGACACCTAATTTCGTTACTATTTGACATAGAATGAAAACCAAAGCATAGAAATACTCTCCATCCAAAGAAGAATAAAAATATGTATTCCCTTTTTTTCCATTCGCAATATAACTTTTAAATATATGCTCCCGAAACAGACGACCCAGTCGTCCTGGACCCGACTAAAATTTTCCCGTTTTGCCTCCAAACGACTGGTCTTTCCTCCATCCAACTAAGTCATATTTTGCTGTTTTTTTCAGCTCAGTTGAATAAATAATCTTTTACTATTAATATTTTATGTGTTTAGTTTTATGTTTCAGTGTGTATTTGATTTTAAATGCCAAAAATAATAAAATTTATAACAATGGAAAAAAAAAATAGTAGGGGAGATAACTCTTCCCAATAAAATGCTTGTGTTATGGTTTACTATGGGTATCGTTTCCAGGCAAAACACGTAAATTTTCATCCTCCTTACGACTACCCCCAAAAAATGTATTTAGTAAAGAAAATAGCATTTTCTATAAATATATATGTTCTGTAGCCTATCCCATTCAATTTCAGTTCATTTTTTCTGAAAAAAAAATAAACATTGTTTTAAAAAGACGCTAAGTCTGGAGGAGGCTTTGCTTGTCCCGGCAACATAAAAATGGCCGCCTACATGACGGGTTGCTTTTAATTGCTCATATCCCACTGTGGGTAATTCAATGGATCAAAGTTTGATATAAATGGACTTATAAATGGACATATTTGCTCCCAATTATAATGTTTCTGTTTAAAATATTCAATTAACAGTGCAATTAGTATTCAAAGTGAGAGTTACGGAGTTGTTCGTTTCGAGGCGCATAGTCGGGCCAGGCAGAGTTACTCTATATCCTGCTATATAGTGCAGCTATAGGGCTAATAAATAATTTAATAAAAAATAATTAAAATATATTAGGATTAGGGCCTGCCAAAGTAAAAATGTAGGCCCGCTAGCCGGAAGATGCGTAAACAAACAAAAAATCCCCTGGGCCTATAGGCCCCCTATAGGCCTATTAATTAACTTATTAAATTATTAAATTTTTGTGATGTTATGTAAAATTCCATCTCTAGGTAAGCTATTGAAAACAAAATGCACCACTAAGTATGCTTTAAATCAAACATTACATAGATCTATATTATATTTTATATGCCAACACTTACCAAAAAAATAACATCGGGCGCTCTGTAGGCCTATTTGTTGTACACTTTCCATTTGTATTTTATAGGTCCAATGTGCAGAGTTTATGAGAGTAAAGGAGCTTATTTAATCCTACAGATCTACATTGATAATCTTAACAATTCAATTATTTAACAAGTGGAGTTTTTTTTTTACAAATTTAATACATACCCATGTATAAAGATTTAAATTAAACTCCATGCCATGACCTAATTTTAACAGCCAAGGCTAAGTCTGATTGTTTTAAAATATTTTCATTTTGTCCTTAGCCCTTTATGGAGAAGAAGAATCCCAAAATACCCTGTATACTGGAAAGGAGATCCTCAACTCAGAGTTTTTCTACCACAGTTTTGGATGAAACTTGTGAAGCCAGAGATTGACATCCCAAAAAATCAAATTCATTGTGAAGTTCATCCACAGTAAGTTTTTATTTAGGACTACTTTAAAAAAAATTTAACTAACCTTATTTTAAATTATATGTGTATATTTTAATAATCTAGTGCAAAGGACAGTAAGTATTTAAGATAATGATTATTGTAATACCGCGTTTACACCTAACATGTATACTAAGCATTTCTAGGAAAAAAAACTTCGCTATAGGGCCTAAGATAATAGGGGAGCCTACTCACTTATTGCGAAGTTTTTTTTTCTAGACATGTATAGTATACATGTCGCAAGTGTAAATGCTGTATAAGACTTCCCGACTTTATCAATGCAGTTTCTGTCATTACTTTAAAAAACATACATGAGAACTTTCAACATGCACTTTTGATTGCTGACATGAGCAAGTTAAGTTTTGACAGGATTGGCAGATGCTCAGATGAACATGTAGAATTGTTTGGAGAAAAAAAGCAACATATTTTCCCAGTAATTTTGAAATGTTAATAAAAATGTTTTTTACCAAATGTAGAGAGATGATTTAAAAAATTACCTGTTAGGCCGCAAGTAAAAAGTACTTTTGTAGAAATTGTAATTGACTATTAATTGGCATGACTTGTTTAATGCAATTGTGGGCGCTCCTAAACTATTAGCAAATACTCAAATAGATGTGTATTTATTTTTGCCTCTTAGTATTCAATTTTCATAATTGACTTAGAAATTGAATCTACTGACCCATCTAGTTAAGAGTGGATACGTTAGTAAAATAAAATTTGATGTTGTCACACTTGCTACACACTAAATTTGTGTGCGCATTTGTTTTCTTAACAGTCATATACATTTAAATGTATATTATATTTGTTTATACATCCAACTTTTTAAGAAATTTGAGCTTCATTTGATTAATTTTGTTTAAACTACTACATTTTATCAAAAAGGTTGCTGATCATTGTTCTTGTCTTATAATCTCCTGTGGTCATTAAGCATATATTTTAATCCAGGCCAAGATAAAAACAATCAGTTTTACTAATTGAATTTCTATTTCCAGAATGTCACATTTTGACATAAAAAATTACATGGAGAAAATCTATAAAGTTCCAGTCTTACATGTTGAAACAAAGATCATTCATGGTAAGTTAATCTTAGTAATCTAATTATTTTCTATACTCTTCATGTATAGCTCAATTTTAATCTTTATGATAACCTAAAAATATCAAGTTCAAATTGTATTTGGATGCAGTTGTCAGAATGCACCCTAATTTTTTTTTAAACATCATACTCTTTTCTTGAGTATAAATCTAACAGCATGATTATTTTTACTTATGGGTTTTTGTTTACTAAGCTATATTCTGTTGGCTAAACCGATCATTGGATTATTGAATTCAATCTTCTAAATATAGCAGCAGGGTAATAGGGTATAGCATGTGGGGTGGGTTTTTTTCTTCTTGTGTTGCAGTTGGGTCTAGGATTATGGTACAATAAACCAGCCAAGCTGCTGACATTTTAACAAGTATAACACCAGGTGTTATAATAACATTCAGGTGTCATGTTACGGTGAACTTGACTCTCTTTTGTTAGGACTGAGGAGCCTAAATATCATTGAGCATGTTTTAACTCATGCTGTCAAGTGTGCATTATGATTGAGGACACTCAGCAGTTTTGCACACAATAATAATACAGACATTGAGTTTATAAGTTTTTATTCTGTTCTGCTAACATTTGAAAGCAGCTGGCTTTAAACAAAAGTCTATATTCAAAGAATAGTTTGAAATGCTTACAATAGCACTTTGAAAACATGACGGGCAAAGAGTAAAAGGTTTTTATATATTGTTTGTGACATTACAAAGTGACGTTAGAATTAAAATTGTGTTTAATTTAATTAATGCTCATAGAGTACAATAGCAACTTAAAGCATGATGGGCAAAAATTAAAAGTTTCTTATATATAGTTTGTGACATTTGAATTAGAATTCTGTTCAATGTATTTTATTTGCAGACTTCATTTCATATCTTAAATAATTTTCTCACTTTGATATATAGAAATTAGGACAAATTAGCAGTTACAACTAGAAACTTAACATTTGGTCTGAAATTTTTTATTTTGTGTGGGGAAGTGTACTGTTTAAGCTATTAATTCATATATTAGGTTTCTTCTGATGTTTCTTGGAAGCTGAACTTAATGTATTTTATTTTTCCATTAAATTAGAGTTTTTATTCAGTTATGCGGTATGGGATTAGGGACTCTTCTGGGTGTTTTCTTTTGTAGATAAAGAAAAGAACAGCAGAGCATAAAGCAACCCCAATGATAAGTGTTGCAAAGGCTATAGCTGTAACAGACCCTGCTGAATATGAGTCTGAATTGTTCATACCTTGTTGCCTAAATAGTAAAGACATGTTCAACCCAACTTCTATTGCATTAGGGTCAATGGTGAAAGTCTTAGAATACTGGGCATAGTTGACTACCAAAGATATTTCTGATTGCACTGTCTTTTTTAGCTTTTCTATTGCAGAGTTTAGAGATTCATTTGTTTCCCCATACATTGGCACAGGCCCAAGCAGTGTAATTATCAACCTTGTCACATTTTTGTTTAGTTTGGAGGGATATGGATGTACATCATTTATCTGTAAGATGGACAGTCCTGACTTGTCTGAAAGGGCTTCCCTTATGGAGTTTGAAAACAGTACGTAGTTTAGAGATACATCATGTTCAAAGCTGGCATTGACAGAGAGCATTATTCTAGTCACCTGGCTATCATTATAACAGCCAGAGATATCAAAATAACCCATTTCAGTGAAGATTGGACTTGGTCTGAATAAGTGGACCATCTTTTCAGTTATTCTTTGGTGAAACATCTGGCTCATTTTGTCACCCCAGGCCACCTGGTCACTTGTCCTGGTGGGTATGGGTTTTGTTGCTGATGTTTGATCATCATCCGTGTCTGGATACATTTTTTCTGGGTTCCTCATTATTTCTAGAAACATTTCATGCATGGAATTATATTTGACAGCTGTTTTGTTTCTTAGCGAAAAACCCACCATGTTTGGGTATTGGAAGAAAATGTCCACCTTTTTGTTTTTTAGTAAGTGGGGTGTAGAGTTAGTCCTGAAATAAATTTCTTGCGCTATTCCACCCACCTCTCCTGACCACACATCCACTGGTATTCCACGAACTGTGTCTCTTCCCTGATGAAGCAAAATTACTTTAATTATTTTAGCCATTCATAACATATATACCCTGTATACGAAGAAAATAATAAAACAAAATAAAGGAAATAAATGTTTGATAAATAGGCCTACATCGTAATCTGTGTGATATCCAAAAAAAAGTTAACTATTACAAAAGACTGGATGGCATGGTGGGATGGTAATGTGCATGACAGCTAGCCCCAAAGTCTCAAGTTTCCAGGGCGCCAGCCGTAGAGCGCCCTTGAGTCCACCCAGATGGGTACCTGACTCACGTTAGGGATAGTATTGGCGGCTGGACATAGTGCTGAATGAGGTCACAGTAACAAGTGAACTCTGTTTCACCTACCTCTTCTACTTCGAGAGGGTAACTTTTATTACAAAAGACAGTCTTGTGACAATGATTTTGTCACAACTACATTTATAGGTACATTTTTTAATAATCAATAACACTGCAAAGCATATGGATCCAAGAATTAAAAAATTTGTAATTTAAGTGCATTTACTCAGTTGATTTAATGCTGATACCTGAAAGTTGCCTGAAAGCAAATTATCTTACAGTTTGCCAGAAAAACCTTCTATAGAAATGACTAAAAGATTAAGAAATGACTAAAAATTAATACACATTGTGTTTTTTAAATACATTTAGTCATAGTTATAATCTTGTAAGAAAGTAACCACCTTCAGGTTTAGTAATATTGTTTTTTCTTAGTTCCAATATTCCCAACTGGGAATAGATGATGGCACAAAATGAAACCCAATGCTTAAAGTTTAGAGGTACCGCGGACAGATCAGAATAGTATATAACTTGACTATGTTTAGTGGAAACATTATTTTGTAGTTAAAGGCGCATACTGAATTTAATTCCTTTTTCCTTAGATCACAACATTGCGTGACAGGTTAGCTAATTAATTAATGATATAAGTTAAAAAAAATTCTTGTAAGGTGGTTTTTCTCACAGATTTTTCAATAGGAAATTTGTTTATCAGGCTTTTGACTTTTAAGACTGTCAGACTTTAACAACCTCACTTGTAAAATGAGAACTTAGGTGCATTATTTTCTTCAATTTTACTAGGTTGTGTTACACAGTAAATTTAAAGGTTTACTTTTCTTACCTGGTATACAAAGTTAGTGTTGTCAAAAGCAAAATCAAATATCTTCAGCCTGTGTGATTCCATCGATGGTGTGAAGTCCAAAGGTTTTATTCGACATGTCATATAAAACTGAAACATACATTGAATTAAATGAATGAATTACATTGTGTAGATGAGTGTTACATAGGGACATATCTAATGGTTAGTTTATAGCTTGTAGCCTTAAATCAGTGGCTCTTAACCTTTTTGGAGGTACCGAACCCTGCCAGTTTCATATGCACATTCACCGAACCCATTTGATTGCTGACAAAATACAATCTTGAATCATATGCGTTGACCTCCAAACCGAGAATAACTCCCCAAACCCCTGGGGTTTGGTTCAACCCAGGCTAAGAACCACTGCCTTATACAAACTAGAGCTTTAATGTAGCAAATGAAACAAATTTAGATGTTCTTGCACTTACATTATTTATTTTGTAGGAGACCATATTCAACATATCATCTATAACAGTGTAGGATACGACAGCAGGCTTTTCCCATTTTGCATTTTCCCAGTATTTATGTCCAAATTGCTGCGGAACGATCCTTGTGTAGGTTGTTTCTGCCAGGAGGTGGTAGAGGTCATAACGAAGACGTTCAGTTTTAGTCCACTGATCTTTAATGCCAGGCATAACGACCTAATGAAGCCATGTTAAAGATAAGTTCATATCTTTCTTCGGCTTGAAAGGGATGCTATAGTTAAATTATTATACCCAGCCGCCTTTCCTTGACTAGCCAGGTACCCATTTTATGCTGGGTTAGCTCAGTGAAGTCTAACTGGACTTAAGAAGCTTTAAATTCAGGGTAATTGAGAATTACTTTTACCTATCTTTTAATCAGAACTTTTTTTTTTAGTTTTCTTAACCCTACATATAAAAACATTTACAACAGTAGCACTAATCTATTAAGGCCAATAATGAATTAATTCTTTAAAGTATTGATTTCATAAGTGTCAAATGCCTGATATTACTTAATTCACTAAGTTTTTGAATAAGTTATAAGAACAGAAATTACGAAGCTTGCTTCTTTTCAATATAGGCTAATCATTTGTACAATTTTATAAATGATCTATAACATGACAACTAATCAAGAATCTCTCATTAGAGTATTTACTGTTTAAATTGTAGGCTTGTACATGATCTTTTGTTTACACAACCTGTATCCAACATACAATTTTTTTTCTAAGTTTTAGTTTTTACTATAGCTTGATCCTTTCTACATACTTACAGTTTAAACTGTTGTATTGGACATATTTAAGGACATACCTCTACATCTACCTCAAGTCTTTTAGGTATCAGTGGTATATCTTTGGTTTTTTGTTTCCCTTTACATAGTACTCCTCGGGGTATGGTAAACACATCTTCATCCAAGGCAGGTCCAGATCGAAACGATGTGAATTCATAGATGTGTTGAAATGCTTGTCTGTTTTACACAAAAATTAACGAATAAAAAAAACATATGCTATTATAACGTAGTGGTCGGATGGTAGAGCTTATGACTGCTCTCTTTAAAGTCTTGAGTTCGAATCCTAGGTTTAATTCTGTAGGATGTCGCTGAGTCCACTCAACTCTAAGGGGTACCTGTCTCACATTAGGGAAACAAAGGCTGCTGGGAATAGTGCCTACAAACTATCCCTTCATGTGCAGAAGTAATTGAACTCTTCTTCATCTGCACAATCTGTCCTATGCATGAACAGGAAAAGATGTTGATGATTATAATCGTTAATAATTGTGCTAAAATCCTATTTCAATCATAATTCATGTTACTATTTTGTGTTGTAGAGATTGAGGGTTTGATTTGAGTTAATTTAGTCAGACCTTTGTTGACTACAGATTGTCCTGATAACTCTAGTAGGTCAGCACAGCAAATACTCACATGCCTCTGGCTGGTGTTATGTTGTTAGCCGTACCATTAACCACCGCCCGTACAGGCACCTGCTCCGCTCCTCCTGCTGTCGTGTAGTCAGGATCAGAGAAGTAGTAGTCTAGCTGGTACTTGGCGCCCCATTCATGCACCTCCTGTTCATATCAAGTTATTTCAAAATATCTTATTTAATTTTATTCACTTCTCTACAATTATATGATTCTTGTGTTCCAAGTATAGTGGTGCAGCTGTTCTGTATCTGTGCTCATATGCCGAATCTCATAGAAATTTTATCCATTAAATTTAATTGAAATGCTATTTATCAGTTTCGGATCCCAAATTGACTATAATTTATCCTTAAATACAATTTCAAGGAACACAATTAAAATGAAATAAACTGCAAATGAATTGTTTTATATTACTTTCTCTTAATTTTCGTTATGCTTTTTTTCTAACTCTTTGCACCTCACTTTCAGCAGCTGTCTAAAAAAAAGTCCAAGTAGGTTTGTTTTTTTCTCCCTTTTCTGGGTGTTTCTATTCCACAAACAGTGAATCTTTTTCCTTGTATCTTAAATTTTGCTCGGATTTCAAAGCAGAACCTAGCTTGCTTAATGGCTCATGCTAAAATATCTTGTATGTCATGGTACTCATATTTGAGGTACCACTCAATTTATAGAAAAAGATGAGAATGTGGTTTTATATAATTTACATTTATAGTGCTAAGAGGTGATAATTTTGTTTTTGGCAGGGTTTAAGTACCATTCATAAAGATTTATAAACAAATTTTTTTGGTCAAAGTAGTTTTTTTCACAGATAAAGGTTATTAAGTTACTTTTGTTAGTGGATACTCATATGTTTTATCTACAAGTCACTTACCTGGCAAGATGTCCAGTGGTCCACAGGAATACCCCTAATGTTGTCTTTACCCTGGTAGACCTGCTCATACCCCTGTCCAAACCTGAAAACGTCATTGATGGTCGCCATGATGGGCTGGGGGTTTTTCCCAAGTTTGGTGAAGCTGTACACGTCATAATGCGCCTCTGTTGCCTTACATGAACCATTAGGGTAGATGGTGTACCTGTTAGAAATGGGATCAATCTTCCATTAATCCTTGTATAACATTTTAATAAGTCAATTAAAAAATTTTTTTTTTTTCTTAACTTATTATTTTCATTTTAAAGCATTGTCCTGCCTGATTTTAAGGCTAGTAAGTTATTAGACATACTTTATATAAAAAATTAAAAATATTGTCAAGATTGGAAAAAAACAATCAGTAGTATAGGGGAACACTGACATGGGAAAGATCAGCAAGACATAAGTTACTTGATGCTGACTCCCAAGGTTAGATGGTTTTCTATGCCTTATATTGGGTCCTATGTACAATGATGGCTTGCATTAAGAAGCTAGCCCAATACCCAGCTGTAATTACTTCGTAATGTCAGTATCTAATAGAGCTTTGAGGGTTGTCATTACAACTTATTCCATGAACTAGGACAATATTGCTCATCATCAATAATAATCTGTTCATACTTTAGCATTGTCTGATTGTTAGATAGCTCAGTGCCATCTAAAAAAACCAGAGCATAGCTATACCTCTTAGCTCACCTGTATTTTGGTGTGGCCTTACCAGTAACATTTATTATAATACATGAAAAAGTCTTTTTAATTTTTTGCCTTAATCATTTATGTTTTAAACTAGACTCCCACATAGATTCTATTCTGCTTGAAAGATATATATATATATATATATATATATATATATATATATATATATATATATATATATATATATATATATATATATATATATATATATATATATATATATATATATATATATATATATATATATATATATATATATATATATTTAAAATTGTGCTACTCTGTGTACTTACATTTCTCCTATGTTGTAGTCAAAAATGAAGATGGTTGTGCTTCCATTAAACGTTTGGCTCACAGAGGCCCTTTTGTTCACGCTGTCGTAGTGCTCCTCCACCTCGGTTGTCCGATGTTTCTGTAGGATGTTTGCCTCCACCTTCACGCTGTACTGCTCAGGTAGTTTGGGTAAGGGGACAGCCTTGATTGGGTGAGGGATGTAAGGAGGGGAGTGTGGAGGCATGACGCAGTTAGCCAGGTAGACCATGAACTGGGTGTAGATAATAGCCCAGTATTTGTTGATGGGAGTCTTCATTCTGTCACTGCTTGTGTTTACTCTGGAACCATTGCAATACTTTTATTTATTTTAGCTTAACATTTAACCTCAATCGTTGGGTGTTTGTGTCCTGAATGGACACTTGCCCAAAGGCCTACTTTTTTTCTGGATTTGCTTCAATAGCTTTTGAGCAAGGCAGCAGTTGTTTGATTTTGGAGTTTTCTCTCCTAGACGATCTTAAACTAATGAGCCTTATCTATCTGGATAAAAGCATGTTATGATAAAGGTTTTTAATCTCCATTATGGAACATCATCAAACATTATTTTCAAAGTCAACATTGTCTATTATGCAGAAAAATAGTTATTTAAAAAAAAATCTGTATTTAACTGGTAGGTGTCTTACCATTAAACAGTCAATAAATCTGTATTTAATCAGTAGGTGTCTTACCATTAAACAGCCAATAAATCTGTATTTAATCTGTAGGTATCTTACCATTAAACAGCCAATCAATCTGTATTTAATCTGTAGGTGTCTTACCATTAAACAGTCAATAAATCTGTATTTAATTGGTAGGTGTCTTACCATTAAACAGTCAATAAATCTGTATTTAATCTGTAGGTGTCTTACCATTAAACAGCCAATAAATCTGTATTTAATCCGTAGGTGTCTTACCATTAAACAGTCAATTAATCTGTATTTAATCCGTAGGTGTCTTACCATTAAACAGCCAATACATCTGTATTTAATCTGTAGGTGTCTTACCATTAAACAGTCAATTAATCTGTATTTAATCCGTAGGTGTCTTACCACAATCAATAAAGATCCTATACCATTAAACAGTCAATAAAGATCCTTAAGCAAACAAGGTCTACTAAGGAAGACCCAATTGAGTGGTGGAGATCTCAGTTACACAAATGAGAGGACAAAGCGGTTGTTGAAACCAGCAGACCAATTATAACTTGCATGAGCCCCCTCATTATAGTGTCACATGCTCACTGACAAAAAGATTTAAACCATGGCCAGCATAACCCAGTCATTAGGTGATTTGTATGTGCTGTCTGTGGCTAGTCATTAGAAGGTTAAGCCTGCACATTAGTTTTATTCAAAGTGAATACTATCATTCTTCTTTGAACATTAGTTTTATTTGTTTCCCCATCTTTTCTGTTCAGTATTTTTAAAGAAAGGGACGTTGTGGCTTAGAGGTAGAGAGCTAGACTGCTATCCCGAGAGTCTCGAGTTCGAATCCAGGTTCAAACCCTGCAGTCCAACTAGCTCTGTTGGGTACCTAACTTATGTTAGGAAAACAAAGCCGCTAGGCATAATGCTGACCACACTATCCCTTCATATGCAGAGGTCAATTGATCAGATGAACTCTACTTCATCTGCCCCATGTGTCTTGGGCATGAACCGATTGAGAAGAAGAAGATTTTTAAAGGGGTCGGCGTGGTCGAGTCGGTAAAGCTCATGGTTGCTAAACCGAAAAGTCACGAGTTCGAACCCTCGGGCAGATGAGGCTCGTTAGCTGGGGACAGCCACTCTTCTAGGAGAGACAACTCCAAAATTAAACAACTGCTGCCTTGTAGATTGTTCTTGGTTGGACAAAGGCTATGGAAGCAAATCCAAAAAGAAAAGCAGGCTGAAATCGGAGTCAATGGCCTCAATGGCGCATAACCAGTTGACACGTAACGCTTAATTGTGTTGGAGGCGTGGTCGAGTCGGCAAAAAGCTCATGGTTGATAAATTCGAACAAAGTCTCGAGTTCAACCCACTGGCAGATAAAATCTCGATCCCCTTCAACAGTAATAATTAAGAACGAAGAAGAAGAAGAAGAAGTACAGGTATATGTTTAATATTTATTTAAAATCAAAGTTGCAAGCAATTGTATAGCTAAAGGGTTAAAACTGGCTCTTGGAAGTGCCAACACTGGTCAAAACACACTAACTATAATATTCAGTAGAAAATATATGCCGCAAAATATTTGTCACACTTGGACAACAGAACAATGTTGTTACTTATCTATTTTAATTTAGTGTTAGTGAACATCTTATAATACAAACAATGAAACACATTAAATAAAAATATTAAGAATTTCACAAAGTTTTTTTATATTTTTATAGGTTTTAATCAATTAATGTCCAGCTTGAAAAATATTAACATTTTCTCAGTATCGTCATGTATTAAAAATGTAGTTAAAATTAGTTTTTAGCTAAATTTGTATCATACTCTGTAGCTATTGTATATAATAGCTGAAGTGGTTCTATTTCTCTAAAACCTTATTAAGAATCTTTTTATGTTGAATCTACTTTTAATTATTCATTTTAAATACTTAAAAATCTTTAAACTTCTAAACATTAATGTAAATGGTGGAAATTTTTCATAATCACACTGTGAAGTTCAAAGAAATAAAATAAGTTTCTTAAGGGAGGTAATTTGTTTTCATTAGCCAAAAATAAGCTATAATTTAATTCCTAAATTTATGTTAGTGCCCAAGCAAGCCAAAACTGTAACAACATTCTGTAGTTTTTATTTGCTAAAATGAACTATAATATTTAGAAAGGTACTTTCTGACTGCTTTTATTTTTGCTTAACAATTATCTAATTTATCTAATTATCTAATTGTTTCTAATTAAAAAGTGAGTCAAATATTGTTTTTAAAATCTGTGTGTAAATCAATGGCTTGTTTCAGTTATAAGTTAAGGGTGGAGGCTATTTTTGCTTCACAATTATCTATGTTTGTTCCCAACTAAAAAGTGAGTAAAATGTTGTTTTTAAAATCTGTGTGTAAATCAATGGCTTGTTTCAATTATAAGTTACGAGGGGAAAGCTATTCCGTCAAACGATATGGGATAAGGGATTCTTCCGGGTGTTTTCTTTTGTAAATAAAGAAAAGAACAGCAGAGCATAAGGCAACACCAAGGATGAGTGCTGCAAAAGCAATAGCCGTGACGGCACCTGGTGAATATGAGTCAGAGCTGATGGGGTTTGGTGTTTTAGATTGTGGTTCGTGATGGATCAAAGCAGACATATTGAACATTAAGTCCATCTCATCTGAGGCTATGGTAAAAGTCTTGGAATGCTGGGGATAATGGACTTCCACAGATATTTTGGACTCTACTGTCTTTTTTAATTTTTCTATTGCTGTCTCCTGGGGCGCTGGTTTGTCTATACTGTGCACAGACCCAAGCAGTGTAAGTATCAACCTTGTCACATTTTTGCTTTGTTTACTGGGAAGTGCAAATACATTATTTATCTGTAAGATGGACAGTCCTGACTTGTCTGCAATGGCTTCCCTTATGGAGTTTGAAAACAGTACGTAGTTTAGAGCTACATCATGTTCAAAGCTGGCATTGACAGAGAGCATTATTCTAGTCACCTGGCTATCATTATAACAGCCAGAGATATCAAAATAACCCATTTCAGTGAAGATTGGAGTTGGCCTGAATAAGTGGACCATCTTTTCAGTTATTCTTTGGTGAAACATCTGGCTCATTTTGTCACCCCAGGTTATCTGGTCACTTGTCCTGGTTGGTAAGGGATCCGCTGTTGGTTTTACCTTCTTTTTCCCTGGAGACTTCCATTTTTCTTTGTAGAGGTCTTTTTCAATATCCCGAAACAACTCTTTCAGTGATTCATACCCTACTGCTGTTTTGTTACTGAGCATGATACCAACTAAGGTTGGTGTTAGGAAGAACTCATCTGCTTCTGTAGTGTCATCTATATCTAGATGCTCATTGGTTGTGAAATACAATTCTTGCAGGATTCCACCCTCCTCTCCTACCCACACATCCACTGGTATTTGACGAACTGAGGTTTCGCCCTAAGGAAACAAATTGGTTTGCTTTAGTTATTTAGAAAAGCAAGTTTAGTAGTTATGTACAACCAACAAGAATACCCCCCCCCCCCCATCATTTTCTTACAAATGAATCATAGTTGATACAGATTTTTGGTTCAGATATGTGTTATTCATTCCCCCGCCCTGCACGACTTATTTCAAACTGGATAGCGGACATCATGAATTGAATTGTCAAAACTCAACACCTGTCATATGTCCTTAGGTTAGAATATAATTTTCTAAATCTTTTTAACAAGTGATTTTTTAATAATCTACACTGCACAGCACAGAATAAGATGCTACAGATCAAAGGTCATACAATGCCATAAGAGTCTGTTTTTAAAAATACATTATCAGTTGTCTCACCATGTATACATAGTCTTTGGGGTCGTAGGCGAGTTGCTCTATAGTCATTCTGTGTGTCTCCATGGATGTAGTGAAGTCTAACTCGCTGACTTGACATGTCTCATCAAACTGAAACAGTAGGTTCTATTGAGAAACTTCTGCCAACGTTGTTCAGTAGATAAATACAGTAGATTTAGGCTATTGCGCAACTTTTTTGGAGCACTCTCTAAGAATCGTATGCCCCTTTGTTTTGTAATCTAATGACAAAAAAGTATATGATGCAGCCATTTCATATTATTTTACAGAATCTAACACCCCTTTGTTTTGTAATCTAATGACAAAAAAGTATATGATGCAGCCATTTCATATTATTTTACAGAATCTAACACCCCTTTGTTTTGTAATCTAATGACAAAAAAGTATATGATGCAGCCATTTCATATTATTTTACAGAATCTAACACCCCTTTGTTTAGCAGCTTAATGTCATAGACATACGATGCAGCCATTTCAGAGCTTTTCCTCCTGTGATGCCCCAACTACTTCTACTCCTCAATGCATCCTCAATTTAGTACTCACGTTATTGATCTTGTACACAACAGCATTCCCAAAGTCCTCAATGACGGTGTATGTGACCACGGTAGTCTTGGTCCAGTCTGTAGCGTGGCTATGTCCGTTCATCTGCGGCACTACGTCCGTGTACTTGGTCTCAACCAGCTGATGGTTGACATCATATCGAAGCTGTTCCACACGCGTAGGTAAATCTCTGATGGAGGGCACCACTACCTTGAGAGGAGACACAGAGGGATATTCTGCAATGTCTCATTGGTTTATACCAGGGGTCGGCTCTTTTGATGTCAAGATGCGGCTCTTCAGCTCCATGCACACATATTAATAATTATTTTAATTTATTTTTAAAACTTCTAAAAATATTAGTCTGCAACACTCGGTAATGAACGATATAATAATAAAGTTTCTAAATTCTAGGAGAGCTTGCTAAATTTCTTTAATATGTTTTGTGCGAAACATGTATGTTATTATATGAATAAATATTTCATATTTTATATATATATATATATATATATATATATATATATATATATATATATATATATATATATATATATATATATATATTTATTTATATAATAAAATATCATAAAATTTAAATAAAAAATATTAGTGGCTCTTTAAAAAGTGAAATTTTGTAAATTGTAGCTTTTGGCTCTTCCGTCTCATAAGGTTGCCGACCCTTGGTTTATACACCTATATGTATATATTTCATTGGTTTATACACCTATATGTATTATGGTTATTACTCCACAATCACACTGAAGTTCGAAGAAATAAAATGGGTTTTTAAAGGGAGGAAATTTTTTTTCATAAGCCAAAAATAAGCTATAATTTAATTCAAAGCCTCTTCATTGGTTTAAATACTTATATTTACATGTAGCCTATTTAGCTCAAAGCCTCATTAGACAAACATAGGGAATCAATAATCCTTCATTGACCCTATGAACCCACCTCTACATCTACTTGTAGCCTCCAGGGCATTAGTGGAATTGTTTTGGTGTTTACTTTCCCATGACATGCCACGCCTTTTGGTATAGCAAACACATCTTCATTTAAGGCAGGCCCAGATCGGAAGGATGTAAATTCATAAATGTGTTGAAATATGTGCCTGCCAGAACAAAAATATACTCATTTCAGTTTTAAAATACAATAAAACAATAGTTGGAATAACTGCATTTTCTTTGACGAATATATATACCTATCAATAGGTTTACATATTTTGATAGGCATATATATTATACGAGCCGACCCGCGGCATATCATACGCCGCTATTTAGTTGTTTTTTCTACTTTTCAGTTATTCATAATTTGTGAATTCGACACTAGATCTACCAACGCTGCAACTGAAAATATTTCTTTAAAACACTATAAGTAGCTCGTTAAGGACGACAACCCCCCTCCTCCCCCCCCCTCCGTTAAAGTAAACTCCACTTAGTTACCCCCCCCCCCCCTTACGTTTAAAATCGTTTCAAACTAAATTATCTGCCCCTAATAGTTGTCACTAAACCCGGCTCTGTTTGTAAACATTTAGAGTGAACACAGCTCACTAAGACCATGTAGGGGTGGGGATGGTAGGGAGCGCGTTTACAGCTTGTTTTCTAGCGTCTCCCAGAAAAGAATTATATATATATATATATATATATATATATATATATATATATATATATATATGGATGGATGGATAGATAGATGGATAGATAGATGGATAGATGTACTGAAGAAATGGCAAATCGTTATGGTTCATCTCCGTATTTTGATTGTAGAAATCCTATCATATTAAGTCACACACCAGGTTTATAATTAACATCTTGTTCTCTTTGCCTAAGCTTTTACTACTTTTAGTAATTGTTGTTAAAGCTCTACATCTTTCCTAAACTGCTTTTAAAATTTTTTAACTTAGAGCTAGGAATGGTAGTTTTTACGTCGGGGCCAAATATTTTATGCATTTTGTACTGTGTCCATGCCTCATGTTAACTCTAGTAGGTCATTACAGCAAGTACTCACATGCCTCATGTTAACTCTAGTAGGTCATTACAACAAGTACTCACGTGCCTAGTAGGTCATTACAGCAATTTCTCACATGCTCAATAGGCCAGTACAGCAAGTACTCACATGCCTAGTAGGTCATTACAGCAAGTACTCACGTGCCTAGTAGGTCATTACAGCAAGTACTCACGTGCCTCATGTTAACTCCAGTAGGTCATTACAACAAGTACTCACGTGCCTAGTAGGTCATTACAGCAATTTCTCACATGCTCAATAGGCCAGTACAGCAAGTACTCACATGCCCAATAGGTCAGTACAACAAGTACTCACGTGCCTCTGGCTGGTGTCATGTTGGGGTTCATGTTGTTCGCCGTACCATTAAGCACCGCCCGTACAGGCACCTGCTCCGCTCCCCCTGCTGTCGTGTAGTCAGGATCAGAGAAGTAGTAGTCTAGCTGGTACTTGGCGCCTACCTCAGGCATCTCCTAGTGGTCCAAAGTCGAGCTTTGTTAATACTTTAGTCTGAGTTGTTACACAAGGCGTTCACGCTCTTTGAAACTGGGAGAGGGTGTGTATGACGGGATCTGTTTACGTGTTACGTAATATTTTAAGAAGTGTCGCTTTTATTGTTTTACTGGAGGCGTAGGGGCGTATATGCTCTTTAATTAAGGAAAGAGGGCATTTTGGTTAAATGAACTAAACATAAAATATTACACATTGTATTAGTGTCGCTGAAATACACTATGCTAAATGGGTGTTTAAATATTCAGTAGCCGTATACTTCGTGTATTCTCCTATGTTTGACTTATACGCAGTTGTTCAGAGACAGCATTTTGTCATTGGTGCTAGTATTGCTTGAGGTAGTTAGAAAATACAAAGTGACGCTTAACTTCGGCATGCTGATTGTAATTTCTTTCTCCTTAGTGTTATATAGGAGCAGAAGCGCTAGTTGTTCAGAAAGAGCTAGCGTATTTAATGAAAACCTACATTTTTACTTTCTCGTATATACGAAGTATAGAGAAAGTATTGTAATCGTGCAAAAAAAAAAAATAGAGATTTTTACAAATCTCGACGTTTTACACCTCACTGATACGGAAAAACAATTTTGCAATCTTGTTCGTGTGTGTGTCTGTCTGTCTGTCTGTCTGTATGTAAACACGATTACTTGAGTATCGTTACAGCTAGGTTGATGAAATTTCATATATAAGTATTTTATCAAAATCGTAGATCCGTATTAACTTTTGAGCGATTTCCGATAACCGGAAGTGGTACTTTTCCTACTTTGAATTTTTCAAAAGCCTATAACTTGATTACTATTTCAGATAGATAAATGAAATTTCACATGTAAGTAAAAGATCTAATTCTCTACCTTCTGTTAAATTTTGAGTAATTTCCGTTGACCGGAAGTAGTAATTTACGCTACTTCCGATTTCTCAAAAAACGACTGTAAATTTTAAAAGTACTAATAATATTGCGCACTATTATGCGCTTTTTTATTTGGCGTTCACTTGGTATGCAATTAATTTGTCTACGAGATTTTATTCTATTTTTAAAACTTTAAGTATTTAAAATGGATTAAAAATCATGTCTATAGCCCGAGTTCCCATCCCCTGTTATTTTATATAAGAATATTCGAGAAAGTTTAGGGGAGATCACTCCCGGTTTATTATATTCATGTTGTCGTCATGTTTCCTCAATCTTTTGTAGTAGAACGCAAAAAGAACCAGATCACAATACATTGAAGTATGTGGTAAAACTACTTCACGGTATAATACAAACACATTAACTTGTTACAAACACATTAACTTTGTAATGTAACGCAACACAGAATCAGATCACAACACATTGAGGTATGTGGTAAAACTACTTCACAACATACACATTAACTTTGTAATATAACGCAAAAAGAATCAGATCACAACACATTGAGGTATGTGGTAAAACTACTTCAAGACCTTACCTGGCAAGATGTCCAGTGGTCCACAGGAATACCCCTAATGTTATCTTTACCCTGGTAGACCTGCTCATACCCCTGTCCAAACCTGAAAACGTCATTGATGGTCGCCATGATGGGCTTGGGGGTTTTCCCGAGTTTGGTGAAGCCGAACACGTCGTACGTCGCCCTCGACGTCTCACAAGAACCGTTAGGGTAGATGGTGTACCTAGGACCAACGGTACATCAGTGCTGGTAAAACATGTGAGCACGGAGAAACTAGCAAACGGATTATAAATAGGACATATGTTTTGTTTTTTCGGGCTTCGGTCTATTTTAAAATACTCCTGTTTAAAAAGTTCCCTATCGCCAGAATGCTTGCTTAAAATGAATAGAAATGGGGAAAAAACATGCTCCCCCCCCCCCCCATTAAATCTGCCGGCACGTGAAAATGCCTATTAAGTCTGATTGTAGTAAAACGCGTCGTTTTTTTTTAAATTAAATACGCCACATATGGGAGTTATTTGATCAACACTGTCATTTTGCCTTAACTTTCTCGTCTAGAGTCAGGCACTCTTCAGTGCTGGGTGGACTCGGGGACAGTTTATGAGCCCAAACTGGATATGTTTGTATTAGCAATCTTCTACCTGCTGTTTAAGAACGACTAAGGTTATAATAAACTAGGGTTGCAAGAACTGCTTCAATTTTTTTAACATCACTTCTAGAACCCTAGTACGCCCCACTTATTATACCATTTGACTACAACCCTGACACACCCCACTAAGATACATTGACACAACCCTGATAAGCCCCACTAAGATACCTTGACACAACCCTGGTAAGCCCCACTAAGATACATTGACACAACCCTGATAAGCCCCACTAAGATACCTTGACACAACCCTGACAAGCCCCACTAAGATACCTTGACACAACCCTGATAAGCCCCACTAAGATACCTTGACACAACCCTGATAAGCCCCACTAAGATACATTGACACAACCCTGACAAGCCCCACTAAGATACCTTGACACAACCCTGATAAGCCCCACTAAGATACCTTGACACAACCCTGATAAGCCCCACTAAGATACCTTGACACAACCCTGATAAGCCCCACTAAGATACCTTGACACAACCCTGATAAGCCCCACTAAGATGCCTTGACACAACCCTGATAAGCCCCATTAAGATACCTTGACACAACCCTGATAAGCCCCACTAAGATACATTGACACAACCCTGATAAGCCCCACTAAGATACCTTGACACAACCCTGATAAGCCCCACTAAGATACCTTGACACAACCCTGATAAGCCCCACTAAGATGCCTTGACACAACCCTGATAAGCCCCATTAAGATACCTTGACACAACCCTGATAAGCCGCACTAAGATACCTTGACACAACCCTGATAAGCCCCACTAAGATGCCTTGACACAACCCTGATAAGCCCCATTAAGATGCCTTGACACAACCCTGATAAGCCCCACTAAGATACATTGACACAACCCTGATAAGCCCCATTAAGATACCTTGACACAACCCTGATAAGCCCCACTAAGATACATTGACACAACCCTGATAAGCCCCACTAAGATACCTTGACACAACCCTGATAAGACCCACTAAGATGCCTTGACACAACCCTGATAAGCCCCATTAAGATACCTTGACACAACCCTGATAAGCCCCACTAAGATACCTTGACACAACCCTGATAAGCCCCACTAATACAATGAAATGGCATGTAAATCACTCACTTCTCCCCTTCCATGTAGTCAAAAATGGAGATGGTAGTGCTACCATTTAACGTCAAGCTCATGGAGGCCCGATTGTTCACGCTGTCGTAGTGCTCCTCCACCTCCGTTGTCCACTGTTTCTGTAGGATGTTGGCCTCCACCTTGACGCTGTACTGCTCCGGCAGTGAGGGCAAGGGGAGAGACATGAGGGGACGTGAGTGCTGCTTGAGTGGACACATGGCTCGCGGCGCGCCACACGTGTAGCCAGCCGCTAGCTGGACCAGGACCTGGGTGTAGAGGAGGGCCCAGTGTTTACTCTTAGGGTGCCCCATTCACTGGCTGCTTCCTGATTTACTCTGGAAAATATTTCCCACGTCAACTACATAAACCTTAACATACACCTTAACACACAAGCGTGTGTTTGTATAATCCAGGGGTCTCCAAACTTTTCAGTCCGAGGGCCGCATTAACTATCAGATTTCAGTTCGGGGGCCAGTTTCTTCCAGGCATGTCTTTGATTTTCTGCGCAGGTTCCTCAGCCATCACCAACAAACGATTTTTCCTTGCACAAAAAGATCTCCGCGGGCCGGATAAAAGGACTTCGCGGGCCGCACCAGGCCCGCGGGCCGTAGTTTGGAGACCCCTGGACTATAATCGAACGGAATTAGCATAGATGGTAAAAATGTGTCCTCGCATACGGTGTTTATTATCTCAAAACTAAACGTTATGTTATCCTATAAAAATAACCTCTGCGAAATGTTATCATTGAAACTTTTTATACAAGCATTAAAAGTAAGCTTTGTTATTAACTGCAAAATTTTGTTAGGCCTACATTCGACATTATATTTTCTTACATTATATTCTTTACAAACCATTCGAGTAGATCACTCTTAACTACCTCAACTTCCCTGAACTAAATGTTTACTAACTAGTTTATATTGCATGCAAGTCGCGCTTTAGTATAGACTCATAGACTAAATCTAGAATAACTATTTAGATGAACCAGTTTTGTTTGGTGATGCACTTTGCTATACAATTTGTAATGTTATAAACCTTTTTAAAAAGTTGTATTATATAAACGTTGAAGGTCTTACCGTTGAAAAGTGAGTCCTACCAATTCGTGTTGGTGTAGTAAATAAACCTAGATGCTGCCTAGATAGAGACATAAATGTACCCTAATGAGGTTGGGAATGTGTGAGATTCAGGTCATGAAAACAGTAGGACAGACCGATGCATGAAGCCACCAGACTAATTATTATCTGCAAGAACCCCCTCATTATGAGGTCACGTGATCGCAGACAAATACATTAAAATAATGACCAGCTCGCACCATCTCTTTGATTACAGTTATTGTGTTATGATGGTTTTTTTTTTTGTCGTCTGCTTCTGGTGGCTGGTGATTAGGAGGTAAATGATTGGACAACAAGACGTTTCTCACGGTGTAGTGGCTCTGGGAAACTCGTTTATTGAGTTATTAGAAACTTAAGAGAGGGAGGGGGGTATCCGTAGAAAGCGGTTTACTTTTCATGAGAAACTATCATGTTAGGATGTTTTAGTTTTATGAAGTTTGAATTCAATCTTGGGTTTTATTGTTTTGTTTTTAGTTCTTAGATGCTAGGGTTGTCTGGTCAACTTGTGTTATACATTTTGGACATTAGTTCGGATAGTATTTTGATACTAATTATTGTGGTATCGTCAACTTGGTATTATGGGTGTTATATGGGAACTGGATGTTGTGTTTAATTCGGATAAACTTATGATAGTCTGGTGAGTTTGGATGTTGCGTTTATTCTTAGGGAACAGTAAATGGCATGTTCGTTAAGTTTGCAAATGTAGAGATTTTAGATAAGACTGATAGGGGGAGACAGTGCTGTGGCAAAAGTGTCGAGAAATGTTAAAGCTGTGTTTGGGAGCTGTGTGTGAATTGGTCAGGATATGCCAGGTTTTCTTGCTATTTTGTCGCGAAAGCCGGTACGCTACATCTGGTGAGTTTCCATTTATAGATCACATTTATCTACCCTATTCACATTAGTAAATCTTTTTTTTTAAATGTAGGCTTATATTGTTGTAGAAAAAAACCCGCTTATTTTCAAAATATAAAAAGTATGTTTTCCTTTAGTCGACCCAGCTCTGGTGGGTACCTGGCTGATGTTGGGGAAAGTAAAGGCGGCTAGGTGTAATACTGACTACTATTTCCCTTCATATCCAGTGGTCACTGAAACATATGAACTCTACTTCACCTGCCCGTCAGGTCCGGAAGAATACGTTTATCGTTTTATAAACGCCGTAAAAATAACCGGCGAATAGATTTAAAAATAAATTACCTTGACCCCAGGCCAGATGTTCTCGAGCCCCAGTGACAGTTGTGACAGTAGCAATCGACATGGCACAGAGCGACGTATCCTCTCGACTGTTTACATTTCTCTCCGCTGGTCTGCGTGTTGGTCTCCGTGACTGCAGGCCGGGATTCTCAATCTGACACAGCTGATGGCTGAACTAGCATTGCCGCTTGATTTACTTGCTCCGTGATCAACTGTCCGTCTAGCTTGTGAACGTTCTGTGTTAACTAGTGCTTGCTTAATTGCACCAGGACGAGATTTTTTAAATACTTTTTTTTATCGCGTTGACATAGACTCGCTAGCCAGTTAGATTTTTAAAATATTTTTTTTATCACGTTGACATAGACTCGCTAGCCAGTTAGATTTTTAAAATACTTCTTATCACTTTGAAAGACTCGCACGGCAGTTACGTTTTAAAAATATTTTTAATCACTTTGAAAGACTCGCACGGCAGTTACGTTTTAAAATATTTTTAATCACTTTGATAGACTCGCACGGCAGTTAAATTCCAAGTTGGTTATCACTCATTAATCACATGACCATTATTGGAAATTGCGCGAGTGTTAGTAAATAAAAGACAGCTGTAGATAAAGTTGTAGGAGAACTGGTCCACGTAGAATGAAAGTTGTACACTGACAGACACACGATTGTTGTGTGGATGCTAGAGAGCAACACATTTACCTCGAAACACATTTAGCTCGAGTGAAGCACAGAAGTCAGTGTCGTGTAACGGCCCCAGGGCCACTCAGGTGTGCTTGACAACCTTACCTGTACCTTGTGTTTTAGACATATGTGTCGCCGCGTGCACCTGATAAGTTTTACTTTCACCTTTTTAAAAAAAAAAATGCCTGGTTGATTTTAAACTTTGGCGTATTTTTATAGTTTTACGTCAGGGTTGGTGGACTTGAAAATAAAATTTTGGATTTTTTTTTTTACATTTCTCCTCTTTGTGTAGATCTTAAATCACGTTACAAATGATGTATAAGATGGTAAAAAAAAAACTATCTGATCAAAAGCCAGATAAAATAGTTGAATATAAATTATGGTCCCTATTAGTTGCCTTTGATGTTTTTTTTTAATGATAGTTGTTGTGGGTGCAAATATGTCATATATAGGCGTGATAGCATCTTTTTAGTTCAGTGTTCTGAAATATTCATAGTATGTGAATAGTAATTTGTCATTCACAATGTGTTTATATTTTAAAGTAGAGAAAAAATGTGAAATGTTTGAACTTGTAATGAAGATGAGCTTTTGTCTAATGTCCTCAGGAGCTGATATCTTGCATCAGACAAAGAGAACAGTCCAAGCTAGAGAGCCAGACAAGTTAATGGCGTACCTTGTTTTGGTAGGGACATTAACTAGCATTAACTTAATACAAGAGAAAAATTTGTGACGTTTAATGAACTCTTTGTTGCCAATTGCTGTTGGCTTATTTACTTTAATGCCAGATGGCGTACCTTGTTTTGGTAGGGACATTCTCACACATTCATACAACCAGCATTAACTTAATACATCAGAACAATTGGTGGTGTCTAATGAACTCTTTGTTGCCAATTCCTGTAGACTTATTTACTTTAATGACAGATGGCGTACCTTGTTTTGGTAGGGACATACTCACACATTCATACAACCAGCATTAACTTAATACAAGAGAAAAATTGGTGGCGTCTAATGAACTCTCTGTTGCCAATTGCTGTAGGCTTATTTACTTTAATACATCAGAAAAATATGTGGTGTCTAATGAACTCTTTGTTGCCAACTGCTGTAGGCTTATTTACTTTAACAACAGATGTGCACAAACATTTGCTTTTTTAAAGCCAGTCTATCACCACACCCCCACTTTATCACTCAGAAAATAGGGAGTGGAATACACTTAATTTGGTGTTAAACCTTACTAAATGATTGCATTTTATTCACAGTAGCAAGACCAATATTTGACTTGACCCCAAAATGTTTGTTGTCGTTGTTACCATAGTGAAAACTAATAATTCACACTTCATGTTTTTTTTGTTTTTACAGGGTGCTGGTCATGAGTTCACGTTCCCAGACATTTTTGAAGGGAAGAAAAGGCCAATAGATAAAGAAACAGAATCTCTCCAGAAAGCAAGAATAGAAGAAAAGAGAGAAGCCCAAAAGACGTGGGAGAGAGCACCCGTCCCTCCCTGGTTCAGATTCTAGCCTGTGTTGTGATGTGTTATTTATATGTAAATACATAGGGCATGTCTGTGTTGGGTATTAGTGGAATGGATGGTTGAATCTTTTAAAGGTGTTGATGTATGCTGGTTTGTCTGTTTTTATACTGTACCATCATGGCCTTTTGAATAGTTGCTTTACTAGTGTCAAATCTAAGTGATATAGGTTGAATAAATTTGTTAATACATTTTTGTTTTTGTGATTCTTTCTTTAAACTCGGGTATAGATTTAGAGGTTGTTATAAAATTGTTGTCTAAAATAAGCTGTGGCATTGTTAGTGTTTATAAATTATATGACTCATTGCAACATCCATGGTAATTATATATTGTCTATAAACAAGTAGGTATCATCTATGATGGTCATAGGGTTTAAATTGATAGAGGGTTAATAACAAATGAACTTCGTGGCTAAAATGTGACGCTAGTGTAGCATGATAGACTGAAGAATTCCGCTTGCAAAGCTTCAAGTTCAAGCAGACATCAACTTGTGAGGCTGGTCAATTTGCCAGGCTGGCTGAAGTTAAACTGTTTAATTTTGTACTTGTTCTTTACATCTAGAAATGAAGTCAGTTAACTTAAACAGTACAGCTTCTGCTGTTAAATAGACATACCAGCTCTACAGCATTTTACAATCAGGTACAATTAAAACTACAAATCATTCATTTCTATTCACAAAACTTTTAGGAAACAAAAAATGTGATACGTAAAACACCTGCAACATATAAAAACAATATTTTGTTGTTTCATGATACTGTGTATGGATATACTTTTTGATAAACCAGATGCTGTAGATAATGCACACAAGAATGCATAAACCCTACACCAATTAACTATTTTAGTTACATTTGTGTTATACACATGAAAAAACTAAAGAAAAATTACAGCATTGAAATTTTGCTTAATTATAATGTTTCTAAAAATTTTGTTAAAAAAATAGTGTTTGGTGTTTGTTTAGTTCCTGTTAGCTCAAAAGTCTGAATTCTAAAAGTTTTCTTTCTTCAGTTAAATAATAGGTTTAAAACATTTAAGAGCTAGAATAATTGGAAACTTAAGAATTTAAACTTGTACAGGGATACATGAAGTTATGCTACAACAAAATGGGCATCAGCTCATTAAAAAATAGCCTACAAAAAATATGACTTTTAAATTAAAATATCAATAACTAATATCAATAGTATGAGTTGAAAAGTGAAACTTAAACATTACAATTCTATCTTGTAAACTTATGAGGCATTATGCACATTTTAAATAACATGGAAGGAGTAGGGTTGGATTTGTAACTATTATTTTGTGTTATATGGATGCAATTCGGCTTTTAAATTTGGGTACTGAAATTAAAACCCTCATCGCTAAAGCTAATCAAGCCTTTGAAACCAATAGGAAAAAATTTCAAGACCAAATGCTGACTTTAGAAAAGTAACGTCTTTAGCATCATACTGTTAGGAAGCGAATGTTGGAAAGTAACAACTACCACCAGCAGATCACTAGACTCTTTCCAAACTAAATGGGGGGGGGGGGGGGGCTATGCCTGGAATAAGAGATGCCTGGAAGAAACTCTGTTTCACTCCACAAAATACAAAGCCAATTCATGAAAATAAAAAGTTTTATATTTATTTCTAATAATACAGTAGTTGCTGTATCATTTTATAAATTCCCTGGTTAACTCCCCTTACTACCTACGTGTGTGTTGGACATAATTTATGGAAGACACATTAAGTCTTTACAGTTAGTTCTAATGTAAACGTCTCTAAATAAAATGAATTCATATATATTTTATTTTAAATCCATCAGATCTCATAAGGTTTTTTGTTAGGCTGGGGAGATGGTGGTTTCTAAGTTTTATCATTATGCCCTCTACATTGAGTATGTCATTTATTGACGGCCCATCCACTCCCCATACGCTTTACGAGAGTAGTGGGGTTCGGAAAGTAATGTTCTATTTTTGTGTTATATAATTTTTGCATCATGACTATACTATACAGGAGCTAATGCGGAGTGCAAAATATTTTAAACGAGTGTTCAAAATTATTTTTAAATATTAAATAAAAGAACTTTTAGTTGGAATACTGGCATGATTTACCTGGCTATGCTGTAACTATACACAAACAAATGGCAGCTCCCATCAAAGAAACTAAAAGCTGAATCCTTCCGTTAGACCTACTTCTTACTAAATCTAGATCTAGTAGTAGACCTTGCAAGTACAAAAATAATAAAATATAGCCATCTGCAGTGTGAGTTTTGCTTTTTTTCTTTGATAAAATTTACCACGATTGTATGCGGCGACAAAACGTTAGAATAATCACTGCATTCACCGACAGCAGCCAGCAGAGACAGCACTGTAGTGACTGTACATCTACATCTACACATTGCTGCTACTGCTAGAGTAGACAAGTAGAGAGTATCAGCTATCAACAACTAGATCTAGTCTGCAGTTTAATGTATCCCTCTCATGCTAGATCTATACTAATCTATAGGCTATACTGGGCCGCTATACAGACTCAGATTAAACCGGAAACAAAAGTAGGTCCCAGGGTCAGATGACATACACATTTTATAAGCATAGCCCTAAATTCTATTTATTGTCTACCTTAAAGACAAACCTTGTAATACTAAACAGGCCTGTTTTCAAAATTTTCTTTCTTTTTTAATTTATAGAGAGAAGAAAAATGCTTGGATTGCTGTTTCCCTGTTTTAGCAGCCGGAAAAAGAATTTGATCATTCAACTGCTGATTCTCATTTATTTGGGTTTGGTTGCTTTTGCTTTGTTTAACTACTGCAACCATTGTGCTGTGACGTCACCTAGAAGTTTAATGGATCCAGCCAATATTGAAGTTTCGGTTCGAGGAGATTGCACACTGGACTTTGATAAGCTAGGTAAAGTGAATTGAATGTCAAACTTTTGGATTATAGACATGGAGGAAAGAAAATCTTATTTGCTGTAAACTACAGGGTGTGCCAAAATCTGAATACAATACAGTTGCCATTAAAGTTTCCCTGATTGTGAAAGTACAGGTGGCTCCCATCTTGGCAGCAGCCAGCCAAGATGGCAAAAATACACCTCAAAATACAGGGAAGACACAGGCTGTTGTCCACTCGAACTAATATGTAGTTTATTATTCATGCAAGTGCTCGTTAAGATAGGAGTTTATAAACTTTGTATGCACCCTGTATATCATAAGTAAAATGTATGCTTGTTATTACATTTAAATTATGGCAGAATGTAGGCATTATAATCTAGTTTTTAATCTTACATTTAGTATAAAAGATCAACTCTTAGCTTCTAAAATTGACTAATCTAACAGGTTTGTTAACTAATTAAATAAGTTCATGTTAAAAAAAAATTAAAAAAAAGATAGTGCTAGGTCAATTTTGCAGAATTATATTGTATTTTTATTATTGATAATGACTATTCATATATCACAAAGACTGTTTTCCAAATAAATAATTACTACTATAGGGGATGCTAGATATGGCGGTGTCTCATGTTTGGATCTCATTTTGGACTTCTGACTGAAGAATGTCTCTGAGTCCACAGAGACTTAAGGTGGGGAAAGTAAAGCTGAGGTCTTGTATTTTATTTTGTTTGACTTTTATTGCTCAACCATGAGTGACCTGTGGTGCAACCACCGGTACTTTTCCATAGTTCCAAGAAAGACATATACCCAGTATTTTTCCATCACCAGTGGTGGTGTAATACTTTTATACTTTCGATTGGTTGATTCGGACATCGGAGGTGTCCCAACCAATAGTCTTATGTTTTGAAGGTGACCTCCCATGTTGCCTCAGGTGTCAAATAGTCTGCGCACACTTTTCTGCAAGCAGCCGACCACAGCAGTCCATAGCAGCAGTCAGACCAGACATCTTTGAGAGAGAAAGCCTTGAGTGTCGCTATTTTGTAGCCTATAGTTTTTAAGCAGCATTTTTCCATTATTACTTGTGGTTTTAAGTAATATTTTGTGCTTTAAGTAGTGTCGTGTAAGCTGTGGTGATTTTCTTGAGTGCCATATCCTGTGATAGTGTAACATAGTGTTTTTTCCTCAAATAGTAAGTTGGGTTTTTGTTATTTTACTCATTCATTTTATTCTGTATAAAGCTAGAGTCTTATCTTGAATTTGTACACATATTAAAAGTTATATATGGATTAAATGTGTTGCTGGTATCAGGAGTTCATCGAGTGTATCCCCTAGACGTTAAGTACGTGTCCTCGTTAACTGTTGTGCTAGTTACCATTTATAGGGCTTTAAGCCATCTGTGTATAACCATCTTAACGAACCCGGGTACGTTCGCCAGCTCTCTGGCTGATAGAGTGGTGTTTTGTAATACTGACAACACCATCCCTTCATATGCCAAGGTCAAGAAACATTAGCTATACTTCATGTGCTTAATGGATTGCTATGTCTAAAGAGGAACTTTACTTTATAGGGGTTGTGACTGCTCATAACAACTTTAATTTTGCTTATTATATTATTTTAATATAAAAATGTCACCATTATTCATACATAGATTTAAAAATTTTTTTTATCTTTATCCAGGTGTTCAAGAAGTTCATAAGTATGATGATCCCAGTGAAGAAAGTATAATCGCGGCTAATCCAAATGTAACACGAGGAGGAAAATGGGCCCCTACTGATTGTAAAGCATGGCAGAAAGTTGCCATTATTTTACCTTATAGAGATCGCGTCCATCCTCTGAAGCTCTTATTGCGGCGCCTTCATCCCATGCTTCAAATACAGAAACTTGACTACCAGATTTTTGTTATAGAACAGGTACATTGTTGTGTTCATTTTCTGTAGTAAAGTTAATGTATCAAGTGTGTTGTGATGTGTGTTTTACCAGTGTGTTTTGGTGCGAAGGGCTGTGGGAAAGTTGAACCAGACTTGATCCACTATCAAGTAAGAATGCTGCTATCATTATCAGTCACTATACATCAAAGCTATACAATTTTGTTAATTTCTTCAAACAAAAATGTGTAGAAATTTCCTTTCAAGACCTAAGGGAATCACTTGATTATGTGGATGTTACATATAAAATTATTGTATGATGAACTGGTCCACGTTAACTGGACTTAACGTAAAGTTGAAGATTAAAACTTCAGGAATATTTCATTGTCATTTTTGTTTCCTCAAATCTAAATTTGGACTTTAATATATCATCGAAACAAAATTTAGTGATACATTTGCCTTTTTTATCATAGCTTTACTCAGCGATTTGTTGTTTTTTACACTGAAAATCTAAAATTTCTCTTCTCAACCAGGCAGGAACAGGGCAGTTCAATCGAGGAAAGCTGTTCAATGTCGGCTTCATGGAGGCTATCAAGTCCCAGGATTTTGATTGTCTAATCTTCCACGATGTTGACCTGCTGCCAGAGGATGACCGCAACTTGTACTTGTGTGATGAGCATGGGCGCCACCTGGAGACCGCCACAGATGATCTCAGATACCAGTGAGGTTTCTCTTAAAGTTGGCTGCAGTTGTGGCTGGAATACTTGTGTTTTTAACTTCATTTTCATAATCAGTAGATTTCATTTATAATTTTCTGATTTTAAATTTTAAAAATTAGCTTACTTTTATTAATAAAACTACATCATTATTATTTTCTATTTACAAAGCTGTTTAAAAAATTATTTTTGACATTGTTTTATAAAATTATGCTGTTTCTGTTCCAGTTTGAAATACTACAACTATGCAGGCGGAGTTGTTGCTATTAACGCATTCAACTTTCAGCGCATCAATGGATTTGCTAACTCCTACTGGGGTTGGGGCAATGAAGATGATGATTTTTCAGCCAGGTTATACCTTTCATTACCCTTTTTGCTACCATTCTTTGAAAATTTAGTCAAGGATATGGTTAGAGCTCAAGTTGTAGAATCCTTTTTTTAAAAAATGTTAACTTGATTTAAAAATAAATAATTTTTAAAAATAATTTCCTTTATTGTAAATACTGAACAAACATCACCCAAATGCTACAATCAAAGAAGTTTTTTCTTTATTGTAATTGTAAGCTATTCTGTTATAGAATTACAGAGTCAGGCCTGTTACTCACTAGACCACCAGAGATCATTGGCAGATACCAGATGGTTCCACACATGAAAAACTCCAGATCTTCTTCTGGGTAAGTTATTAGTGTGGGATTTTAAAAAAAAACAACTTTTAAGTCAATTAGAAATTAATTAACTTTCTTAGGGACAGCATGGTTGATTGGTAGAGCTAACGACTGCTAGCCTGAAAGTCTTGAGTTCAAATCCTAGGCTGAAGTGTGTAGGACATGCCTGAGTCCACCCAGCTCTGATTGGTACAAGACTCTTGTTAGGGAAACTGGTTGGGCATAGTGCTGACACTATCCCTTATATGACAAGGTTATTAAAACAGGTGAAATGTTTCTTGGGCACAAATGGCAAAAGATAATGATGAACTTTCTTAATTCAATTTTTGTTTTAATAATTAGGTTATTTGTTTTGAGTGTTTATTGAATGATTACAATTTCTTTTTTTTAAAGAAATGGAATGTTTTTTGGATGGAGAAGAAGATGGCAGACAGATGGGCTCAATGACCCTGTGGGAATGAACTACACAGTGGTCAGCATAGAAGCTGCTCCACTGTTTACCAAAGTGACTGTGGATATCGGGGCTCCACCACCTGATATGGATGTCTACATGAAGGACCACTCCCAGGATATCTCGCTCTGGTGGTGAGGCTTTTGTTTATATGTCACTCAGTATAATGTTGAGATGTTCAGGTTTAAGTAGTTTATCTGATGATTGGTTCCACATTAGTTTTATACATGCATATAGTCTGGAAACTGTTTGTTGAGTCTTAGGTTAGGTTTGCCTGTCGCCCCTCCTGGGACATAGGCCGCTGACAAGAGCTTTCCAGGCATCTCTGTCCTGGGCTTGTCTCTCCAACTGTCCCTAGGTGTATCCAATCTTCTTGGTGTTTTCTTGGTGTCTTCCAGGTCACATCTCCAGCTCTTTCTTGGTCTGCCTCTCTTCCTCCTTCCCTGTGGATTCCAGGTTGTTGAGTCTTACTGCTGGCAATTTCCATATTCCTAATGGTTTTTAAAAAAATTATTATTTACAAGTGATTTTTCACTATCCTTGGTGATCAAACGCTTGTCCTATAAATGATGTCATGCAATTTGAATTGTTTCATCCGCCCTCTAAAATAACCCCAATTTTAATAGGCAGAACATTTTTTTATCAATTTTACTTTTTAAGAAATATAAAATATATTCCCATTTCCTATTCCCCCCCCCTCCTCCCCACCACCACCACATCATAACAAAAAAAACCTGAAGCCCACTGTCCCACTTGATTCATGGATGACCCTTCGGTAATCTAAGCTCCTATCTCTTAATAAGGGTAGAATGATAATCTAATTCCTACATTTAACAAGACTTGACAGAAACCTACATTTATGGCTTAAAATGTATTATTGAGAGATCGACAAAGATATGTTAATAAAGATGATTATTATTGTAACTATCAGTTCATGCTTTTGTTTATCTGAACAGGTTTCTATCATTCTACTATCCATAACTTCCGCTGTTGTTCAATGAGGAGAGAAGAACTTCCTGGCACCAGACTTCTGCTCAACTACATGTAACTTTTTAAATGTACTTTTAATATACTTGTTGTGACAAGGGATCTTTCATTTTTATGGTTAATGGAGTATTTTGGAATATCATTGATGTAGTTTTGTCCCTTGTTTTTAACCTGTAATCTTTAGCATTACAAAAAATATGAGCAAGACTACATATAAGAACTTTATATGTTTTGTAGTTTTTTTTTGTGTGTGCTGGTGATTGCAAATTACATTATTTTAAAAAATGAGACAATCTTTGTTATTGTTAAACATACATTCAGATTGTGCAAGGGTTAGAGCTACTGAAGTGAGTTTATGATTTGTTGTGCAGTTTTGTTGTGAACCCACTTGCAGAGTATTTTGTACACATTCTCTCATATCCATAATCCACTTTTCATTCTCTAATGTCTATAATTTATTTATCATTCTCTCATATGTATAATCCATTTTTGAATCTGATTGATTTAGCTTTGATTATTGTGTTCATGTTAAATTGTATTAAAATGGTCTATACTGCTGGTAATTAACTTGTATTTATGCAAATTGTACTCAATAATATTGTTTTAATATTAAATAATATTAATGTTTTACTTAACTAAAAAAAAAAACTAAACTAAATGAAGGGAATACTTGTATTGTTGAATCATAATAATCTTTTTTACATCAGTGTCCAATACACATGGGTAGATGAAGTAGAGCTCAGTATGGTCAGTATTATGCCCATCTTCCTTAGTTTTCTTTAATGTGAGTCAGGAACCCACCAGAGCTGTGTAGAACATTAGATGTCTAATGGATTAATTCTGAAATCTGAACTCATGATTTGTAGGTCAGCAGTTGTGTGCGCTACCATCCCATCACACTTACCCTAGAGTGTTCAACAAATACATTAATTACTAAATTCTCTGTAATGTTTGAACCAGTGTAGTGGGGATGTGGGTAATGCCACAAGGAAAGAGATCCCCGAATTTTAAAGCAGGGATTTTTTTTATAGCAGTTAATGCTTTGCATTTACAGAATAATGTATTTTAAAGGGGCAGAGAAGCATTTGTGTTAATTTATTGTGACAAGAACGGATTTAACTAAAAAAAAAAGCTTTGATATTTATTAGGAAGAAAATGATTTTTTTCTGTGATAGTTTTTCCATCTACAATATTATACAAATTATTGTACATTTTTTTTAGCTGTAGCTCGCAAATGCTGATTTTTCGTCATTGTAAACTGACCATCAATAAAAACAAATTCTGTTGGTATTTTGTCTTCCAATGTGCCAATAGTAATTCCTCCACATTGTTTTACAAGTTGATTAGTATGTGACATATACTAACATATCCTTCTTTTAATAACATATCAGCTTTTTTAGTGTGTATGATTTTACTGCACTTTATTGAGTCACGTTGTGCCACATGCATTTTGAAAAAACATTAAAAATTTGTTTCTTTTTTAGATTTTATATATATATATAAATATATTTATCTATCTCAATACCTATATATATATATATATATATATATATATATATATATATATATATATATATATATATATATATATATATATATATATAAAATATGTATCAAATGTTCAAGACAATTTACAATTTAAAGGACATTTTTTTTTCTTTGTCGTGTTTCATGCATAATTTGTTAATTTTCTTCCCTCTGTTACAGATGTTTTGATTACTGCTTACTTTTTTATAAGCTGATTTATTTTGAAAATATTTTTTATACAAGCAATAACTGTGTTACTTTGATTATTGTTCTTTTTTTCAAATCGAATATTGCTGTCTTGAAGTTGAATTTTAAAAAAATTGTTGATTGGTTTAATTATGTGGGGTATGTTATGTAAATCAGGAAATCATTAAGCTATAATTATGTGTTTTTTTAAACATTTTTGTTGGTTCAACATTCCTGTTCATCGGTAAGATTAAGTTTTCTTTTTTTCCTATCTATTATCAGAGCTGATTTAGAAAAATTATAACTATCATGCTAAATAAAATGTGTATATATTTCAGTTAAACAGGAAATGTCATTTTAAAAATATTTTTAGTTTGAGAATGAACTATTTGGCTATTGTATAAATGTGCTCACCTTAATCCTGGAAATGTTTCCTGCTTGATGCCAAAGTAGCATGGGTTATTAATAGTGTAGATTTAAATTTTAAAATAATTATCAGGTGTTGACCTAAATAAATCTATCACTTAAGGTTTATATAAAAAGTTCTTGAATCAGCATGAGTTGATAAATACAACTGTGGTATTTTATTTCACTGACAAAAAACAAAGGAAGCCAACATCTGAAAGTCCTTGATGTACTTGTCTGTTTTTTCCATACATATTGTCTTTATACTTATTGATTTAAAAAAAAATCTTTTCAGGAACGTATTGATGCCTATAGTTTCTTTCTTCTAATATTTTAAAATGTCTGTTGTGATATGAAGGTTCATTTTATTTATATACAACTGTGCTATTTAATCATTTTGAAACTGCTTTACTGTACTTTACATAAACAGATAAAAAATTCCTTTTCATTTCCATGACTGATCTCTTCAGTCATGTTTGGGTTATTACATTTTGTTATACTTTTCCCTTGTTGGGTCCACTGTAGCGCTAGTCGTATGATGCTGTGTGGTTTTCTTTAACCTATCCACTGCCATTTCCATTCCAATAATTTCTGAACTTAACATTGCACATGTTCCAGTGTTAATTTTTGTACCAGCTGTAATAATGTTTTGATACAAATAATTTGTGAAACACAAATGTTGCTTTTTATTTCAATAATAATCAAACCATGACCCACTGTAATTGTTATTGTCAAAAACTTCTTAGTTTAAAAAAAAAAGATTTTTTTACCCCAAATTTTTTTTTTTATCTCAATGGGTTTTTGAAAGCCTGATCATATTGTTGGCAGAAACACTGAAGTAAAAATAAATAGCTGTTATAAATTTTGCTTTAATTTTTTTGGATATATTTAACATCCACTTTCTAAATAAAGATCCAGATTACTGCACGCTAGCTTTTGTTTATCTACACAGATTTGATGGATGATTAAAACTTAATGATAAACCTATACATTGTTTTTCTCAATTTTGTACATATCTGTAAATAATACGAGCCGACCCGCCCGCCGCAATTTAGTTGTTTTATTTTCTACTTTTCAGTAATTCATAATTTGTGAATTCGACAGTACCACTGCTGTCACTGAAAATATTTGCTTTAAAACACTATCAGTAAGTCGTTAAGGATGATAACCCCCCTCCCCCTCCTTTCCCCCAACCCCTAACCCCCCCTGTGAAAGCAGCCTGCTCTTAGCTACCTCCCCTAAGTTTAAAATCGTTTCAAACTAAATTATCTGCCCCTAATAGCCGTCACTAAACCCGGCTCTACGATTGTAAACATTTAGCGTGAACCACAGCTCACCAGACTTCCTTGAGAGGAAAAGAGGGGACTGCAAGGCGCGCTTACAGCTTGTTTTCTAACGTCTACAAGAAGAGAATTTTATATATATATAGATAAAAGTAATTAGCAATTTCCATGAAGTTGAAGTAAATTAATGGATTACAATTGAGGTTTATATGATCTGCATAATTACAAAACTGAAAAAAAAAAAGTGCCTCAGATCAGATTGTTTTCTGTGGTTGTTACAATAAAATTTCTGCATTAGTTGCTATCAATTTCAAATAGATGGTTGAAATAAAAGTCAAGTACCGGTTTTAAGGTGGTGTGTGATTGCAGGAAACAGATTCAACATTTTTAATTTTGATAAAAACTTGAAAGAAAACCTCAAAACTGAAGTTGATTGTATTTTATTGCCTTTTCAACATTACAAATATCTTTCACACATGCAGCAACAGTTGAATAGAGCTGAGCCTTATCACACAGCCTATACAAAAATGACTAGAATAGATAATAGGCTTATAACAATGACATGGACAATACCAAGTCTAGGCCAGTACGTGGTGAGTATATTATAACAGATCTATACATGACAGCACATTGAAAGAAATCTTATCAAATGCCAATAATCACAATGCTTTTACGAATTGCTTTTCAGATCACTGCTCTGGATTGGATTTAACTAAATTTTCCTTAATTGTTATTTTTAAAAATGTATATACAAAGTTAGTTTGAAAATATGTCAATCATTCATTGAACATTAGCCACAACAAGCTGAAGCTCTTTTGTAGAAAGAAGGTAATTTTACCTACATATATACTAGCAACATCAAAAATATCTTTTAAATAAGTAAAGAAAATACCATCTGTACAAATTATAATGAAAGTACATTATAAACTTAGGATATAGGTTTCATTGTATCATGTTTAATGTTTTGATACAAATGGAAAATATTTATTTCAAAATAAACCCATCAGCTATGAACATCTAAAGAGGATATTCACAATATTAAGAGTATTGCACAATCTGTCAGTTTAGATTAATAGAAAAATGAAAGGGCATACAAAGTCTAAATACTTAGACATTATCTAGTAGATTATTTTATGAAATGTGAACTTGTTTTTGTACATTGTATAATAATTTCATTTAAAAAAAAACATGTACAAGTATTGTAAACCAACACTTAAAGTAGATCTACCAATTATAAAAATGTGTCCATATTAAACTAAACTTTAATAGTAGAAATTTTTTTATATTCTAAATAAGTTTAATTTTTAAATAGATAATATTTTTCTAACAATTTTCAAAATCTGCTGAATCTAAAAATTTAATTTGAATAATATCTAAACTATTTTTAATTAATAAGCTTTGTTTAAAAAAATGTCTTTAGTTCTCATATCTTAGTGTTTTATATTATTGATTAGACAATCTAATTTATGTAGAACAAGAAACAGGAAAAATACAACAAGACTACGGCAGCTTCAGTGAAAATTGTGAAAGTTGTACAAACAGTTGAATAAATAGGTAAACTCAGCTCTTTCATACAACAAATACTTTAAGTTTGATATTTATTGTATCACACAGTAATTTAAACTATCTGCAGGTCAGAAGCATATAAAAGAACAAAACATACCTAATGTGGTATTTTTATTCAGATTTAAGACATTATATACATAATATACTTAAAAAAATAGTTTTCTGTGTTAGGTGTTGTAGGTTTTTAAGTTTTCTAAAAAAAAAGTAACATTAGACCAAAGTTGGATGACTGAGAAAATATATTAAATGAGAGTTGCATACCCCATAAGTGGTATGTGATAAAAAAAACAATGGACGAAAACCTTATTTGAGGTTATCTTAGGAGAAAAATAAATTTAACAAGATAAAATTAGCAATATATAATTTGTTTTTAATAACAATCACTTAAATTTAGCTATCAACAAAGTAATTTCCACCTTAAAGAAAGTTACTCTGCAGTAAATTTGTCTAGAGGGTATATTCCTTGGGGTTTGATTCCAGGGGACTTTTTGTCTGGGGCTTTATTTTTAGGAGCCCCAGCGGATATAAAGATGTTAAGCCGAAAGAAGATACAATATTTTACTGAACCTGGTTATCATCTGATGTAAAAAAATACTGAAAAATGTAAGCAAGTTTTTGCCCAAAATTAAATATTATTAAAATAATTTGTATGATGATTTATTCAATAAAATATATTTATTTGTCAGATTTTTTAGCTGTACAGATACACACTTATTATTTCATGTACATAATTTAAGTAGATCATAATTTTTGTATGTTGGCACAAAACGACTGAAAATTATACCATGTAAAAAACACCAAGGTCATGGTTTACTTGGGTCAGTATAACACACATCAAAAGGTCATGTTTATCACACAGACCTTGTCCTGACACAAGTCCCTGTTCTCACACAAGCAGTAATCAGAACTTTCTAGAACCCATATTTTATTCTTGACCAGGCGGATCTGGTGCCTGACCTCTCCCCAGGTTTCGACCTGAAAAATTAATTTTGGCATATTTTAAGAGACATCATACGTTCATTACGTAACGACACAACAATCAAGAGTAGCAGCAATAATTTAAATTGATTGTCTCACAATGAAAAAGTTATACATGAGAAAATGAAGTTGTTTAATAATTTTTGCTTTTCATAATTTATTTCCCTGATCAAAATAGCTTTTAAAGTTTTTATTCTGACAAATGGAACCAAATAAGCAAACAGCTTAACCTCTCAAATTATTCCACTAGTTCAGCTATACACAAATGTTGATCAAAATAATGTAAAAATAACACAAATGTTAAAAAAGGTTAAAAAACAATGTTAGACAATATAAAAATGTTAGGCAATGTAAAAAACAAATGCTATGAAATGTTAAACAACCAAACCTGTGCGGATCTGGGAGAGAGAGGCCAGAATTCTCAGCATAAAGGCAGCAGGGACAGTAACTGTATCACGGGTTTCCTCCAGCATCAGCTCATTACGATGGATTATCTAAGTTTTAAGGTAACAGATAATAGCTTTAAGTTCAGCAATGAATTACTTGAAATTTTAATTTAAAAATAACTAATTTTATCAGTTTCTAATTATCTAAAAAATTTTTTTTCATAAAATCTATTAGACTGCGACAATAATGAATAATTGGAAATTTAAATTTAAAAAAAAAAAGTAATTATATCAGTGATTAATTATCTAAATTTAGTATAAATTAGGATGACTGATTGAAAATTGTAATTAAAATAAAAACCCTATGGGAAAGACCAGAAAAATATCAGCTAGTCAGTGAACTGCAACAGGGAAATTTTTTTTATAAAAAAACAATTGAACTTACTTTTTCTGCTTTATCCTCCTCAAACTGGCTGTCAGCTTCAAGCGGACTCCAGATTTTAATGTCATAATCTATACCACTGGAGGCCAAAACTAGAAACAAATAATACATTAAGAATATTACTGACACTGTTGACATGATTGATTATCAGTGACCCAAGTTTCCCACAAAACACCACAAACCCACTACCAAATTATGAACAGGTGATGTCATGCCAATTTATAGCAAAACAAGTGTTTGAGAGACTTGTGGGACTTGCATAACAAACTTTATGTGAGTACAGACTCACATTTACCTGGCTGTATGCTCAACTAAACTCACACTAATATATCTGATTAAATACCAAAACTAGTTGGACTGGTTAAAAGAAACAATTTGAACCGGTTAAACAATTCAGGCTGGACGCAGTTGACCACATGTTTACCTGGTAAGTACATGTTAGGCTGGACACAGTTGAGCACATGTTTACCTGGTAAGTACATGTTAGGCTGGACACAGTTGACCACATGTTTACCTGGTAAGTACATGTTAGGCTGGACACAGTTGACCACATGTTTACCTGGTAAGTACATGTTAGGCTGGACACAGTTGACCACATGTTTACCTGGTAAGTACATGTTAGGCTGGACACAGTTGACCACATGTTTACCTGGTAAGTACATGTTAGGCTGGACACAGTTGACCACATGTTTACCTGGTAAGTACATGTTAGGCTGGACACAGTTGACCACATGTTTACCTGGTAAGTACATGTTAGGCTGGACACAGTTGACCACATGTTTACCTGGTAAGTACATGTTAGGCTGGACACAGTTGACCACATGTTTACCTGGTAAGTACATGTTAGGCTGGACACAGTTGACCACATGTTTACCTGGTAAGTACATGTTAGGCTGGACACAGTTGACCACATGTTTACCTGGTAAGTACATGTTAGGCTAGACACAGTTGACCACGTGTTTACCTGGTAAGTACATGTTAGGCTGGACACAGTTGACCACATGTTTGTCCGCATCCAGGTACATCACCATCCGCCCAGTCTCTCTGTCCCAGGCCAATATCCGACCACAATCCGAGCCAGAAATGACAAAATGGTCTCCATAAAAGTTGGCCTCCTTGATCTGAAATGTTGGAATTTGACTCATCAGTAACAGATGCAGTTAGCAATGGCGTGGGGAGCAGGACATTAAGCCTGATAAATTGGCCTTCTGTACCACCCCCACCCCCTGCATAAAAAACAACAGCAGTACCCATACTCATCCCACGATGATTACTAATAGACCTTAAAGTTGGGTGTAATTTACAGACGGGTTATAGACAAGGGGAATTCACCTAGAAAGTAATGGCAGAGGGTGATTGACCCTGGGGTGGGGGGTATTATATACAACTAGAACTTGTTATACCATGTAAGGCTTTTTCAGACCAGACAGTCAATATAAGTTTGGTTACATTCAGCTAATCAAGTGTAAGCATACCATAGTTCTACAATTAGTTTGGTTATATCCAGCTAATTAAGTGTAAGCCTACCATAGTTCTACAAATGGCTTGGTTACATTCAGCTCATAAAGTGTAAGCATACCATAGTTCTACAGTTGCGATGACCAGAGTATTTCATCAGCATGCGGGGCTGGGGCAGCTCCATCAACTTGGCAGCCTCACGAGCATCTCGCTTTTTCCTGTAGGCTTCTTGGATTTTCTGGACGGCGCGGGACATTATCTCCTTATCCAGCTTTGGCCTGTGTAAACATGGGAAATTCCCATCAATTAATAAGGTGTCATAACAAATTAAATCAAGAAAATATTCAGTGTTACGTGTCAGTTGTAGGTTAGATAGAAATAGGTTAGAATAATCTAGAATTAGGGGAGAGTGCGTGTGTGAGTTGAGTTTACCCTAGAGTATTGTTTACCCTGATGTGTTCATGTATTGTTATCCCAAGGTCGAATGCGGTTGGAGTGAATGGTTGTCAGCGGTTAATTGGTAGTGGTGAAGAATTGAGTCCAAATAAAAGTATACTATATGTGTCACGAATCGTTGTTGAGTTGAATCGAACCCGGACGTGACATTCAGGACTTAATAGCAAACTGCTAAAGAGATGTAAATAATACTTGAATAATACAAATACCAACCAATTTACCAAAATTCAAGTGAATGAAATAATCAGGTTGTGACAAGGTGTCATATGAAATGGTAAGGCAGGTAAATAAAAAAGTGTTAACCTTCGTCCAGCAAGGTATTCATCATCATCCATGTCCATGTCATCATCACTGTGTAGCTGGAAGCTGCCTGTTGGTGGCAGGCTATACCCTGCACGTCTCTGTCTTTCAAAACCTGAGCAAAGAAGAAAATTTCTCGCAAGATATGATATACAGTAGATAAGGCAGTAGTAATTTAAAGGGTATGATTAGTAGCATGATAGGGTGATAGTTCAGTCTCTGGAATGTTCGAGTGTCTACCCAGATATGATGGGAACCTGGCTCAAGTTGGAGAGAGTAAAGATGTCTATGCAAAGATCACTACATAATGCATGCAAGTGCAGAGGTCACAGAAATGGATAAACTCTACTCCATTTGCCACATTGACTTTCAGGTCAATAATGAACACGTAACACAATTTTGCATTATAAACATTTTCTAAATGAATAAGATATTTAAACTAATTTTCTAAAACAAATTAAGTATTTAAACTAATTTTCTAAAACAAATTAAATATTTAAACTAATTTTCTAATAAGACTATACCCAATTAAATATTTAAACTAATTTTCTAAATCAAATTGAATACTGAATCTACTTTTCTAATAAAACTAAGCCAAATTAAATACTGAAACCAAATTTCTAAACCAAATTAAATATTGAAACATACCTTGACTAATGGACCTGGCTCCTGGCAAGCGGTACAAGGCTCTAGGTGCCAGATTGTCATCACTCTCTGGAACATCAGAATCAAAACCCGAAGTAGAGGTGGATGGCCTGGATATTGTTGTGCCAGTACAGTCATGGACCTCATAGTGGTCTGGCTCCAGTGCCACATCAACAGAACTTATGGATGGGGTGAAGTCTGCCGAATCCAGGGAAGGTCGGCTTGCTGCCTCGCTCCCATCCAAAGAAATTCTCATCTTGCCGCTGTTGTAGGGAGAAAACTTCTCAGGTTTTCCACTTGTTTTTTTAGCTTTAAGAGAAGATTTCCCTTTTCCTTTTCCTTTGTTGCCTCTCTCCACCGGGTCTTCATTTAAATCTATTGCGTGAGCCTTAGCTGCTGCAGGTTTTTCAGTCTTATTTGCCAGTATGTCCTCTTTTTCTTTCACCTGGCAAATACACTCAGCACACAAGTCACTCTTTGTAGCTGGAGCTTTAGAGTTCTGTAATACTGTGTTACCACACACTTTACACACACAGTCTATTTCCATGCTCTCTGCCTCCTCTATTTTTGACATATTCAGGTTCAGTTCAGCAGTGTTGGTGTTGGGTGATGGACGCAGGACTGGGCTGTCATGCAAACCCTGACTCATGCTGTCTGCCTGCATGTTGGGTGATGGACGCTGGACTGGGCTGTCTTGCAAACCCTGACTGGTGCTGTTTGCCTGTGCATCAGATGCACTCGCTTGGTTGTTAATCAAAATGTTCTGAGTGAGGGGCGCCACTTCGGTTAGAGATACAGCGCTGCTGTTGAGGCTAAGGAAGGAAGTGAATGGAGAGATATCATCCAACGTCTGGGACCAGCTCCCCTCACAAGGGTTTAAGGCGTTTTCAGCTATGGCGTAAGTTTCGGGGGGTGAGCTGATAGAGTAGTACGTGTCATCAGCTGACAATTCCTCCTGCGCATTTTCAAAAGATTGGTCCAATGGGTCTGAGCTTTGCCTCTCATCATTGCTCTTAGCTCGCGAGTTTTCTGATAGCTGCGAGTCAGACAAGCCGGCATCTGAAGTAGAAGCCAGAGCAGTTGATGATTTGTCCAAAGCAGGTGTTTGACCCTGTTTGATGTTTAAATTTTTAGACATTTGCTCCGAGATGGAATCATTACTTTCTGAGCTTGCATCCATGGCTGTTTGCTCCTTACTTGAGCCAGCAATGTTCTCATGGATCACAACAGTGTTGATTCCCACTGTATCCATTGCCCTGGATTCACTCTCTAAAATACGTTTCTTGTCACAAAGTTTATCACTGTTGCGGTGCAAATGAGAGTGGTCTTTCTCTGCTTTAGACTCATTTTTGTCTGAGCAGTTGTTTGATTTAGTTTGTGAATACAGGTTGGTGTGTTCATTCAACTCACTATTTACATTACAATCAAAAATGTTTTCACTGGAGTCTACTTGAGCTATGTCTTCTGTGTCTATCTCAACTGCAACTCTGTAAAGTTCTGGGTCAACAGTTGCCAGATTTCTGTCACTTGCGTGGCCAACAGTTGCCAGATTTCTGTCACTGGTGTGGCCAACAGTTGCCAGATTTCTGTCACTGGTGTGGCCAACAGTTGCCAGATTTCTGTCACTTGTGTGGCCAACAAGATTTACAGGACTGAAGTTAACATGAGATAAGGAAGAATCATGCTCTGCCTGTGGGTGGTTCAGGTCTAAACCGTGAGCAGGTTGTAAAGTGGGATCAGCCTTAGATGTGAGCTCAGTAGTCTGAGCAGTTGATGATTCTCCGCCTGGTGGAGATACCAGACTCTCACTTGAGTTGTGAGTCTGTGCTGAAGTTGGTAGAACAACAGCTTGCAGGATGTCAGATGAATCAGCTGGTGACACATTAATGTCAGCTGCTAAACGATCTGAAGAAATCACACAGCATTAATTAGTAACAACTCATTATAAAAAACTTTAAGTTAAGATCTCGAGTTTATATTTTAAGTTAATTAAAATTTCCCAGACTGCAACTAGTGTGGTTGATAAGAAAAATGTTGACAGCTTATAAAATTAAACATTAATTTTAAGGATGAGGAAAAGAAGAACAGCATGCACATTATTAACATTGGCTAGAACCAAATAATGCAAAGTTAAGGGATAAAAACTAAAACCAATTACAGACAAACATTTTAATGTTCTAAAATCTTAAATTATGTACCAGAAATCTAATATTGAAAACACTATTTTATTTCTGTTGGAGTTCATGGTAAAACAAATGAGTCCACAAAACTGACGCTAATTTAAAGTACACATCTAAAGCTAGGTGGCCATCTTACTTTCTTCAGCTGCTGCCTCTTCTTCATCCTCCTCAGGGATGTCCTGGCTCTCACTCCTCTCATTACGGCTGTTCAACATACGAGTCAGCAGGTCAGACATACGCTGCATTATGGTGTTGGTTAATGCTGTGGCACAGTTAATAAAAAACCAATAGTTAACATGATGTGGTTTAATTTGTTACCTTTATTATATTATAGAAACTTATTTTAAAATAAATTTTCAGTGGTTATTTTAAACTATACTTCATATTTCTTTATGAAAACCTTTGCTGAGAGGTATTTCATTTAAACATGAGGCAGATTATAAAAAAAACTGAGTTGGTAACAGTAACTGAAATCAGTTGTCTCACACAATTTTAATAATAAAAAAAGACCTGTAATGCTTAACTATTTTTAAAATTACGTTTGAAACTGAAAAATGTTAAGTTAGACAAACAAAACACACAAGAGTCAATATAACATAAAACGTACATTTGTATCTTACTATAGACTCCAACATACAAAAACAGGTGGTACAAAAAGTTGTGTGTGAATATAAACATACAAGTGAGTAAATGAAAACAAAAATAAAATCACTGTTGGATGTTTAGATAAATGAACTTTCATATAGAATCTTTCTCAAACAATAACAACCCTGCAGGTATTACCTGGCTCTTCACTCTCAGGCCTGGCATCTGGACCTGTGTCTGACCAGTCACCGCGCAGACGCAGACGTTTGATTGGCTTGAAGGCACTTTCAGAATCCAATGCTTGGTCGATGGAAGCGCTGGCACTGGGTGGTGCTGGACCATCCTTTGGTGCAGGTCCACTGTCTCTGTGTGTGGGTTTAGAGGGCCCACTTACACTGGGCTAGAGAAACAGAGGGATCATGTGGTTAACTTTAAGATATCTATTTTCTATTTATTTATTTTACCGAAAAGGGAGTTGATTTTAAGAATAAAACACACCAAAAAAAAACTTGATATGTTTTACTAAAAACATGAAGCTATAGCAGCAGTTAATAGAATCAAATCAAGTGCTCAAACCTCTTTAAACATTTAACATATTTCACTAAGCATTACCCGAGAACTACTAACTTAAATGATCTGACCATAAGTCTGGGTAAAGAATTTAAACTAGAAATACAATTTCGGAAAGAGATTGGGTAGGTTAAAAAAAAGTCCATGTGCCAGAGCCCTAGTTTGTTGTGAATACTTACCCATTTTTACCTCTTTTAAGTTTAAAGGAAAACAATAATAATTTCTTACAGCAAAACAATAAATGTTAGGACTCATGTCAGTTAGACCAGAAATACAATATTCACAAAAAAAAAATATATATAGGATTTAGTACAGTATGTATTAAAAGGTGGTCAAACACTGAAATAAAACTATAATTTTAATATTATGTGTCAAGGTTAGTACTGAATTACAACTTCTAATAAAATCTTGTAAAAACTATCATTTTTAGCACTATATGTTTCATGTATTAAGTCAGTAGTACAACTCTGACCTTTGCACTGTAAGACTGTTGTTTTTTGGTGTCATACGTGTTGAAGAGATAGATGTTCTCTGAAGAATAGTTGACCAGGATGTCATGTGACCCAGGCCTGTAGTTGAGGGAGGTAATCCTGTAGGGTCTTTTCTCTCCATTGGTCATAGGGGGCGGGAGCTTACAGATCAGGTTGTCACTACTGCCTAGAACAAAGTGAAAGTAAAATACAGCAGCATTACTAGGTCTATACAGACAACAGCCACATTAAGACTGTAACATAAATGCACTGTTAAAAGATTTTGGAGTGAAATTTTACAAACTGATAAAATAATTATTGCAAGCATTTTGGTATTATTATTTAGACACTTAAGTAGTTCAGCAAAAAAATTTTGGAATTATTTTTAAACGCTCATGAAATAGTTTAGTGTAAACTAGATATTTTAGTGTAAACTAAATATTTTGAAAAAACTTATAAATTTATTGCCCTTTTATTTTCTTAGGGCTATCAACTAGTCTAGTTATTAACTGACAGCTATTGTATTTAAATAATAAGAAATTATTGTAAAAATGTACAAATACATGTAGAAAAAAATTCATTAACTATTGAAATACCAATACATTTAAATTACATTCTTCTATTTAATTTTTACCTGATTACCAAAACATCTTAAAACCATCATAACTAACTTTGAACTCTGTTATATATTACCATTACACAAATATAAAATGTACTAACCAGCCATACTTATGTAAAGCAACAAAAGAAAACTGTCAAGCCTGACTCACCCCCAGTTTCCCTGGTCTTCAGCATCCTCCTATCATAGAGCCGAACCATCCCATCAGATGAGGCGACAGCCAGATGAAAGGGGATGATGGGGTCCACAGCCATGGCCGTCACAGCATTACGCAGGTGGATTACAACATCCTGCACAGATTGACGCCATCACAAATTACAACATCCTGATGCCATCACAAATTATAACAAATTACAACATCCTGAACAGATTGATGCCATCACACATTACAACATCCTACACACATTGATGCCATCACAAATTACAACATCCTGATACCATCACAAATTACAACATCCTAATACCATCACAAATTACAACAGATTACAACATCCTGCACACATTGATACCATCACAAATTACAACATCCTGATACCATCACAAATTACAACATCCTAATACCATCACAAATTACAACATCCTGATACCATCACAAGTTACAACATCCTGATACCATCACAAATTACAACACCCTGATACCATCACAAATTACAACATCCTGCACATATTGATGCCATCACAATAAATAACTCATCAATGTTTACGCTGTGGTCAGCACTATGCCCAGCCGCCTTTAATGTCCCTAACAAGTTTGGTACCCATCAGAGCTGAGTAGGCTCAGAGTTGTTTCACTGACTTGAACCCAGATTCAACCTCGAGACTTTCGGATAAGCAGTCTACAGCTAGGCCACTCCATCCCAAAGTCTCTTCATAGGCTGATCTTAAACAGACTAACTCTACTTCACCTATGTAAACAGTCTCAAGCTATGTTTCATATTAAATAACTTGTACAAGAATACTATCAAAGTGATAACCTTGTCAGCCTGTAGACAAAAAATCCAATAGATTTACTTACCTCTTCACAGTTGAACTTTGAGCAGCTGGTTTTTGTTCTCAGATCAAAGAATCTGACAGTTCCATCATCACCACAGGAGAGGAAAGTCGCAGCTTCATTGGGCACAACCAGCAGCTAAAAGCAGGTAAGGTAATAAAAATTATTATATGTATAGCAGTATTCCTTTTCACTAAAAAGGTCTTTATAATGCTTGCTTTTAAAAGCAAATTATTATGTATAGTAGTATCCTTTTTCATCAAAGTGGTCTTTACAATGCTTGTGTGTTGAAATGCAATAAAATTAAAGTAATAATTTCCTTACATTGGCTAACTTTAATACAGAATACTTAAAACAGTTGGATGTTAAAGCTTACGAGCTTGGGTCCTTGGACGTACCCGAGTAAGCTCTGATGGGTACCCAACTCATTAGGGAAATAAAGGCAGCTGGGCATAGTGAAATACTATCCCACATAAGCAGAGTTAATTGAAACCAGATGAACTCTACTTCATCTGCTCATGTGTCTTGGTCACAAACGGGAAAAGAGTATGTGATTGAATGCAGGAAAATGTAAAACAAAATAAAAGACGGTCTAAACAAAAATGAAAGTGTTGATATATGACCTTGTACGCTGTGCCAAAATGGCAATCAAATCTGTTGGTGCCATACGTGTCTTCCCTGTCCACGTCGGTGTAGAAAATTTCTCCTGACCCAGAGCAGCTGACCACCTGTGGACATAAGCAAATATTTCAACATCCCCTGAAACATTTCAACATCCAAGCAAACATTTCAACATCAGTGCAAACATTTCAAGATCTACAAAAACAAACATTTCAACAACCACACTAACTGTTCAACATCCACAAAAAATTTCAACAATCACACAAACATCAATAACAAATCTTGACAATTAAAACATTTCCTTTAATTTTTTTGTCCAACTTTATACATGTTTTTAAAAGTATATAAATAATAAATAGGGATAGTTTTCAATAAACTTAAGTCTCAGTTTGTAAACTTCTGTTTTTAAAATGCAATGTGAATAATGTGGTCTCTAATTTAAATACAATTATCTTCTATTTTCTACCTCCCTGTCCATACTGCCGGGTAAGAACTTGGCACTGAAGATATTGGACCTATGTCCAGACCTAAACTTGACCACATTCTGAAATAACAAAAAAAAAACTTAATTTAATAACTACAACAGTCAACCATATTGGAATATCTAAGATTTACCTTAAAAAATTGTGCATGAATATTGTTAAAATAACTAACATGAAAAAAATCTTTTTTTTTTTTCTTGTTTGTCACCTCATCTGTTCCACGGTATTGGATAAATTATTTTAACCAAGTAACATACACATTAGTTATAAGGTACATAAGACAGCTTTTTATAATTACAAATATATCATGTAGTCCTAATTGAGATTTCTACTGCTTTGTATTACTTTTCACCTGAATCTTTTCCTTACATACATAACTAGGCCAGATAGACTGAGTTGGTTACTTTACCTTCCCAGTGAAAGGATTGGTGATAGCAAGATGTTGATCATCAGAGCCAGATAAAATTAGCGTGCCACTGTCATTCCAGCATATTGTGTTCACCTAGATAATAGAGATAACATAAATGTTACAACTTCCAATTATCGTTTTAAAACTTGAGCAATGGGGAAATTTTTAAGAACAGCCACACACACCACATACAGGAAATGTTTAAAAATTTGTATATAACAATACATAACAGACAAATTGAGACTTAAGTTCTAATACATTTTTAAAAGCAAAAACTGTAAAACAGACAGCAGCAATACAAATAATAAAAGATTGGTTGTAATAATTGTAAAGTAGCAGGCTTTGTGTGTTTACAAAATGTTTCTTATCAAAAGCAAGAATACTTAAACAAAACAACTATTGAATTGTTAACAAGAAATAAAACCATAATACTACACATATTTGATAGAAAGCAAAAAAAAAAAAACATCAATGTTAAATTTTTTTAAAAGTGCAACAAATATGTAATAAATACAATATTTTAAATTTCAAATGTAGAAGTATTTGACCTTAAATATTAGCATAAAAGATTTATCTATATGGTCAACTGCATAAATACTTACACATCCATCATGAACAGCAAGCTTTTTTTCTAGCTTTAATCTTTGGAGGAAATACAAACTGCCTGTAAGACAAATGCTTCATTTAGTTCTTTAGTAAAAACAAAATAAATGATGTGATTTAGAAAATGATAACATATTGTAAAAGTTCAACAACAAGTTATTTAATACAATAAATTTATTGTTGTTTTACAGAAATGATAATCACTTTGAAAAAGTTAGTGCAAATATGAAGATGACTGGTGATCATCAAAGTATATTATATGTATCCAACATTTTAACAGTATTAACATCTTACAACGATGTAATAACCTTAAGAAATGATGTTTGAAATGTGATTTATCAGTAGGATTTATTCTCGATATGAGATTACTTAATGAATATTATAAGACAAGTTAATTTAAGCCTACAGATTTTTGGAACTTCAGCCCTTGGGGATGGGGGGGGGGGGGGGGGGAGATCTGCTTCACCATATGTCACGATCCTGTAAGATACTAAATTTGTAATAAAAATTGTGGGCTATTTTTTCCATTTATGTTTAATATGTGTAGGCTTATGGAGTCTAGACATAGATGGCGGGTTGACAAACATGTGTTTTCAAATTTCATAGTGGTGTATTTCCAAGGTCTTTTTGTTGTACTTTAAGTGTCTAATTACTTTGGATTTCTTTTTGGATGTTTATATTCATAACTAATATGTAAGTAGTATACTTTTTACAATAAATAAATTAGTTGGCAGCCAATCAGCAGCCATTCTGACAAATGAACATTTTACAAATATAACACACTACACTGCAAACTACAGTCATTGTTTAAATATGCCCTTACAAGGTAAATTATTCTAGATGACTCTAGAATCAACATATGTACCTAATTTATCCAGTGATATTCAATAACTATTCTGTTAGTTAGGGTCGTTATTTTAGTGTACATGTCGTTTTCCAGTTTGTTGTCAAGAAACTGATATTTAGTTCAAAGCAGCAAATCAAAATCAATCATGCATGACAGCGCTCATCAATCAGGTGTATTTATATGGTTTGACACATATTGACAAGAGCTGTTGTTTACATTCAAACATGTCACAAAACTATCCTTTTTAAAATAAATTGTTAGAAAAAATGGTGTGCATTTTTTAAGGGTCATTTTTAGTCCCATTTTGAAAACGCATTGAAAAAATCTGAACAACACTACACATAGAAAACTTGCTTTTTCCTGCCCTTTTAGGTATTTAGCTCCAAAACTGTTGTTTACGTACCACAGCTGCCAACCAAAACGTGAAGAAAGAGCATGTTTGATTGGTTGGTGGCTAAAACTATGAAACACTCAAATGTATAGATCTACCAAATTTTTTTTTACAAACTAGTTACTAGAATCTAGATCTAATTAAAAATTACACAGTACGTCAGGTGAGAAGAGACTAATAAATTTAAATAAATAAATAATAAATTGATTTTCATTGTACTTGCTGCATAATTTGAGTAAAATTAATAGTATTAGTAACTAGTAACTAATTAGGCACTTAATTACTAATTAGTAAGTAATACTAGCCTAGGCCTACTAATTTTGGTAATCTATCGTTTTGGGTACGTAAATTCGCCCGCGGCTATTAATGTACGAAAACGTTACCTTATTGTCAAGGCTGTAATAGAAGTATATTGTGATATGTTTGTGTCAAATATTATAGATAAATGAATAATAAACCTAAATCAATGGCTAAATATATCAATATAGGCCAGAAAAACTTTAAACAGCAGTGTCTGCAAGCAAGATTTGCTATATAAACAGCAGCCATTTGTAAAATAGAGTGACTTCCGCCTGAATCTTGCGCTATATGTCTATAAAAATAAAACTTTAACAAGATGGCTGCTATAGTAAATGAGCATGGTTGCATCTGTTGGAAACATCGCTGGTGTTCATTTATTACTGAAAAGTTTTAATTCAATTGTTTAAAAACAGGTACATAAATGAAACAAGGAAACATTTTTGTATTTTTCAAAACATAAATCCTCCTCAAAATGTGAAATAATTATTAAAATGTAAGGAGTCACCTGTTTTTCACATTACTAGTCGCGGGCGATTTTACGTACCTAAAACGATAGATTACCCTAATTTTTAATTTAGTAATTATTAGCCTAATTACTAATAGTAGTCTATCTAGAATCTAGATACCTGAGAAAATGGGACTGAGAATAAATCATGTTTGCATTTTTTTCCTAAAACTAAAAGTCAAAGAAGTAAAGTAAAAGTTAGAACCTAGCCAGACTCAAGTTAACTTTGTTGGTAAACAAAACAACAACAAAGACAAAAAAAAAAAAAAAACAACTCAAAGAGAGTGCTTTAGCTCAGCTTTAATTAATAAACTACTAGCCTGTCGATGTGTTGTAGAGTTTTCGAGCATTCTGTCCATGATGTTCTCTATTAGTCAAAAGGCTAAACATAATTAACTGTGCGAAGCTAATAATTTTGTAAAGTTAAAGCCTTTGTGATAAAGGCTGGATTCTAAATTTATTTAACACCATCTTAAGAAGGTAGGTAACCGAATAAAGCCAAGTGCATGAGAGTTACCTTTCTTAGAGTTGCGCAGATAAACAAATCGATTCACAGCAAAAGAAATAATCTAGTTTTGGTCCGTGTACTAAAGTAAAATAATAAACTTAGGCATGTTTTCAATACGTTGATACGAGCCAAACATATCACACATTTTCAGAATAAGTTTGATTTCCAAATACGAATTTGGAATCATTACTGAATTATTTTCTAAAAATAGGCCTAGGCCTAATAAATACATAATATATTTAATTTGGCTAAGACCTATACTAAAATATAATCTATATAAAAATATATAGGTCTAGATCTACCTATTTTTTGCATCGTCTGGTTATAAGTGGAATTGAATTTTTATAACGCATGGTTTTTGTTATTTATTCACATCATCTTTATTCTTTCATTTCTTGGGGAGATTTTTTTTTTTATAAATATGTCATTGATTTGATGAACTGGCATATTGAGATCGGTATCTATTGGTAAACTTCCGGTTTCGTTATCTGCTATCTCGTTCTCTATATGTCCCACTTTCAACATAACCCTGACTAAAACTACTCGACTAGATCTAGATCTAGCTAGCTTTAACGACTAGATCTAGTACTATTACAACTATTAGATATCTTTTATCTAGATCTACTACGTATTTACTTAAGGCGCAGGGCAGTATTACTAGATCTAGTCAAGTCAGTAGTAGTCACCCTTCTTTAAAAAATAAAATAAAAGTTCTAAGACAAGAACAAATTCAGAAATTCATGAAATCAAATTGAATTGATGGAACTCACTACTAGATTAAAAACAGAGAACTAGTTAAAATAGTAAAAGAACTTAAGTAGACAGTCACAATAGTGTGACAATAGGGTCTAGCTAGAGGTCTAGTTCTTGATCTACACACACTTTCTTAGCTACACCAGGCACCTCTAGGCACTACTGACAACTAGGGTGAAATCTATTACTAATATAGTAACTTACTTAACTAACTTCAGAAATGAGCTTGAGACTCAAACTTTTTACCTTGAACAGTTGGTTAGTACCTTTATATTTTTTATAAGGCCAAGGCTATCCAGCCGACTGGGAGTAGACCGCCGTCTGTAAATATGACTGGGAATAATATCTTATAATAATAAAAGCATTTATTGTGACTAGAGATTAAGGTATTATTAGTAGTTCACATTACTATTCAAGCGTCAATTACCGTTTTAAAATTCCCATATAGAATCTAGAAAGAATCTAGATCTACTAAATTTCATGTGAAATAGAATGTCCTTTGTAAACAGTGATTATTCACAGTTCCATCATAATTTTGCTAAGTTTTTTCCTCACAGTAAAAATCTAAAGGACTGGTCTTTTATTTGTTGCACATATGACCCTAATCATGTCACACAAAAAAAATATCAATAATAATTTAAAAAAAATAACAAGAATAATAACCCTTTCATAATTAATCGCAAAATATACAGTTTGGACAACAGGCGGCCTACAATAAAGTCCTAAGGTACAAATTACTACAAATGCATTTGATGGGTTCAAACTGCACCATCTGGCACAACACCCACCAAGTTGTCCAACCGTCCAGACAGCTTCATGCACATCAGGGTGTTTTTAACATTATATATATGTATCAAAACAGTCACAACTGTGAATATAAACCTAATAACTAATATGGCTATTCCCATTCGACTGAGAATAGCCACTTCATTTTAATAATAATGTAGTAACAAACTACTAAGCAGGACTACTTAGTACTACTTGTTATTTAAACTTCACTTCAATTTAAAAAAGTCAATAAAATAAAGTGTTTCTTTTCAAACAGGGGACTTCCATTTCCAATTGTGTGTAAAAATCGCAATGAAAGGATTTGTGCTATTGGTGACTTTCTGCTGAAAAGTGATTTTGACATTGTTGTTCTAGAGGAGGTAAGTCCAAGATTTTAAATCTCTTACAATACTTACATTATTTATATAATCAATCAAAACATTTCTATTTTTTTTAAGACATTTTGAACATTTTCTTAGGGCTTAGTTTATTTATTTATTTATATTTTTTAATGATCTTGTCTGACATCTTTTTAAAATTTGGTATTATAATTTTGATTGTTTTTTTTTTTTTTTTGATAGATTAGGGTCTAATTTAGGCCTAAATAATCTATATTATATTATTTCTTACAAGTAAACCCACATATCATTTGACATAAAATATTTATGTGTGTGAAACTTTTTATTTTCACAATGTATTACCATTCTATTAGGCTAATAGATCTACATATTATTAGGTAGAATGACTTAAAAACTGTTTTAAAATTCACCAAATTTCTGAAATAATTTTTTTTTACTTTCCAAATTTCTTTAATATATTTTGTAAATTTATATTACCTACAGATCTGGGTTAAGAGTGATTTCCAAACACTAAAGCAGAAGTTACAGAAAAACCTACCATATTCCCATTATTTTTACAGGTGCTTTCTTGCTATATATCTACTAAAATAGGAGCTTCATAAAAACAGTCTATGCATATGATTAAAAACTTTCCTGCCTTATGTACCAAATGTTTACTTAACAGCTTTTATTGTAATTTAGTGTCAGAAACCTTACACAACTAATTGATTTTTAAAACAGTGGTGCAATTGGCAGTGGACTCTGTGTCTTTTCCAAGTATTTGATAGCAGAAACCAGCTACCATCGATACCATCTTAATGGCCATGCTCACAAGATTTTCCATGGTGATTGGTTTGGTGGTAAAGGTGTTGGGCTTTGTAAAATTCACGTGGAGCAGTGTTCCTTAGACATTAACTTTTACTGCACGCATGTAAGTGTTTACATTATTTTAAAACAATTTTTAATAAATAGCTGTATAATAAAAAACAATTTAATAACTTAAAATATGTATGGAGTTATTTTTAAGAGACTGGAGACGAATAAATTGTTTTAATTTTTAGATAAACATATTTTAAATTTTTTAATACAGTTTCATGCTGAATATAATCCTGATAAAGATGAGTATGAGGCCCACAGACTCGCCCAGGCTTTTGAGCTTAGTCAGTTTATCAGGTGTAGTATATGTTTTATTCTTGTTTTGCAATCTCTGCTTACCTGAAAGTACTTCCAATATTTTCTATGAAAACTTAGATATCTTTTTTGTTTACCTAATTAATATTGATATGTTCTTCATAAATTTAATGTGGTTATCATTGGCATAGTACTATTTTTTTTGGAAGATTTTATTTTATTGAATAATTTCTTAGAAATACTTTTCATGGCTGTGATATGGCAATACTGGCTGGAGATTTGAACATTACACCATCTACCTTAGGCTACCAAATCATTACACACCATGGTCACATGAGAGACACCTGGACAGAAAAGGTAGGAACAAAGTAATTGATAAACGTTTTTATTTTTGGGTTGATCTATAAAGATTTATTCATTAGTTTTTATCTTCTTTTTTTTATGCTCTAGCAAAACACAGTGGTAAATGAGGCTATGGGTACTTGTGATGTGCCAGGAAATACTTACACAGAAAAGTCTGGCCAAAATGGAGAACGCATTGATTATATTTTGTTTAGGCCCAAAAATTGTAAGTAATTTTTTAATTGGTTGAAAATAAGTCTATTACACTGCCCTATGATTTTTAAAAAAATAATTTATACCTTGATCTTGCCTATCATCTTTTTTAAATTTGGTAATGTATTATAATTTTAATTATTTTTGATAGATTACAAGTAACATAATTTACAGTTTAATATGCAATGTTTGTGATTTTGTTACAGATATCAAAGTGGAAGTGGCTGAATGTAACATAGGGATAGGAAAAATTCCATCAGCCAATTTAAGCTTCTCAGATCACGAGGCTGTAATGGCCAGCCTTTCTATCACTAGAACCAATGGTAATTATGTGAACCTCAGTCATTTGTATAGGTCAATTTCGTGTATGTATTATATTAGCTTGATTACTTTGTTAAATGTCTGCTTTTAGTTTGTTGGGACTGTGTAGTAAGATGGTATGGCACCTGACTGTTAGCCCAGAAGTCTAAAGTATTGATTGTAAACATGGGACTGAAGGACATCCCTGAATCCACACAGCTCTCATCGGTGCCTGAGTCGTTAAGGAAGATGACTGTGGCTGTCATAGAACAAACGACACAATCTCTATATACCATGGACACAGAACAGATGAACTCTAATTCATATGCCCTATTGACCACCAGACCTACAAGAGTGATTTTATTTTCACTTAGCTCTCATGTGTACATAATGGCCTTAACATAAATCAGCCAGTGGTTTGGTCCCTAGTCACCAGTGTTAAAAATTATTGTTCTCATCCCTGTCTTTTCCAGCAAGGCATATAAAAAAAAATGCTGTTATCCAAATCACAATGCTGGTATAAGCCATGACTCTAATCTTAATAAACAATACAGAAATATACATCTTGATACAGTCTTTATTGCATGTTAGCTGGTGAAAGCTGTATGAAAAGTTATATGTAAATTATATTAATAGCTTAATAATACTAAAATGATGAAACATGCTTTACATTACAAAATAATTTATTTTATCACTATCTAGTTTCCTTAAAAATAACCTAGCTTGATTTTTTAAAAATATCACAAACATTATCAAAAAAGTTTTAATTAACAAAAATTAGATTGTCTGTAGTGATCTAATTGTGCTTGCTTACCTTTAGATTCCTGGATCCTCATTAGTATTTTTTTCAGAACCAACATAAATACTATTTTCTGTTAGGAACTCAACTCTCTTGCATATTGTAACCACATAATCATGTGAACTCAGCCTACTTAGCCTCTCAACTGTTCTTGTTTAACCTGTCACAATTGTTTTATTTTGCAGACCAACATGTAAAAGGCAACAGGCACGAACTAAGTGAAAGAGTTCAGGAAAATCTCCATGAATCTTTGATTGTGATAGATAAAGGAAAAATACAATGCAAGAGTGAAGAAAGATTTTTCCAAGTAAGAAATCTTTTTGTTCTACTAAGCCAATGATTATAGGAACTAAATATATATCACTATTTCTTTTAGTATGCAGAATTAGAGTTTGGTAACATTTTGTTGGAACAATCTATTGAATTTCTGACAAGTTCTATTATACATTGTATCAAGATGTGAATGCACAAAAAACTTCTATACTGGCTTGTATCTCGTATTTTGTTGTTTACTTTTAACTGCCTTCTCCTAAATAACTGTAATTTTCTTAGCTGATTATCTTTTTTTTATAAAGCAACTATTCTTATTTTAGGTACATGTTTTTTATGAACCAAAGTTAATTTTTTAAAATGTGTCACTTTATATTTTGATAACCTTTATTTTACAATTTTTTATTTTATTCTTATGTTTAATTAATTGTAAAGCAAAAGTTATCAAAATATAAAGTGATACATTTTAAAATAAACTTAGGTTGATTTAAAAACGTATACATAACTTTATGAAAAAAATATTATCAGCTAAGAAAACTGGTGTTATTTAGGAGAAGGAGGTTAAGTAAGTAAACTAAAAATATTCCTATTTTTTAGTATGTAAAAAAACTGAAAATAATTTAACAATTAAAACAAATTTTTTCCTTCTGCCACAGATTGTTGTTGTTCTATTGTCACTTGTTCTCTACATCCTCAACAACTACATTAACATGTCCGACTACAACGAGGGAGTTGTTTTATCAGTCACCCTAGCAACCACCAAGCTGCTTCTGGCTCTAGGCATAGGCTTCTCAGTGTGGACAGCCCTCATAGTCAAGCGGGCTGAGCTACATGGGCTGGAGGCATGTAAGGAAGACATTAAGAAACTGCTGCAGCTCTGATGCCTGTTTGTTTACATTTTTGTTTATGCCAGCTCAAAGAAATTCCAGAGAGTGATATTTTGTTTCATGTTAAATTTTTATGTATGTTTTTTAACTGTTACTGTTTTGTAATAATTTCCTTTTATGTAGACCTAAGCATACTATCTAAATTATTTACATATTATATTCTCTATTCTACATTGTTGCATATATTATTATTAAAGATTTTATTGTAATTTACAGTGATATAATGTTAAGTACTGTTACTAAATATAGTCAAGTGTTGAATGCTATGACTTTAGATTGAAAATGGTGTACGTGTTTTATGAATAGTTTGTAATTCCCATAAAAACTGTTATGGTAAATAAAATGTTTTAGAATTAAACACTAGTGTATTCAATTTTTATATTACACATCAAGATGAGGCTAAATACTCCACAAGTGTGACACTTTTCATGATGGCATTATTAATATTACGTAAAAAATTTCTAGGTTTAAAAGCATAATCAAAATAATCCAATGATATCAGATAGCACTTTAAAAATTAAAAAAACCAAACAAGACATCTAAAAGAGACAGAATCTAGCAGAGAGGTATAAAGAATAAAAAAGACATAACCTATTACAATGTTATTAACATAGACAATCTGGCTATGGAGGCAGAAATAGAATTAAAATGAAATACAAAAGACTGTACATCTTAACAAAGAGGCTATATGGTAAATTTCAGCAACGAAATTAGCTAATTCAAGAAAATGATGTTAACAAACATTGATGAACAGGAAACTTCAAGGATTTTTCTAAACATATTTATTCCAATGGATACACCAGCTAAAATTATCTTGATAGCAACCTTCCACAGCCAACCAAAGGAAAAGTTTAGGTTTTTTTTTAAAGAATAAAAAATTCAGTGGACAGATATCTAGACATAAACCGGTGGGCTTTAGATATAAATAGGCAGTGTTTAGACAAACTAGCCACTGTCTCAATGAAGGGTGGGAGTTGACTTTGGTCACGATTGAAGTGTAAGAGAGTGATGTAGCTTGCGTTATGAGGAACAAAAGCTGATTAGTAAATCGGATGATAATTTTATCTTTGAATTATGGGTTTTTAAGGTAGGTTTTTATAGGGACATGATAATAGGGGAGGGGGTGAAAATCAGCTAAAAAGCAAAGACAATTGGTGCCTGTTGCGCGTTGCTGCTACTTCAGAAGAAGAGAAATTCACAGACAATCGTTATGATAACATAGATAACATACAGTTGTTACCAATTATGTAGGTCTATTAGTAAAAAAAACCCAGACCTTCTGTGTACGTTAATCCAACTCCTCAAGGTTGAGGTAGAACCGCTCAGGTGTAAGAAGGGTCACGGGGGGGGGGGGGGGGGGGGGAGGCGGTAGACTCCGCAAACGATAGGGAATTTATAAATTTATAAAGAAAGGTACCTAAGTGCTAACAGGGAGCCATAGGTGCTCTTGGTCACATAATCACATTAAGGGTGGAGCACACAGGTAGTTTGGTGAATGCCCAATCAACTGGCCCCAAGTATAACACAGTGTTTACACTTGCAACAAGTACACTATACAAGTCAAGAAAAAAAACATTACAACAAGTATACATGTTCCGTGGGGAAAATGTTTTCATCTATTTTCTCTAGACACGTATGGTAAACATGTGGCAAGTGTAAACGTGACGTTAGGTAGCAGAGGAGAAACTTGTGTCGCCCAACAGCATACTACCCAAAGGAGAATATATAGGTAGCCAAACTAAATGTAACTAAGTTTCTAAAATTGATAAACAGCCTTAAAAAAGATTTAATGCGTAGAGGTGGCTAATTAATTTAGCTTAAGTACTAATGCAAAAATCATCTTACTTATTGCATTTATATTACTTAAACTCTGCAAACTTATTAAGTCCACAATAGGAGTATCAAAAGGCTTAATCAGTTTTATGGAAATACCTGGAAATATCTAATGCAGAACTCACATTTTTAAAAAAGTTACTCTTTTGGACATGTTGATGTATGTTTGAATGGCAAAGATCAAATTACGGTTACGTTCAAACCAGAAAGGAGACTTATAATAATATAAAAACCACTAAACAGAAATGGTTCATAAGTTTTTAACACATACAAATCACATGCGGCAAAGTAAGCTCCTATAGAAAATCAACTGAACACCTGCTATACATCAAGCACTTACATTTCATTTGATGTACCATTTTTAATGCATGTTTTGAATATAATCCTCTCACCATACATGCTCTCTTTTGCATTAAGCTTACATGACAAAATGACATCCCCCCCCTCCCCCAACCAATTAATTCCCTGCACTAGCCCACACAAAAAGCTTACTGACATCTGCACCATTAATGAGCAACAAAAACAAATCAGCTTGAATAAATAACTAAATTTTATTTCTTAAAGGTGTAAATATAAAATATTTGAAGATAAAATAGAATTAAAAGTATAGTCTGCTGGGTCAAAGGTCAACAAATAGGATATTGATGTTTTCACTATCAAATATAGGTCCACAACTGATTTTAGAAAAGCACAAGAGTTTTAACAACTTTTTTAATTCCATGGAATGTTGAGTACATTGTTTCTGACAAATAACTGCTAAGGCTTATATGAGCAATAAACAAAATAAGCAAAGTTTCTTTTCTGCCTTTTTAAACAACTACATATAAAATCAATATGAGAAGTTTTTGGCTCAAAACCAGTTTGATGAATTGATTGAATATATTTAGTGGACCTATCTTTGTTCAACATTATTATCCATATTGTAATTTGTAACATAAAAAGTTTTTTTTATAGTCAATATATTTTACATAAAAAAATAGTCTTGATTATTTTCTTTTTAATTCCTAAACTAAACATACTGATTATGACTATGAGTGTTGATTCCTGCTTCAAATTCAGTAACAAAGTTGTTTTAAATTTTAAGCAAAATCAAAAGTTAACTAAAAAAAGCCTATTAGTATTATGCATGAACACAAACATTTTGAAATCTCCCCAAATTATTAAGATACTGTTTAACAACTAAAAGTTTATTAGAGAGAAAGTTGTTTCAAAGTTAGATAACTAAATAGACTGGGATCATGCTTATCTAAAAATGAGTCTTTCTTTCGAAACTGAACGCATTTAAGTTTCTTATAAGACTACTAGTTACAATATTACATACAATAAATTATTTCTACTAATTTAATAATCAAAACTACTTAGTAAAAAAATGTGTGTACAATTTATTAGTGAATAGATGTTTTAAAATTATAAAAGCAGTCTTAAAAATAAACTGAAATATGCTACTTGGTGATAACAGAAACACAAACTAAATCATTGCGTGGTAATCAAGACAAAATTAACATCTTAAGTAGATTATTTTTACATTATACAATCAATATAAATGATAAAATGATACGCTGCATATATTCATATGTAACAAGGATATGAAATGATATATTTCACAATGTTAAAAAAATACACAGCCATTAAAAGGTACTATGCCTGAAATATTTATACACAATGGGACAAAATATACCGGTATAAATTTTATAAACAAAATTTTCAAGCTTGAATTTCTTGTAAGTTTGTTGCAAAGTAACAAATGAAAAAATCCCAAAATAGTTTTGAAAACATTTTAGCCATAATTTTAAGCTGAAATTAAAAATGTAATGAAAAAATTTCATTATTGAAAACAAGCCAGATTTTAAACATTATTGACTGCAACACCATATTATTAAAGATTTGATTCAAATTACGAAATGTGGTTTACATAAGTTTAGAAATGTGGTTTTAACAGGCCTATGTTTAATTTTTAAGCTCAGTAAGATAAAAAAATAAAATAAAATAAAAATAATTAAAAAATATAATTTAAACACTATTAGAACTTTGGTAAATTAGTAAGTACAATGAAGGCTTACAGTAGTGGAAGACATTAATTTTTTAAAATCAACATTCATCTTTTCATTTGTTATCTGTTACAAATATTTCATACAATGCGATTAATTTACTTCAAAAGATAAAATAATTTATTTACAAGAAGATTTTAATCAACACAACACAGATTTTCATGAGTTTATGAACTCCTGGATGAAAAAAACATCTATTTGTAGATTAAAATGTTCAATGCTTAAAAAAAAGGCACTATAGTTTTATACTATGACTTATTCGCCATGTTGTCAAAGTTCAACAGCAGAACCACTGAATACTTTAATCATAAGTTTAGTAAATTGTAAATTTTAATAACTAAATAAGAAATTTAAAACTTTTTTAGACTCATTGTAAATGAAATAGTGCTTTAGAGCAAATTGGTTTAAAATTTCTTGATACATATATGTATACATGTTTATTTATAAATATAATTCATGTATAAAAAATAGTTAACTGTAAAAAAATATATATATATTATTTGCATAAGGTGAACCAGTGATAATGAAGGCATTAATTTACATTAACATCAGCAGGGCAACAATAAAAAATAATGCGCCATTGTTTATCTAACCTAACCTCAACATCTGGAACAAATTTGGAGAATGGAAGCACTGACTCAACAACTTTATTGTTAACAAGCATTATTTGCAGCGTAACAGGAATGTTGGAAAAAAAATAAGTTAAAATTTGATGTAAGGGGAGGGAATAAAATAAAACAAATGATTCATCATAAAGATTAATGTGTTACTTCAAATTTGCTTGAGTCACTGTCTAAATTGGAGGCTTTGAGTAGTATAAATGTTCACTAACAGGTCATTTTGATTGGTGTAAATATAAAAATTTTACAGGATGTAGCCAATCAAATGTATTGATCAATGTTTAAACTTCAAAATTTGTAAACCACGTGTTGAAAATGTCAAGAAAAATAGCTTAGGATACATAGTATTTAAAAACAACAACAAATTATAGAGCAACATATATATATACCTTAAAGGAAGATTTATCAATTTAAACTCCAAATATTCCATTATATAACTGCATGAGGTTTACAAAGCAAATTACTTTTAATTATATGATCCACAACTTAAAATTTTGTCTTGATGAAATAACTGTTTCTGTATACATATTAGCAATACAATTAATATAAAAGGCATTATATAACTAATATGAGATTTTTGTCAACTTTACATAAAAAACAAGAAAAAAAATACAATTCACTTAATGTTCATCTAATGAATTTTTATATGTAATAAATTAAAAATGTAGCATAAAATGTATTGATTGCATAACAAATTATATTGGACTTGTGATGCCTGGTCAGCACAACAAACTTGGTTAGCATTTTCACATCACTTTGTATGGTGTGACATCACTCTAATATGGAGCCACAACTCTCCATAGTCTTGTGACATCAGTTTCTGATATGATGTCAAGCTTCAAAATTTCAAGTAATGCAATATGATTAAATGATTTTTACAAGACACCAAGACCCAATGTATATGCTGATTTTAGATGCCGTAAAAATTTTTTTCTTCTATTTAACCAGAATTCTAAATCACAAACAGTTAAATATTTGTAAACAGCACTATTCATTTAAGTAGATTTGTAGAGGCAAACAAAGTGTTCATAAATATAACTGCCAATGTAAGCACTGAAGCTTGAGTCTGTGGGTTGGCTGGTAGAGAAGGTGGGGAAATGTAGATCACAGTGATGTTGTTGGTTGTGTAGATCACAGTGATGTTGTTGGCTGGTGGCTTCCATTCTGGGAAGGTGTATAGCTGCCATTTTGCTGCCCACCAAAACTCATGTTCTGATATTCAGGCTCTGAAGACAACAAAATGAATATTTTTAACTTTTTGAAAACTGTATTTAAAAAAATAATGTATCACATCTTACATATCAATTATCCCTTCTCCAATAATTAAGAGATTTTTTTGTTTGCAACTTTCATAGGAATTATCATAATTCACAGGTAATCTTCATAACTAAACACTTATGAGATCAATGACTAGCCACTTAGATAATTATACAATATCACACTAATTGATCATGTAAAATAGTATCTATAAATAAGCTGTTCCACAGGGCAAATAATCTTTAAAGTGATATTCAAATTAAGACAATAATATAATTATAAAATCAGCAGCTGCATACATTTAGAGCATGTTTTTTTAAAAAAAATAATAGCTCTTGATAAGCTTCATGTAATGCATATGTTTGTTTCACAGGGCAGATAATTTTAAAAATTTTGATCAAATTAAGCCAATAATATAATTATAAAATCAGGAGCGATATAAGCTTTTTAAATGGAGTTTTGATGAGAATGGTCATGGTGTTTTGTGTTCAAGTTGATACTAATTTATAGTACTGGTAGTGGATTTATCAAGACACTTTGGGATGTGATGTGACAATTAAGGCTTACAAGGGGAGGACATGTGTGGACATGGAGGATATTTGACATTTTGGGATGTGATGTGACAATTAAGGTTTAGAAGGGGAGGACATGTGTGGACATGGAGGATATTTGACATTTTGGGATGTGATGTGACAATTAAGGCTTAGAAGGGGAGGACATGTGTGGACATGGAGGATATTTGACATTTTGGGATGTGATGTGACAATTAAGGCTTAGAAGGGGAGGACATGTGTGGACATGGAGGATATTTGACATTTTGGGATGTGATGTGACAATTAAGGCTTAGAAGGGGAGGACATGTGTGGACATGGAGGATATTTGACATTTTGGGATGTGATGTGACAATTAAGGCTTAGAAGGGGAGGACATGTGTGGACATGGAGGATATTTGACATTTTGGGATGTGATGTGACAATTAAGGCTTAGAAGGGGAGGACATGTGTGGACATGGAGGATACTTGTGGTGAGGAAGTGGATGACTTGTGGATTGCAAGTGGAGGACACATGCATACATGATCATTCTGGTAAGTGCTTGGTGATAAGTTGATAACCAGATAAAAATTAAGAAATGGGCTTACCCATTTTTTCCTTTTCTGAGAAGATAATTCGATTGTTATTTTTTGGTAATCAAAACTATTTTTTTTCTCTTTTTTAAAATTGCTTTGGCATTTCTCCAATTGGATTCACTGGATATTCCCACATAGCACTATATGTTTGAAACCACTGCCCAAGTAGATATATGTTATAATCCCAGTAATCATTCCCTTAATCCTGTGAAGCTCCTGAGGAGATAAGGGTGGCTTCAGATTTCCACCAGATTCCTTTTTTGGGAAGCTCTCTTTAGTTGAGCCCATGTAAACCATACAGCCCTTGCTTCTTGATCAACAGTCCTTCTCCAGGAGTGTTAAAGTTGGCCTACTTTTCTTTTCCCCTGAGGATTTCAGTCCAGCGCTTGCCTCACTGTGTCTACATCTCAGGGTAATCCTTGTCATGCTTGACAATTTTATATAAGAACACTACACCCTTCCAACTGTGACTTCCAGCCCATTAAAGAGAAGAGTAATTGAACTTACCAAAAGCTTCATTGTCATAGGCTGTCTTGGTGTTGGCATAAACATTTTCCTCATTGACTTTCACGTTTTGGTATGTTCCTTCATTTTCTCTTTCCTCTTCTTCTTTGATTTTCTTGGCTATTATTTCATCCAGTGCATCAAATATAAAGATGTACTGGGTCTAAAATGTAAGAAAGGAATCGTTTCAATTTGAGAACAATGAAGAGAGAAGACAAGAATTGTAGGGAGAAAAAAAGTAACAAAATTACAAGAAGCTAAAGGAGGCACAATTATATTTGTCATATTGTTTGAGTACAAACCATTAATGTCATAATAGAGAAAAATGTAAAAACTATGTTATTAGAATTTTATTTTATTTAATATTATTCAAACTACTTTTGATACTGTCTATTGTGGTCTTTATTCTATTTTACTTTATACTATTAAATAAAAAGATAGCTGTTAAGTCAAATGGAGGAAATAAAAGTCTACATTCTGACTTTAGTACAGAAGAGTTCCACTGTTTACCTCAGCTTGCACCATTCGAGGTCTGTTGTTTCTCATCCTCATCACATAGCTGAAAACATCAATGGATTCATCAAGGCTGTGTTTTTCTATAAACTGCATGAAGTAATCCAAAGCAATAAATGTGCCTGTTCGTCCAACGCCAGCGCTAGAATAGAATTAAAAGCATGGGTTATGAATAGACTTTCTATCATAGAGACGCAACAATTAATTGTATTCAGCACATAATATCTAAAAAAGCCAAGAGAATGTTTTTTATTGTTTTAGGAAAAAATTAAAATTAAATACAGAAATTGTGAAGCTAAACAAAAATTAAGGCTGTTTTATTGGTTGTAAAAAGTTTCTATATATTTTGATATTAATGAGTATAAGCTTATTTTTCTCAATCTATTCTATGATTTAAGGCCAATGTGGTGAATGGTAGAACATTCTAGCTCTAACCCGAAGCTCTTGATTTTGGATACAGGGGTTGAGTCCATAAAATATCAGTGAGTCTACCCAGCTCTGAGTACCTGACTCACATTAAGCAGATGGATAGAGTGCTGACCCAGCTATCTATTCATATGCCAAGGTCACTGAAACAGGTGAACTTTACTGCACCTGCCCCTATACTTTTAAAAAAATTCTATGATAACTGGGGGAGGGGTGCAGTGAACAATGATTGGCCCAGTTTGTACTGGTGTCACTGGGGGTGGGGAGGGGTGGAGTCTGACCTGCAGTGAACAATGATTGGCCCAGTTTGTACTGGTGTCACTGGGGGTGGGGAGGGGTGGAGTCTGACCTGCAGTGAACAATGATTGGCCCAGTTTGTACTGGTGTCACTGGGGGTGGGGAGGGGTGGAGTCTGACCTGCAGTGAACAATGATTGGCCCTGTTTGTGCTGGTGTCACTGGGGGTGGGGAGGGGGAGGAGTCTGACCTGCAGTGAACAATGATTGGCCCAGTTTGTACTGGTGTCACTGGGGGTGGGGAGGGGTGGAGTCTGACCTGCAGTGAACAATGATTGGCCCAGTTTGTACTGGTGTCACTGGGGGTGGGGAGGGGTGGAGTCTGACCTGCAGTGAACAATGATTGGCCCAGTTTGTGCTGGTGTCACTGGGGGTGGGGAGGGGTGGAGTCTGACCTGCAGTGAACAATGATTGGCCCAGTTTGTACTGGTGTCACTGGGGGTGGGGAGGGGTGGAGTCTGACCTGCAGTGAACAATGATTGGCCCAGTTTGTACTGGTGTCACTGGGGGTGGGGAGGGGTGGAGTCTGACCTGCAGTGAACAATGATTGGCCCTGTTTGTGCTGGTGTCACTGGGGGTGGGGAGGGGGAGGAGTCTGACCTGCAGTGAACAATGATTGGCCCAGTTTGTACTGGTGTCACTGGGGGTGGGGAGGGGTGGAGTCTGACCTGCAGTGAACAATGATTGGCCCAGTTTGTACTGGTGTCACTGGGGGTGGGGAGGGGTGGAGTCTGACCTGCAGTGAACAATGATTGGCCCAGTTTGTGCTGGTGTCACTGGGGGTGGGGAGGGGTGGAGTCTGACCTGCAGTGAACAATGATTGGCCCAGTTTGTACTGGTGTCACTGGGGGTGGGGAGGGGTGGAGTCTGACCTGCAGTGAACAATGATTGGCCCAGTTTGTACTGGTGTCACTGGGGGTGGGGAGGGGGAGGAGTCTGACCTGCATTGAACAATGATTGGCCCAGTTTGTACTGGTGTCACTGGGGGTGGGGAGGGGTGGAGTCTGACCTGCAGTGAACAATGATTGGCCCAGTTTGTGCTGGTGTCACTGGGGGTGGGGGAGGAGTCTGACCTGCAGTGAACAATGATTGGCCCAGTTTGTACTGGTGTCACTGGGGGTGGGGAGGGGTGGAGTCTGACCTGCAGTGAACAATGATTGGCCCAGTTTGTACTGGTGTCACTGGGGGTGGGGAGGGGGAGGAGTCTGACCTGCAGTGAACAATGATTGGCCCAGTTTGTGCTGGTGTCACTGGGGGTGGGGTGGTGGAGGAGTCTGACCTGCAGTGAACAATGATTGGCCCAGTTTGTGCTGGTGTCACTGGGGGTGGGGTGGGGGAGGAGTCTGACCTGCAGTGAACAATGATTGGCCCAGTTTGTGCTGGTGTCACTGGGGGTGGGGGAGGAGTCTGACCTGCAGTGAACAATGATTGGCCCAGTTTGTGCTGGTGTCACTGGGGGAGGGGTGGAGTCTGACCTGCAGTGAACAATGATTGGCCCAGTTTGTGCTGGTGTCACTGGGGGTGGAGTGGGGGAGGAGTCTGACATGCAGTGAACAATGATTGGCCCAGTTTGTGCTGGTGTCACTGGGGGAGGGGTGGAGTCTGACCTGCAGTGAACAATGATTGGCCCAGTTTGTGCTGGTGTGGTCATCTGCCGAACCAGCTTGGCAAATTCTAGAACATCACCAGTGGTCAGGTTGGCACTGAAGTCCCACCAGCCAGGCAGGAAGAAATGTGTCACTTTACGAGTGTCTGGTCCCTGGACATAACGAAACAAATCTTTTTTTGTACTTTTATTTTCAATAAAATAGATGTAGAAGTCTTATGTAAAAGAGAAAGAAGATTTAATGTTTTTGTGTTGGTTGCTAAAAAATGGATTGTAATTCACACTTTACTGTGACCATAATTACTGAGGTAGTGCCCTAAGGACCAGAGCCAAGGAATATTAACAAAAACTTTAGGATTAACCAGCAAGTATTCTACCACTTTATAACAAATGAATGACAAAAATGTATTCTTAAAACATTCTTTGGATTTTTTTCAGTGTTAAAAAACTAAAAAAAAATTTATGTGAAATAAGAATGAGTAGACCTACAGTACCTTAGATATTGTGAAGTTTCTGATAATGTATTTGTTAAGCTGAGAAAAGTTGGTCATCTCTACTATAATGTTGCCGTAGTTGATTGGTTCATTCAGGTTCTCAGGCCAGTACAAATCCACTTTTCTCTAAAACATTTATTAAAAAAAAAAAAAATTAAAGTTTTTCTTATCTTCTTCTTCTTCATTTTTAGTGTTTGAAGGGAACGAGTGTGATGACGCAAGATTACGTCAGACATGTTTAGCAGATATAGGTTAGCAGAACATACTATAGGCCTAGTTGGTTGGTTAGAGAGGCCAATGGGCGCACAGGGCTGACCGGTCACGTGGGACGCTCAGCTGACCAGTGAAGCGTGGGCCACTGTTAGGCCGGGAGATCATGATTAGTTAGCGTGGGCAGTAGAGCGATAGGCCAGGAGTTGTTAGGTAGCGGCAGAGACGGCCGAGAATGTAGATAGTTAGGAGATCATGATTAGCTAGCGAAGGTAGAAGGTGTTAGGTTGTAGAATGTAGAGAACAGTTAGTGTTAGGATTGGTCATGGGAGTGCGTAGTAGTAGGTAGCATGTGGTATGAACAGTCAGTAGTAGAAGTAAATAGTACAGTGTAGATCAGTTAGGTAGAAACTTGAACATATATATCATTTTAATAAAGAACAATTATAGTTGAACTTGAACTGTGTGTTATTGGATTCATTCGTTACCGCCTTCTTAAAAATCACCACCCTCACAACTGGTGCAACAAGAAGAACCTCAAACCAAAGATCTCCTTTCGCACCATCACATCTGGTGGCCTGTTCTCTACATAACTACCCCGCTGCTCCACCAGTTGTGATGGTGCGAAAAAAGATCTTAGTTTGTAGTTCTACTAGTTGCACCCGTTGTGAGGGTGGGGATTTTTAAGAAGGCGGAACGAATGAATCTAATAACACAAGTTCAAATTCCAACTACAAAGTTCTTTATTCAAATGTATATAATCAGTTCTATCTAACTAGTCTATTCTATACTCTCTACTGTTTACTTCTACTACTAACTGTTCACTATATTACTAACTACGCACTCCCATGACCAATCCTTACACTAACTAACTGTTCTCTAGCTCTACATATTACGACCGTCTCTGACCGCTTCCTAACACCTTCTGTCTGATCTACCTACTGCCCAAGCTAACTAATCATGATCTCCCGGCCTAACAGTGGCCCACGCTTCACTGGTCAGCTGAGCGTCCCACGTGACCGGTCAGCCCTGTGCGCCCATTGGCCTCTCTAACCAACCAACTAGGCCTATAGTCTGTTTCTGCTAACCTATATCTGCTAAACATGTCTGACGTAATCTTGCGTCATCACAACGAGCCTTATCTGTCAGAGGGTTTAAACTCGAGACTTTTTCTAATTTATCAACCATGAGCTTTTGCCGACTCGACCATGCTTCCATCACAATGTCAACTGGTTATACGCCATTGATTCTGATTTCAGCCTGCTTTTCTTTTTGGATTTGCTTCCATAGCCTTTGTCCAACCAAGAACAAACTACAAAGCAGCAGTTGTTTGATTTTGGAGTTGTCTCTCCTAGAAGAGTGGCTGTCCTCAGCTGAAGAGCCTCATCTGCCCGAGGGTTCAAACTTGAGACTTTTTGGTTTAGCAACCATGAGCTTTACCGACTCGACCACGCCGACCCCTAGATTTTCTTATAAATATATCAATTTAATACTTATAGTTTCAAAGTTTATATGAACTTATTATTTAAAATTAAGTAGAGGTTTCATATTTTAAAAATATGGACTTGTTAACTATGAACAATATCCATGGACATGTGAATCTAACAGCTAATGAGAAGTGTATCAACACATCACGACCACCAAGTTCTCACCTTGCCCTGCTCCTGTAGATCTGACAACATGACAATCACTGGACATTTCTGTTCCCATGTCATCCTCCAGAAGTCAGGGATTGTACAATGCATGGGTCCTTGAGTGGCGATGTACTCCCTGACAGAGGTATAGCCCTGTAATGAAGCAATTTAGTAAATTTACAGAGTTATCATTTGTCAAAATACTAATGAATTATTTAAAATAGCTACTCTAACCACAATTTTAATGAACTAAGGGAATATTCAATAGCATATTAAGTCAGAATATGCACAACAGATATTTTGGGGAGTTGTTATTTTTGTTTGGATGTCATGATTGGGTGCTTCATAATCCTAAACAAGCAAAAATCCATATTTTGGATAATTACAGGAATGTAGTTGGCGTTGATGAAGTCCATAGTATCATCATCTTCTGGTTGAATGTCCAGTTTCACACGAGTGTGGTCATCTGCAACATACAAAGGTATCTATTATTATTTGTATTTTAACTCTTAAATGTGAATAATCAAAGCTTGATTATTATCTTTGTGTAAATAAATTAATATGGTGTGAATAGTATTAAACTACTTGAGCTTGAGAAACGTTAACTCTTTAAGACCGGAATTAATTGCATGTTTCATCACAATTTTTTTTACTCTCAATTTATTCAGCAGGCCTACCTATGCAGCAAAAAACTCATATATTTTTACTCATTTATTTAAAACCCACACATTACTGATATAAATTAAATAAAATTGAAAGCCCTTCACACTTAAATTAATTGTAAATATTTTTATTATTTGCTGAAGAAAAATAATTAAGAGTAGCTAGGGAAGGCCGCTTCTGTCAGGAAAATGAATGATATAAATTGTTTTTCATGAGTTCTTATTAACCCATAAAACAAAAGTACGCCACTTTTTCTACCAAAATCATGGTTTAGATTAGTATTAGAATAAATACAAATAGCTTCTGTTAATTTTATAACGCACTGACGAAACTGGTAAGACATAGCCGATGAATGGGATTCCTCAGTGTTAAAAAATGCTGATTTACGGAAAGTTTTGCAAACATTTTTTTCTATAAAATGCAAAATCAACGAAAGGGGGAAACTACAAGAGTAAATCCATTAATTAAAAACTTATATTCAGCTAAACAACTAATTTAACAGAGAAAATGTTACTGGACTCTGGCAACTGGCCTAATGAACGCTGTGAGCGTAGTTAGGGCCTTAAAGAGTTGACCATAAGGAGCAGACTTAAAGGTTTAATCAATATTTATACTAAACCAACATACAAGGCAAAATGTCAACATATCTGTTCTTGACTCGGTTCCCTTCTCTTTTAGCCTCATCAGATGTGTGGGGAAATCTGGCACTGAGGTTCTTGATGTCCTGGAAAGTCAGCAGGAAATATTTTTATACTTGCTAGCTAAGGCCTGATTATATTTTCTGATTTTAACCCCTTGCGACATGATGTACACTTTTGTACACTCTACATTTGAGCTTATTTTATTTCTAGTAAAAATATAAAAAGTAATATTAAATTGAAATATGTGTATTCCTGCATAATATTCCTACATTGTAAGCATAAAGTTTCACTTTTATATTACCTTACATTTTTACCATACAAAATGTGGTTTAAGCTACCGTGGCCCTAATTAGGGTAGTGTAGTAAGTAAAAGTAAAGTTCCCTTTCAAACCTGAGAGTCTAGGGGGCAAGTGAAGTAGAGTTCACTTGTTTCTGTGACCTCGGTATATGAAGGGATGGTGTGGTCAGTACTATGCCCAGCCGTCATTACTTTCCCTAACGTGAGTTAGGTACCCATCAGAGCTGGGTAGACTCAGGGTAGTGTAGTAAGGGGTTATAATTACTGATAATCTAGAACTATCAAAAGATATTATACAAATATAATGCTGAAAAGATAATACTAAGAGGGAGAGAATGCCTAGAAAAAGTGATGGGGGATACAGGTGCATTTCAACAGGTAATGGATGATGTTAAATGTAGTTTATAGGTAAAAGATTGGGTTAGAATCAAAGTACACTGTCAAAACCATTGAATATATTGTTAAAATAGGCTTGGGTTTTAGAAGGTAATATAATGTGGAAACAGTAATTTTTTAATAGTTTTGTCAAAATGATTGTTTCAATGCCAAACATGTAAGCTGGCATGATTTTATGTTAGTTAAAACTTTGGTCTGCAGCTTTACATTCACAGCCTAGGAATATCATTGCTGCTGAAACAAAAATAAGTACTTGCTATTTATTCTTACCTCAAATTCCCCCTGGAATAAAAGATTGGAATCTTTGTGCAGTTTTCTGACTTCCTCTCTGAACTCCCTAATTCTTATTGGCCTTGTTAACAAAGCAATAAAAGAATAATCAGATTTCTCAAAAAACCATAAGTTTGAAAAATAATTAACAAAATTAAATAAATAATTTTAACAAAATAGCTGCAAGGTTGTTTTTTTTACAGACTGTGTATCAAACTAAACAAAATTTTTTTTTGTAATTTAGAAATTAATACAAAAATATTACAAAATTTTCAGTCAAGAAAAACAATAGGCCTATATTAAAAAATGGGGATGGCATGGCCTAAGCGATACAGCGCTAGGCTGCTAATCTCAAGTTAGAATCTTGGCTAAAGTCAGTAGACTATCCCTGAGTCCACCCAGCTCAGATGGGTGCCTAACTCGATGTTAGGGAAAGTAAAGGCGGCTGGGCAAAGCCCTGACCACACTTCCCTTAATATGCAGAGGTCAAGAAACATATGAGCTCTACTCATCTGCCCAATGGATTGTTAGGTCTAAGGAGGCTTGTTTACTTTATATTAAAAAATGACAACACACAAAGACCAGGCGCAGTCTTACCTGTTCTCTTTTATTTTTTTAGTATCAATATCCCAGAGTGGATGATGGGAACTGTAAACAAATTAAAATACTTAGTTCAATGATGTGTAAGATAAAAGTATTCATTTGATTATGATTTTTAAAAATGGTGTTGAAATGGAATAAGTGTTTTATCATGAAATTAATGCAGACATTTTTTAGGTTAAGCTTTGCTTCAGCTCTTACCATTTCTTTTAACTAGAGCTTGTACGCCATCTATATATCACAAACTATAACAGATCAGCCCCTTAATAAATTAGCCCTCACTAAATTGCCTACATCAACAATTTAATTTGCTATGAGGGCTATAACAAATGATGACTGACATAACAGGTATCAATCTTCACCCCCACCCAACTCTAAATTACCAAACTACTAATAACTATTATAAAGCAACTACACAGAAAATACAATTAGACAACTAACTATGCTTTAAAAATAAAAATGATTGTCATTAGAACTATGGTTATTTTAGTACATGGAGTAGAGCTTGGTAGTCATTTAGAGCTGGGGAAATGTAGCCTTTTGAGACTGCATGGTGGTAGGAGAGGGAAGAATTAACTAAAACTGTGACATAATTTATGGATGACCCATAAACCACAATTGATATTATAATCTGATGTCTACTCTACTATTCATGACATCTTAGAAACTACATACACCACTTCAAAAAATATTTTTATTTTCAATTAAATATGGAGAAAAATATCCATAATTAAAAACAATTTTGAGCTTGGTCAAGTGTAGAATAATTGGTTTTTAAAATTTTTCACATCAAATAATCTTTGTACAGATTTATTTTATTATTTTATCATGAAGCATGTAGAAAAAATAAATATAGATAAACAAGGAGTGATACATGCCTTGGTTTTGGACGTTTTCTAAAATATAACACTGCAATTACAATAACAGCAATCAAAATGGCTAATATTGCAAAGCCTCCAATCACACCTCCAATAATTGCAGCAGTATCAGGCGAGTCCTCCACTACAAATAACACAGAAAGAAATTTCATTTTAAATAGTTTAAAAAAAATCAAATAATTTTGTTAAATAAATGCATATATAAAATATTAATGAAAATGATATTTATAAAAAGATGTATACATAAAATATTAATGAATTTAATATATTTATAAAAACCTTGTGTTGCCAAAACTGAGGAGGATTCTCGAGTACAGCCAGCATTGTTACAAACAAAAACAAATACCCTGTTGAAAAAAAAAAATTTCTTATGACATAAGACTCAGTACTAGCCTCAGCAATCCAACTAAAAAGTTCATGAAAATAATAAGGAATGTAAAAAAATTATTGAATATTATTTGTGAATACTTTTTGTAGTATCAATGTATTTGATGTTTCTAATACTAAAGGTAAACAATGAAAATTGCTAAGTATTTAAAAAAAAAAAGAATTGCTTAATATCGTGAATAAAATACATTTTAGAACAATAAAAATAACAAGAAATATATGCAAAGATCTTACTAAATGAATTTTTTTTTTAAATAAAGTAAACTTAAATCGGGTTGTGTTTGCAAATTATGAAAGTCATTTAAATATATTATTACGAGCCGGCCTGCGGCATAACATACGCCGCTATTTAGTTGTTGTTTTTTCTACTTTTCAGTAATTCATAATTTGTGAATTCGACAGTACCAACGCTGCCACTGAAAATATATCTTTAAAACACTATAAGTAGCTCGTTAAAGACCATAACCCCCCCCCCCCCCTTCTCCCCCCTCCCCTACGTTTAAAATCGTTTCAAACAAAATTATCTGCCCCTAATAGTCGTCACTAAACCCGGCTATGTTTGTAAACATTTAGAGTGAACACAGCTCACTAAGACCATGTAGGGGTGGGGAGGTAGGGAGCGCGTTTACAGCTTGTTTTCTAGCGTCTCCCAGAAGAGAATTATATATATAGATAATAGCAGTTTTGATCAACTTTAACAGTAAAATGTTAAGTATCAATTATTGATGGGTAAATAAAATATGGTTTTGATGTAAGCATTCACAAAAGGTAACCTCAGAATTTTTTTTTTACAAGCTATCTGTATGTAGGCCTATACATATTTCTTATTTAATAAAAAAATGTTCCATTTTTGTCTTCTAAATACAGCATTTTTTAAGTTTACAAAAAAGGTTGAAAAGTATTTTCATTGCTCTTCACAAAATATGTTGTATTTTTAATATTTATGCAGAAAATCAAGAGGAATTAACTAAAGTAGGCATTTACTAATCTAGGCTAACATGTTAGCCTTTGAAATAATGCAAAGATTTTAAAATAAAAGCTTTTAATCTATTTAAAATTGTAAAAAAAAAACAACAAATACATAAATTAATTTATTAAAAGAAAAAAAAAAGGCTAACTTGAACTTTGTAGCGGAAGGTAGAGGTCCATTGCAGATAACACCAGTTTCACCAGAATTACACTTAGTGTTATTGCCAACAGTGAATGGTACTTCACTGTTTGAGAAAGCTGCAGATAGACAAAAAGTATTTAGCAGCAAATTTTCATCTAAAACGAATCATAATTCTAAAAAGCCAATACTCACTCTTATAAAATTATAAAAAAAGGACGATTTTTTGGTTTAATGCAGCCTAATGAATTTATATACTATTAGACTATCTATATTTTCCTAAAATGGCAGATTTCATCTTTTACTGAAACATAAATAGCCTGGGCTGGCTGTATAACATTTTTTTTTTCAGTAACATAAGCATGAGTGCCGTGGTCACTTTTTGAATAAATGTGCTTAAAATGTATTTTTAAACTTTCCATCAGTGCTGGTATCCATTGAAAATGTGTGAGGAAATGTTTTAGGCTCGTTCATAAGTTTCAAGTCAACCACTACCACTTAGTCTTAACAGTCCAAAACCAATAATGTGGTGGAGGTAAACTTAAGCTTGTCTATTACATTAAGAAGAAATTGAAGTACGCCTACAAAAATACCTCTTAATTGGTTCAACCAATCTAATGGTGTTGTTCGATATCCAATTTTAAATCCAGATGCTTTAGCTGCTGACCAAGTACTGTTGAAAACTTCATCAACCGCTCTTTTTCTTTTGCCTTAAAAAATATTTTAATTTTTTTTTACAATATAAAGGTCATGTTAAACATATTTAAAGACTCAGTCTGGCTTTCAGTATATTTTTCTACTTACTTGAAAAACAGGGAGCAGTTTCTGCACATACAGCCAGCCACAAATCTTGTATCTTGCCCTGTGTATCATTGGCCACACAATCTTTGCAGACTGTAACATCTAATGTACTTTCTTTGGAGTTTGATAATTTTACTACGTCTGTTCCCAAAGGGATGATAGGTACTGAAGAACAAAAAGATATCATAAAAAAAAAATGTTGCACATGTGTTTAATGCAATATCCTACTTTATATAAAAAAGTAAAAGTAAAGTTCCCTTTACAAACTTGATAGTCCAAGGCGCAAGTAGGGTTCACCTGTTTCTATGACTTCGACATATAGAGAGATAGTGTGGTCAGCACTATACCCAGCCACCTTTATTTTCACTAATGTGAGTTATGTAACCAGAGTTGGGGACGTTCTTCTGACTTGAATCCAGATTCGAACAAGACTTTTGGCTTAGCAGTCCAGCGCTCTACCGCTAGACCATGGTATCCTAAAACTAGTATTATATTCCTCACATATATCAATTATTAAATTTATGCCTTCACTATGGCATCTATGTAATCAGCTAATTGTAGGCTGGTAATAATCTGTCTGCAGATTTTAACGGAGCCAGTATGGTCTTCCAAGGTATCTGTCATAATCCTTCTAGGTAGATGTTATGACTGATGCCTTAAACGGCAGATGATTGGCTTTAAGGATTTTAAAATGTATGCATAATTTTCCTTTAAGCCATTTAGTTATTAAGATATGATGTTGCCTAAGTTAAATCTTTTTTATTGTTGTTAAATTATTAAGACTAAAATATTTGTAAACTTTAATTTGATACATTAGTCAACTTTTAACAAATTTTGTATGTTTTATTTTTGAAAGGTTGGCTATCAAAATGTATGCCTTTTAAAAGATCAATTTCTTACTTACTATTTTCCCACCTCTATGTCATTTTTTAAAATTTGAAAGTCATTATTTTGTCAATGGACCTACTATAATTAAACCTTTTAAGTGTAAAAACACAGTGTTGGTTGTTGAAACCAATAAATATTGGTACACAATTAATAAATATAACAAATCCATAAAAGAAATGATAAAATTACTGCAAGATGTCTATAAAAACCACTTTTGTGATTTAAAAAAAAAAGAGTAAAGAGACAGTCCAATGTAAGAACTATTCTACTTACATTAAAATGTAAATATTTAAGAAAAAATGGAATCTTACATTTTGCAGGAACAAAGAAGTTAAAACCTTCTGAAAAAATTCCTGGGTAATCCTGGTTAATTGTCATGACCTGTAGAGAATAATGCAATTTATATATTTGCTTACAAAAAAAAAATTCCAAAAATTGTTTATTATTTCAATAATAATAAACAATGTTTTAAATTTTTTTTTACAGAGTGATAGCACCTATTTTTTTTTACAACACATACTTCAACTGAATAATTCCTTTCAACTGTTATGTCTGTTAACAGGCCTTGTGTCACTTCACATGGATTTTCATTTTCTGAAATTCTACTGATGTTTTGATTCAGTTTATTATCAGGCTGTAAAGAAAAAAGGTAGCTGAAAAATCATGCCTTACATTATAAATAACAGGGCTGTAGGGTCAGATTTTTAAAAAGTTGAAATAGGTAAAAATGTGTTGACTTCTAGTGTTGAACTAATAATTCTAAGTCAAATATGTGAAAAGATTATTTCTAATTATAAAAAAAATAGCTAACATTCCATCCTATGATTTTATTGCTTACAGTTCACAAGAAAAAAACAGAAAAACAAAACAACAACTGGGTCTGCCTTTGCATGCAGTTTATTAGGATATATATTTGTCACCCTCCCCATATGACCCTTAAATCATTAATACTTTTTTTCTGGATCAGGGTAATGATCAACTGCTTTAAGACTATTGTAACTGAAACATATCTGTATGATTTTAACAACTCCACCTGTATTTTACAGTGTAACATATAGTTCTCTTAAGTGTTTTTTTCAGTACTTTGAAAAAATGTTTGCATTAAACTGAGATTTCACTAAGTATTCTATCCGAGTTAATGATTTTGTTATAATTTCAAAATAATAATAAGTATATAAATATTATTGTTTTGAAAAAAAGTAAAACATACCTCATTAATGTTAGGCTTCAAAAGTATTTTTTTAACTGTATATTTCATGATAATACCATTTCTTTCTTTTTCTTTAGGGCAGTTGATTGAAATAGTAACTTTAGTGGCTATGACAGAATCAACTGTAATGCTAAAAGTTGCTAATCCTGGAGCTGTTTTAATAATAGAAATACAGACAGTTTAAAATGTTGAAGAGCGGAATATAGCATCATAAGAAATGGATATATCACCACATCAGTATCTTAAATAACCAAGTCATTAGGAATTAAAAAAAAATACTTTAGTAGTTAGATTATGTGTCCATACACATTTACACAGAACAATTCCTAAGCAAAATAAAAGTTAACCCAATAAAGGGAAACAATGATAATATTTGATTTACACATAAACCACTTATAATGTGTGCAAGAAAAGATGAATTACAATCCAGTGATATCACAAAAAAATTAAAGCAGACACTAAAATACTATTATAATAGAAGCACAAATGTACTGTAGCATAGATGTCTTTCCAATTATGCTTAACCTAAAAGTAAGATAATAAAACACTTTTTAACCAAGAACTTACTTTTTGTCAAAGTTTTTGTACCTTCTACTTTAGGTGAACTTGGACCTTCACTTGTGTTTGCGGTAACAGTTACCTTGTAATCCCAATGACCCAGAAGGTCAGGGAAATAGAAGAAGTTCTTATCATAACCTAATATTGAAAAAATATAAAAAATTGTGAGCACCCTCAACATAATTTATAGCACTACATAAACACCAGCTTCCATTCTGAGTTTTTATTTAGGTTACATTTCATTGTTGTTAATGTTATTTACAGATTTTAGTTACAAAAGCTGGTTAGATAATTAAGAAAAAAAATCTTACCAACAACTTCTTTAGTATCATTAATGGTGTAACTGTTACTACTTAAGCTTATTTTCTGCTCTAGTTGAATGGTGTAATGTGTAGGTCCAGTGAATCTTCCAGGTATCCAAGTTACATCTAATCCAACTTTATCTGCATTCCTTGTAGCATTCAGACTTACACTGATAAGATTACTTGCACCTGTAACAAAAGTTAAATATTAGCTTTTGTACTTTCATCTACATTTATTTACATCATAACTTTCCTTTTGTGAGGAACAGAGTATTATAACAGACTTCAAGAGTGTGGAAACTTTTACTTGCACCCTCTGTCCTTGCTTTGGATGAACAACATGGTAAGTTACATTTAATTATTGATACTTAAAACTAAAGATTACATATCAATAAACAGGCATCACACTTTTTAAATAAACAACACGGTTAATTATGTACTCTAAATCTTTTACAGACCCTGAATTTTTCAAGCATGCTGAATTTTTCAAGCATGAAGCGCTCAAGTAATAATAAGACTTGTTAGTTCAATTTTAATATTTTATAACTAATTACTTTGAGCTTTCATTTTTAAATGGAGATAAAATTTAAAAACACTATTTTGATTAGAAAACGAATCATTCTTTTTAGTACCCATACATAAAATTGTTATCATCATCACTTTTTAAAGAGTTGCATTATTGAAACGCAAGCAGAAAATTCAAGTGGCACGAGTTAGCACAATTAATATAAATTAATGTATCTCAGATGAGGCAAGGTTAAAATCTTTTCTAGACATGTGGATATATTTTTCTGATGGATGAATTTATCGCCCATCTAAGGGATCTCCTGCACTAGTTAAAAAATTACAATTCTGCCTTTACTGTCTAAGAGGATGGAGGACATGTAATTCAGAATTTGAAGCCGAATAAAATGAGATGGCCCTAATTGAGCATATTGAGTTTGGTCCCAGACCTAAATTCCAGGTTTAAGCTTAGGCTATAAAAACAAAATAATTTATTCAAATTAAAAAATATGTAACTCAAACAGCAGAGCTCTAAGGCCATAAAAGAATGAATGATACAATATATTTGGCAAAAAAAGTTTCAATATTCTATTTGAAAATACTTACGTGCAACTTTGGTAGTAAAAGATTGACTTGCTTGCTTGCCTTGTCCAGCATCATTGTATGGTAATACTACCACGGTGTAGTTGGTGTAAGGATCCAACTTAGAGATTTCCATTGAGATGGTCGAGCTATGGCTATTCAAATCATTTTGCGTGTAGTTTTTCCTAGTTATTTCAAATTGTTGGCATTTATCAGTAGCCAAATTTTGCTGAAAGTATGAAGAGTACCAGTATTATAAAAAAATATGTTAACAATCTAATTTTTAATAATTATTGAGTCTCGCAATTTATCCCACAAGTTGCACTGTTACTATTTAATTTCCTTGTTTAAAATTTACACTTAGATGTCTGAACAGTGATTTAAAAAATATGTATGCTTGAAGATTACTTAGAGCATAAATAATTATAGTTTTAGAGATCTACACTGTCCAGGAAAATTCCTTGTTTTGATGGATTTAAAAATTTAGAAAACCCTCATTCAACTGCTGTGATTTTTCCCACGTTTTCTTTAACTTGCTTTCGCGTCTGTTTGGTTTTCCAATCAAATCTTGCAATCGAAATTTGGGGCACTTCCCAGTTAGCTAGCGCGCTGAAATTTTCAGGGAAGCTTTGTTTCCGATGACAATACAATATTGAATTGTTATTGTTACTAAATTGATCCATGGAAAAATTTTGTTGATCATTTTAGACCCCTATATATTTGTACAAAAAGTAATTGTAATTTGATGAAAACAAGGTTCGGTACTCTCCCTCTTTTGGCTTACTGAGTAGTGGTCACGCGGTGTTTGTGTACAAACCTATGCAAATCTGACTGATCAGGAAGTAGGATGTTGATGGTCGAATGGTTTGCACGCGAGGGCAAAATGGTGAAAGAAATGGCAACACAGAAGAAATGTCGATTGGAAAAGGCATGTGTTTTTTGAGAGTTGTCTTCGTTTACCCCAAAAAAAAAATGAATGCGAGAATATAAAATCGATAGCAAGATTTGAATGCAAACAAACAGACAAAGACTAAAAAGTAGAAAATAATTATCATTAAAAAAGTTTTTAAAAACCCACGTTTTCTGATTGAACTAAAAAGTAGAAAATAATTGCTATACATCACAATAATGCAAGCGATCACTCTACTATAAGCGATGAAAAACGTGGGGCGCCGTGATTTTCTTACAGTTTCTAATACTGTTGAGTCTCTACAAGCTCCCTAATAAAACTCAATAGTATTATCTAATCAATAGTAATATAACTTTTACATCTTATATTAACAATGACCGATAAAAAACTTTTACTTCGGCGCCCCACGTTTTTCATAATTTCTACATATTTACTTACCACACTACAGTCCATACACCCCACATAGTAAACCTGCAAACATGACTGATTGCTGTAAGTCACATACAAAACATATCCTGTGATGTTTCCATTGGGATTGTTTGGCATCTTCCAGGTAACAATAGCTGTGTCAGCTGTGATATTGTCAGCAGGTATTTGCAGGTTTGATGGCTCATCAGAGGCTTTATGAAGTAAGACAATATTCATTGTTACATAACAGCAATAAAATATATGATTAAAGTGCGTGTGAAATAATATGTATGTGGTTAGCATGAAATACGATAAAAAAAAGTAAAGCTTCATTTTCAGACCTAAAAATCCATAGAGCAGATAAGCTGAGTCCATATTTTTCCTATTAACTAACTGAAACTCAACAATTCTACCAAAATCGTCAATGTATTAGGTAAGTTATATCATGACTATAGTATTTTATTCATGGCATTAAGGGGCTTACCTATTCAATGTATTAAAAAATTCTACACCTTTATCACTTGCTTTTAGTAACATATGTAATACTATGTGTCCCTTAGTGTTTGTAATGTAGGGAATAAATATCCAAAATATAGAGAGTAACACATCTAGTTACATAAACTACATTAAAAAAACCTACTTTTTATTAAAATATATTTCACACATGCAATTTTATTAATACTATATTTTTAAGTTTATATAATCTTTTACTAGAATGTTTATTAAATTTCCTTATTGCAGCCAGGTTGTGATCAAAATATCAAAAGTGTACTGCAAGCATAATTGTAATTGTAAAAAAAAACCCACAACATCAATCAAAATCTTCAGGAATACAATGACTATTTTTTAACCCCTTTATTAAAAAAAGAAAGAATGTAAAAATTTATAGTGTTTTAAGTCAATTTAGCAACTAAACACCTGTTGAAAATTTCTCAATTGTGCTAGCCTAAACAGGTTAATAAAATGATAATTCCGATCAATGAATATAATAAAACAGATACACGACACTCCTGACAAAATGTGACTAGAAATGATTTAGGTACACGACATTCCTGACAAAATGTGACTAGACTATGAATGCTACTTACGGCTAGCAGATGTTGAAAAAGTGTCAGTTGTTATCTCACTCACGTTTCCTGCAGTGTTTTTTGCTGTTATTTCATATGAGTAGATTCTCGCTGGGGTCAGTTTATTTGATACAACAGAAGGTGTGCTGTTGATCAAAGTGTCTACAACACTACCGTTGTACTTTATAACAAATGTATAATTTGCCACATTGCCTTCTGATGCACCAAAATAAATGATGTACTCGTATGGTCCATTGGTTGTAGTATTTGATAGTTGTGTAACATTATAAACTTTTCCTGGCTTCGCAGGAACTGGCAATTAAAAAAAAAATATTAAAACCATTTCATACTATCCCGCCTGTGTAATGGTAGTGATTCATTTATAATAATTATAACGTTTTACAATACAACTCATACCAATTTTATAACAGTACATTAGTTTTGAAAACTAGTGACTAGTTTTGAGTTGTTATCAATAAGTAAAATGTGCCAAAAATGTATGAAAGATACTTGAGTAACATTATTATTTTACATAAAAACTTTTGCTGGAACAGCTCACCCCCTGATAGATAAGCATATAAACTACACAATCTTGCAGCACAGAAAGGTCTGGCATTTGTTTGCCAGTTTTCTATCAACACCATAGCTGCTATGTGACTGTTCAACTGAACTTATAATCCAATTTTATAATAAATCTATTTGACATTGTTTTAAGGGTCAGTGTGGTCTGGTCTGGTCGGTTAAGCTCATGGTTTTAAACTGAAAAGTACAGTTCGAGCTCTCAGGCTGATTTGGCTTGATAGTTAGGGATAGCTACCCATCTAAAAGAGACAACTCCAAAATCAAACAACTGCTACCTTGTAGTTTGTCCTTGGATGGACAAAGACTATGGAAGTAAATCCAAATAGAAAAGCAGGCTAAAATCAGCGTCACTATAGAGCGCATAACAGGTTGACACGTAATACTTAATTGTGTTGGAGGGAATCACATCCAACATTACAATTAGAACAAAGAAGAGGAAGACATTGTTTCAAAGATGTGACATAAAAAATGGACCAAACAAATTTGCACCTGACAACAATGCTAGGCAATGATTCAATCAAACATTTTTACAAACCAATGCAACTATAAAGGAATAGAACTAGCATCAACTTTTGAATACATGTATAAATTATCAATTAAGTCAGAAATCTGACATTTTAGAAATGTCTAGGCATTCCATTGAATGCCCACAATGGGTCAGCAAATTATTAAATAATACATACAATAAGTACATAATGTCTTGGTATTCTATTTAATTCTATCTAAATAGGTGATCGAGGAAAGTGTAGAGTAAGTGTATTTCATTCAGGAAATGTCACAATATAAAACATAACGTTCTCTTAATACTCTGACAGGACAAGAAACACTGAATCTATTAAGGAACTTTTTGTTAGCATGCAAAAATACTAACAAAAATTCAAATAATAGGAAAACCAAAACAACACCCCATTAATTGCTCAAAGGAAAGCGGTGATGTATGGTAATTTTGATCAGTCCTAAACATAAACTCAAACATGAACACAAACCATCACCCTAAACTAAAATAAACTAAAACCTTGCTTTAACATTCTCACTTAAACATAACATTTTTTTTATCTTTCCTTTTTATATATTTTTATGATAAGTTTATAATGGTCAATCATTATAAATCGTTCATTTTGTAAATCCTCATTTAACTTTGTTCATTCTTTTTTATTTTGTTATGTAACTTTTCTCAGGAAAAAAACAAACAAGAAACAACTATTAATCCACATAAAAATATTAATGACAAAATTTCAATAAATAATGCAAATTATGCAATAATTTTACTTATTTTTCTAAAAGAAAGCAAATACATTTTTAAAATGTCATAGATAAGTGAACTAAAGATGAAGCAACTTACAAGTCACAATATCAAGAACATCACCAGTGAAACTTAGACTGTTATAGTAGCTGTCACTTGGTAATTCACTTCTAATCCTCAAGCTGTATTTAGTTCCTGGGACAAGATTGGTCAAACTTGCTACAGTAGCTCCAGAAGATGTATTGACCAATGTGTTTGAATTAGTTGAATTGATGATGGCATATGTAGCATTGGCTCTGAGTATATGTTTAGTTGACCAGTTAAAATTGATGCTGTGCGTTTCTGTTGTCCATGTTACGTCGCCCACCTGTAAGTTGCTCACTGGAATATGTAAAATTCAAGATTTAAATAATGTACAGATTTCAATAAGCAAACGAATCAAAAATATTTTTTTAAAAACATGCTGGCTAAAGTTATGCAAATATATATATATGTAGTGTCAACAATTATTTTCTACATAAACATAAAAGTAATAACAATAAAGAAATAGTAATAGTACAATGATAGTGAATGAGTGAAAATCAAGAAGTTGCACAAAATAATTTTTACAACACTTAAGTAATAATAACAAAACAGTAATGATACAAAATAAAAGTGATCAGTATGCAATTTCTGCTACTTTACTCTAGAACCAAAACATTATCTAAAATGAATGCAGGCTAAACCAAACACTTCTGGTCCAACTGGCTTTGTCTACCCTGAAATAAAATAATTTGACCTGCCTTGTGAGGCAAGTTACTAGTTAGCAGGGGTTTTAAGGTAAACTACAGATGTATGTCCACACTTCATTGTTGATCATAGGCAGGTACTCAGATAAGGTACAACTTGATCTTTATAAATTTTTGAAAAGTTTCTATATTTTATTTTTAGAATGTCTTCTGAATTTAACACTAACAATCGAAAGTGAGCTCCCATAAACTTTCTTGTATTTTGGTTATATAACAGTGAGTGCTGGTATGGCACTTTTAGTGGAATCAAGCTATAGAAATGGTAGGTAAATTTGTGACAAAAGCTGCTCATTTTTAGAGAAAAAACATAGAGGCAAAAAGTTTTAAGAATGTGCTGCTTTATGAGAATATTATATAAAATTCTAAAGGCTTCTGAGAAACCATAAAGAGAGTAAAATACTATTAATGATTATGGGATGGTGTGGTTGAATAGTAGAGTGTTAGTCTGCTAACATAAATGTCTGGAGTTTGGAAAACGGACAAGAGTTTGTAAGATGTTCCTAAGTTCATCTAGCTCTGGTTCTTTCATGTTAGGGATAGTAAAGGTGGCTGGGCAAAAATGCTGACCATATTATCCGTTCATCTGTCGAGGTCATTAAAATAAGTGAACTCTACTTCACTTGCCACATGGACACACACACACACATATATATATATATATATATATATATATATATATATATATATATATATATATATATATATATATATGCATACAACACTTTATATTAATACACTATTTGCAAGGCTTTGCAACAGCCATCTATAGTCATTTCTTACTACAAATGATAATGCAGATATGTTTGGTTGTTTACAAATTGTTTGATGAAAAATTAAAGAGCACGGGATAAAGCTAAGCTCTAAACAGAAACGCTTACACTTTCACATTGTTCTATAAATTAACACACGCTCCTCAATAAGACGGTTCATTACACAAATATAGTAAGCATAAGAATCAAATCATTTAACAGAAAAATGCTTGTTACCTACACAAAGTGATACAATTAAAATATACAAACATTAGATATCAAAATAGTATTACAGAGGAGTATACAGCTTTTAACACAGTTTTAACTAACAATAGCAACACCTAACATTGATGTAAAAGGAAAAACAGAAAGTATAACAGAGAATTGCACACACACAACAATGAAAGCCACCAGTACCTATTAAACGTTAAATAATATACTAAAACCTAACTTGAAATTTTAAGAATGTGATAAATAAGCATATAACTAAAATTATACCTAAACTTTAACCTAAATGTGACATGCCTTACCTCCCAATATTTAGCTAGTCCCCAGATCAATTACCACCCTGCGGAATTGATCTGAGGGTATTTACATTACTAAAAGGACAGGGGAGGGGAGTGTCAATAACGGGAGGCAGTTAAAGTGCTAAAGTTATTGTGTAAGCTTGCACACACATACAGACAAGATTGCAAAACTTGGTTTTTCCAACTCAGGAAGGAGTAGATTATTGAGATTGGTAAAGCTTGCGGTTTTTATTTTTTTGTGTGCAAGAGCACAATACTTCCTCAATAGGCCTACTTTGTATAAGTGAAAGTAAAAAAAGAAGGATGAAGAAAAAACAACTGTTTAAATAATCTCCAAAAATAAAAAATAAAAAAATAATCTCACTCTATTTCCTAAAACCATAATATTAAACCCAATGTTCAGAGTTTCTCTATTGCTATGAATGATTCAACTTATATTCTTCTTTTATCTTTTTTACTTTATAAACAATTTTGATTTTTCAAGGATTTAAATGTAACCTCATTCATTTAAAACTATGTAATTTAAACTATATAAAATTTCATGTTTCATATGATCTTGATATTTAAAGTACTCTTTGAAATTAACAAAAGGTAGGTTTTATAAAATTGAATTGTACTTTGCTAGATGACATACAGAAATCAAAACAGTATTCGGGCAGAATTCTTTACTTAGTACAGTATTCAAAATTGTATTTTATTCATGGACTCTGGAGGTAAATATTTGGGTAAAACCTTAGTTTAGCGTCGGTTATTATTCCGGAATCGTACAGCAGTAAAAAACAGTAAAACAATGCCAAAGTCTGTCACACACTTCCAGAATTTACCCGAAGTACTGTAAACCATACTTTATTTGGCATCATCTTTTATTTTTATACAGAATGTTTAAAATTTGGATAGATTTATTTTTATTATCATTTTTACATTTTGTAATCATTTTTACTATTTTCGTAAACTAGATTTTTTTACTTGGCCTAGCAGCTAGATATTTAGCTAGATCTAGATCTAATTAATTAATGGTCGCAAATCCGCTGCAAGCCAAAAACATTAAATTATTACATTTGACTTCATTATTTATATTTATATTAATGTTTTTTTTTAAATTTTTACATCTACTAATTTAAATCTACTATTATATTTATTCTTGTTTCCTTTTGTCGATTAAACTAAAAAAATTAAAACATTAATTTACTACAATCGACTTTTAATTTATTTATATTTCAATGGTCAAATAAACCATGGTTTACCGTAACTCTAGTTACCGAAAGTCAACAAACATTACCCGATAATTTCCGACGCTAAACTAAGGTTTTACCAATATTTGATATAACATTGAGGCTTGTGTAATCAAAATTTTAAAGAAATAAAGAAGTTTAAAAAATTATATTATAAGTTCTATTTTTAAGTTCCTTCTCTGCCAAAACAGAAGGTACAACAATCCTTAAAATGACATAAGTTTATTTGCTTTTCACCTGAAATATAATAAAAATACTCACAAGAAAGACAGGTATGGTCATCTGTTGCATAACTGTTGCTACTGTCACACAAACATAATGACTTAGTGTTGGAAGAGTTAAATGGCTTTAGACATGTTGTACCAGGAACACAGTCTGATGTTGAGTCACTGCAACTACCAGCATATGTGTTGGCTGTAAAAATAAATGTTTGGATAAATTAACATAGTATTGAAATCTTTTTTAAAAAGCTGCAAGTGTAAAGGGCTTGAGTTTTGCTTATAAACAAGTAATAAGATCATGACAGTTTTGAAGTCTTGTGGTGATAATATGCATTTGCTTGAGAAGGTTGGTGTTAAAAAAAAACTCAGTTAACTTTGACAAATGATAAAACAGATAAAATCATACTTATTGACATTAATTCTACCAATTAAACAGAAGTATGGGATACATTGATTGCATTAAAATAATAGAAAAATTTTAAAAGTAATTTAAAACAGACTTTCAATTTTATATATCTAATATATAAAGCTCAATTCTGTATGTAATAAGTTGGTTTGTCGTTGACATACTTCTATGGATTTAAGTGTTAGATAATTCAAGTCCTTATGGTCTAAATTTATGAGTTAAAAAATTAATATTGAAAGTTTTGGGAAATAATTTTCATTTATCAAACTGAAAGTAATAATTTTCGGCATGTTCATTAAACACAAGTTTTAAAAAAATATCATCCTTTACAAAAATTCTAATTATGTCTTTAGTCCTATAGCACTTACTTCCCTTTGATAAATTAGGAAAACACAATTACTTCCCTTTATAAAACCATTGCATTAGTGAAAAAGAATTTACTTTTTATTACTTTGTTTTGGTGTTGGGAAAAAAATAATTACATAATTAGCGGGGATCGATCAAGTGCAAATGTTGTAGGTATTTTACGGATAAGCTTGGAGTATTATAATTGTTCATTAAATTGAAACAGGCGCGCTCGTTTAAGTGAGTGCAAAAGACTATGAATAAGTTGGGGTACTATAGTCGTTCATTAAGCTAAAGCAGCTGATTCCGCCCCGGGCGTTTATGTTCGCGTTAGTGTTTTCTTTGTGTTTAGTGGCTGCGTTTTGATTTGGTTCGTTTTTGTTCTTTCTTTTTTCATTTTTGTTTGTGTTTTTTTCTTTGGGTTTGTATTTGTGTTTTTGGTTGGTTTTGCGTTTGGATTTGGTTTGTTTTCGTTTGCTTTTTCGTTGTTTTTTTGTGTTGGTATTGGTGTTTGTGGTTGGGTTTGTTGTTAGGTTTTTGCTTTTGTTTGCTTTTTTGTTTGTTTTTTCTTTGTGTTTGTATTGGTGTTTGTGGTTGTGTTTGTTGTTAGGTTTTTGTTTTCGCTTGTATTTGTAATTGTGTTAGCGTTATGTTTGCGTTTTGTTGTTTTGGTTTTGGTTGGTTGTGGTTTGGGTGGGCAATGCCGGGTTTATGATGATTACTAAGCACACAGGTAATGGTCTTTAACAGAAAGGTTTTTCACAGAAGCCAGAGCAGGGCCTGGCCGGGGACGGCTAGTAGACTATAAACTTCAATGATATATGAATAATGTGTTGCAGATAAGACAAGCTTTAAAAAATAAAGATATAAAGAGTTTCTTCTTCTTCGTTCTTAATTTTTAGTGTTGGAAGGGATCGAACCTTATCTGCCAGAGGGTTGAACTCGAGACTTTTTCGAATTTATCAAGCATGAGCTCTTGCCGACTTGACCACGCCTCCATCACAATTAAGGGTAAGTGTCAACTGGTTATGTGCCATTCAGCCTGCTTTTCTATTTGGATTTGCCTTTGTCCATCCAAGAACAAACTACAAGGCTGCAGTTGTTTGATTTTGGAGTTGTCTCTCCTAGAAAAGTGGCTGTCCCCAGCAAACGAGCCTCATCTGCCCGAGGGTTCTAACTCGAGACTTTTCAGTTTAGCAACCATGAGCTTTACCGACTCGACCACACCAACCCCTATGAAGAGTTTAATTAGTGTATAGATGCTGGTAGAATGGTATTTCAAATGTGTCAGCATTATGTAGAGACATAACAGAAATTTGAAATAAAAGAAAGGTCCCAATCTACATATTCTAGTTAAATTGCTATTGTATAATTTCTGTCTGTATGCACTTTGCATTTTAAGAAATAATAAACTTACAAGTCCAATATGTGATTGAAACATTTGTGTTTAGTTCAGGATAGTAACTTTCTGCAGGAAGTGTAGAAATGATCCACAAGGTGTATTGTAGTCCAGGACTTAGACCAGTGATATTTCCACCAGAAGAATTTGCTGTAAGTGATGTTATAGAGCCAGCTTGTATTTTATAATTGACATTAGCAGGGATTCCAGTGTTGACAGACCAGGTTATGTACATGGAGCTTGTTGTTCTACGTTGTACAGATGGGTTTTTTACTTGTAGCTGAGTAGCTGTGATAAATAGAATATAATTTTAACACTTTTAATGCAACTTTTCATTACTGTATGAATTAGACATTTTAACAAGCACATTTTGGTTCTACCACTTTTATTTATATTATTTAATTTTTAATACAATTTTTATTGGTTGGGGAAATTACAAAATTTTACCAAGAGTACCAGATATACCAAAACCTAAACTAGCTATAGGTAAGTGTCAAAATTCTAGGGCCCCCAAAATAATAATAATAAAAAAAATAAACTGGGAGTAATCTCCCCTAAACATTCTTGATTTTTCTTATTTAAAACAACAGGGGATGGCAACTCGGGATATAGACATGATTTTTAATCCCATTTTAATTACTTAAACTTTTAAAAATAGAATAGAATCTCATAGAAAAAAGAATTACACACCAAGTGAACGCAAAACAAAATGTGTATAATAGTGCTGAATATTATTAGTACTTTATAAATTTACATGCGTTTTTGATTAATTGAAAATAGCGAAAATTAATACTTCCGGTCAACGGAAATTACTCAAAATTTGAAAGAAGGCAGAGAATTTTATCTTTTATTTACATGTAGAATTTTATTTATCTATCTGAAATGGTACTCAAGTTATAAGCTTTTAAAAAATTGAAAGTAGAAAAAGTTCCACTTCCGGTTATCGGAAATCGCTCAAAAGTTGATACAGATCTACAATTTTGATATAATACTTATATATGAAATTTCATCAACCTAGCTTTAACGGTACTCAAGTTATTGTTTTTACGCACATGCACAAACATACGGACAAGATTGCAAAACTATGTTATTCCGACTTAAGGAGGTGTAAAACTTCAAAAATGTTCTAAACATTCAAATTTAAAAAAAAGAGGGTTTATAATGTTAATTTAAAAAAAATTAACAGTAAAATCATTAGTTATTTATGTCATTTGAGATACTTAATAAAAAACATCCTACCTGAAGTGCAACTGTTATTTGATGATGTATGATAGTTGTTATTTGCACACAAGCAATGTTTATTGCTATTTTGATAACTTTTGCACTCAAATTGTGTAAAACATTCTTCAGTCCTATTACATTCGTCACCATGGTTTTTTTCTAAAATAAAATACAATGTTTTATTGAAAATAATTTTTTTAATGTTTATTTGTCAAAACACGTAAACCATTTGAAACCAATTGATTTTAGCAATTAATTTTCTTCAAATCGTATTGCATGAAATAAATTGAAGTTTATACACTTTCTTATTGTAAGTATTTTAAACATGTTTGTTTAATGCAACGTTTAGCAAGTAATTTGATAATTTCACTAGTGTTTACCAAGAAAATGTGTCAATCTACGTCCTTTTGTGTAATAATAACAGTTTCAATTTATATAATTTAAGTAATCTGCAATTGTAAAATCATATACAATTATTTATATATTGTGGTTTTGACCAGTTTTGAACTGTGCTTAGCCATTTTATCTTATTTTTAACTTATTTTAGTATTCAATTGTTTTACCAATTATATTTCATTTTTTTGTTTGAGTATATGTAAATTTGGAATAAAACATAGCTTTCTGTCCAAGATCATCTTCTGTTTAAAAAGTACTATCCAAGTCCATGTATAGTTAACATACCCTATAATTAAGTTGTTTTATACTCAATAAGACAGAATAAAAATTAACTGATATATAACATAATGCGTTGTTGACCTATTGCCCACAGTTAGATATTGTTTTCAATAAGCAAGCCAAAGCACAACCCAAAGACAAATTAAAGTCATGTTCATAGACAGCAATGACAGCAATAAACTTCATCTAACTTGGATCAGTAATCATGGATATGTAAAACATCTAAACAAAACCTTTCTAATAAAAAAAACACTTTTAAACAGGGTTAGATTAGGAGAAGCAATGAAAGTGGAACAATTAATGCAATGACTTTTGAAAAATTACAATATGGTCAGTGTAGTTAATAAAAAAAAACCCCATTGCTAAATTCTCTCTTCTTGTTTGTTAGGATATGCAATTGCAGGTTTTTTTTATAAACAACTGTTTATTATTTTTATCCAGTACAGTCATTAATGTAAAAGCATTAATGGTGAAAGCTAACTTCTTCATGTAGTAAAATTCCCCATTGAACCTGATTGTGTTTGGGGCAAGTGAAGTTGAGTTCATCTCTTTCTGTGACCTTGGCATATGGAGGGATAGTATGGTCAGCACTATGCCCAGCTGCCTTTATTTTCCCTAGAGTGAGTCTGTCTTCATGTAATTGTAGTTAATTTGTATTCAAATACACATTGTTCCTACATAACAACAGTTTATCTTGAAATTCAGTCAGTTTTTGTATGAGCTTCAATTTTATTGCAAGCAGTAAGAAAGCTATTCAGAGCATTAACTTTACCTGTGCATATTTAAAACAAGTTAATAAAAAGTCTAGTGACAATTTAAGCGCAATTTCCTCATGTTATCCATAACAATTTTTAATTTTTTGTGACCGAACGAAAGGATATTTTTTTGCGCTAAAAAAAAAAAAGACAACTATATTAACCTACATCAACGGAAATAGTTTTATTTTAACGAGTAGGCCTACGCGATGCTCAGTTTAAAAGAGTAGTAAATATCCTATAAATATAAACTTATTTGTTCTTAATTAATTTTTTGTGACCGAACAAAAGGATATTTTTTGAAAACTTGCTTCTACAATATTGTTCTAAATTATGGCAGGAATCGATTGGTAAATGTTTCAAGTCGCTAAGTGGTCTGGTTGCCGAGATATGGGCCAAAAACTGCATTTTTTCTAAGTTTTTTGGCTTTTCCGGGAAATCCAGGAAGGAATTCCAGGAATTTTTTTGGCCCACAATCATCCTCGGAACTTGCTTAACATATTTGCTTTGGAACTAGTCCTCGATATTGCTTAGTTGAGGAGGAGATACGACTTAAAGCTGCGGACATACATCCATCCATTGCGGACACACATCCATCCATCCATCCAGAAATGACGAGTTAATAATCGCAATTCCTGTAAGGAAATTGCGCTAAAAATATCTAAGTTAGTCAGTGAGCTTGTTTAGTTTTGTGTACTTTGTCATTATATTAAGCTTTTGGGGGTGTTAAAAATTTCAAGCGAATTCTTTTAAAAAACTCACTTGTATAGCAAGTATCATTATTCAGATACTGGTAACTATTACAGCCACAAAGAGCATTAACACAGGTCATGTTGGATTTACATTGGTCATTTGAAGAACATGAACCATTGGAGGATAATTCTTTAACAAAAATTGTCATACAAAAATTACAATAACAAGCTTTATAATGCATGCTATAAAAAGTTTTCTTTAGCTATATTACTTAAAACCTTATGTTCTCAATGTAGAATAAAAAGATTTCTAAAATAAAAATAAAATTTATTGTTCCATTTTATTATAATTAATGTTTTTTAGTCCATGAAAATGTTTTATTAGATTAAGGGTTTTATGTATGCTTTAATTTCTCTTTGTTAGTATTTCAGAAGTGTAAAAATGTTTAATGCATTTTGGTGTTAAAAGGTTCAAGCGAATTCTTTTAAAAAACTCACTTGTATAGCAAGTATCATTATTCAGATACTGGTAACTATCACAGCCACAAAGAGCATTAACACAGGTCATGTTGGATTTACATTGGTCATTTGAAGAACATGAACCATTGGAGGATAATTCTTTAACAAAAATTGTCATACAAAAATTACAATAACAAGCTTTATAATGCATGCTATAAAAAGTTTTCTTTAGCTATATTACTTAAAACCTTATGTTCTCAATGTAGAATAAAAAGATTTCTAAAATAAAAATAAAATTTATTGTTCCATTTTATTAGAATTAATGTTTTTTAGTCCATGAAAATGTTTTATTATTTTATGGGTTTTATGTATGCTTTAATTTCTCTTTGTTAGTATTTCAGAAGTGTAAAAATGTTTAATGCAGTTGGGGTGTTAAAAAGTTCAAGCGAATTCTTTTAAAAAACTCACTTGTATAGCAAGTATCATTATTCAGATACTGGTAACTATTACAGCCACAAAGAGCATTAACACAGGTCATGTTGGATTTACATTGGTCATTTGAAGAACATGAACCATTGGAGGATAATTCTTTAACAAAAATTGTCATACAAAAATTACAATAACAAGCTTTATAATGCATTCTATAAAAAGTTTTCTTTAGCTATATTACTTAAAACCTTATGTTCTCAATGTAGAATAAAAAGATTTCTAAAATAAAAATAAAATTTATTGTTCCATTTTATTATAATTAATGTTTTTTAGTCCATGAAAATGTTTTATTAGATTAAGGGTTTTATGTATGCTTTAATTTCTCTTTGTTAGTATTTCAGAAGTGTAAAAATGTTTAATGCATTTTGGTGTTAAAAGGTTCAAGCGAATTCTTTTAAAAAACTCACTTGTATAGCAAGTATCATTATTCAGATACTGGTAACTATCACAGCCACAAAGAGCATTAACACAGGTCATGTTGGATTTACATTGGTCATTTGAAGAACATGAACCATTGGAGGATAATTCTTTAACAAAAATTGTCATAAAAAATTATAATTACAAGCTTTATAATGCATACTATAATAATGTTTCTTTAGCTATATTACTTAAAACCTTATTTTCTCAATGTAGAATAAAAGGATTTCTAAAATAAAATAAAAATTATTGTTGGATTTAATTAGAATTAATGTTTTTTAGTCCATGAAAATGTTTTATTATTTTAAGGGTTTTATGTATGCTTTAATTTCTCTTTGTTAGTATTTAAGGGGATATGCGTGTTTTTTCCCTATTTTTTACAATTTAAGATCTAAAGCCTTTTGAATACTTTTATCATGTTTGGCATATGAAAGCAAGTATTTAACAACAAAAAAAGGGTTGAAAACAATTTCGGTTGTCATGGAAGCCCAAAAAAACCTCCGCCATTTTGAATTTTTCGGTACTTTTAAAAATGCTAAGGCTTTTCTTTAGCTATATTACTTAAAACCTTATGTTCTCAATGTAGAATAAAAAGATTTCTAAAATAAAAATAAAATTTATTGTTCCATTTTATTAGAATTAATGTTTTTTAGTCCATGAAAATGTTTTATTATTTTAAGGGTTTTATGTATGCTTTAATTTCTCTTTGTTATTATTTCAGAAGTATTTAACCACCAATCCAATTTAAACTGCTTATATTTCAGTATATATTAAAACTTTTGTCACGAAAACTTTTTGAAATAGCTACTAGTAAGAATTTTACCAAGTCTAAAAAATCGTACCATTTTTAGTGTTCAAAACTTTCAAAATTTGCATAATAATTACCAAATACTTTTTTCTATGAAAGCCATCACAATTCTCTTGTGACAAAAGTTTTATTTCTGCATGAACAACAATAACTGAAAATATGGTGGCGATTGTTTAATAAATAAAATAAGAGTAGGCTTTATAGTGTTAAAAACCTTCCAACTGAGAAAAACAGCCAAAAGTAACGAAAAGTAGGTCATAAAAATAACACATCTGTGTAAACTGCAAGGCCAATTGTAAGCTTAGGGTGTTTCCGAGATGATGGAAATTAAGTTTATCAGATAAAAGAGAAATCCAGCTTTCCAATGATGCCACATACAATATGATGACAGATATAAAACTTTTCATACAGAGCGTGTTAGATTGGGAAAAATTGATTAATTTTTAATTAATAGGGTCATAAAAATGGTAATTTAAACACCTAAAAATTTTTTTTCTCTCTTTAATGTTATTATTTTCTTTATACAAAAATGGACAAAGTATCTAAAAGTGCAAGAAACCCATCATGGCGAGAAACAAGAAATTTTGTGATTTTTTTCCGCGCATATCCCCTTAATAAGAAGTGTACAAATGTTTAATGCATTTTGGTGTTAAAAGGTTCAAGCGAATTCTTTTAAAAAACTCACTTGTATAGCAAGTATCATTATTCAGATACTGGTAACTATCACAGCCACAAAGAGCATTAACACAGGTCATGTTGGATTTACATTGGTCATTTGAAGAACATGAACCATTGGAGGATAATTCTTTAACAAAAATTGTCATACAAAAATTACAATAACAAGCTTTATAATGCATTCTATAAAAAGTTTTCTTTAGCTATATTACTTAAAACCTTATGTTCTCAATGTAGAATAAAAAGATTTCTAAAATAAAAATAAAATTTATTGTTCCATTTTATTATAATTAATGTTTTTTAGTCCATGAAAATGTTTTATTAGATTAAGGGTTTTATGTATGCTTTAATTTCTCTTTGTTAGTATTTCAGAAGTGTAAAAATGTTTAATGCATTTTGGTGTTAAAAGGTTCAAGCGAATTCTTTTAAAAAACTCACTTGTATAGCAAGTATCATTATTCAGATACTGGTAACTATCACAGCCACAAAGAGCATTAACACAGGTCATGTTGGATTTACATTGGTCATTTGAAGAACATGAACCATTGGAGGATAATTCTTTAACAAAAATTGTCATACAAAAATTACAATTACAAGCTTTATAATGAATGCTATAAAAAGTTTTCTTTAGCTATATTACTTAAAACCTTATGTTCTCAATGTAGAATAAAAAGATTTCTAAAATAAAAATAAAATTTATTGTTCCATTTTATTAGAATTAATGTTTTTTAGTCCATGAAAATGTTTTATTATTTTATGGGTTTTATGTATGCTTTAATTTCTCTTTGTTAGTATTTCAGAAGTGTAAAAATGTTTAATGCATTTTGGTGTTAAAAGGTTCAAGCGAATTCTTTTAAAAAACTCACTTGTATAGCAAGTATCATTATTCAGATACTGGTAACTATCACAGCCACAAAGAGCATTAACACAGGTCATGTTGGATTTACATTGGTCATTTGAAGAACATGAACCATTGGAGGATAATTCTTTAACAAAAATTGTCATACAAAAATTACAATTACAAGCTTTATAATGCATGCTATAAAAAGTTTTCTTTAGCTATATTACTTAAAACCTTATGTTCTCAATGTAGAATAAAAAGATTTCTAAAATAAAAATAAAATTTATTGTTCCATTTTATTAGAATTAATGTTTTTTAGTCCATGAAAATGTTTTATTATTTTATGGGTTTTATGTATGCTTTAATTTCTCTTTGTTAGTATTTCAGAAGTGTAAAAATGTTTAATGCATTTTGGTGTTAAAAGGTTCAAGCGAATTCTTTTAAAAAACTCACTTGTATAGCAAGTATCATTATTCAGATACTGGTAACTATTACAGCCACAAAGAGCATTAACACAGGTCATGTTGGATTTACATTGGTCATTTGAAGAACATGAACCATTGGAGGATAATTCTTTAACAAAAATTGTCATAAAAAATTATAATTACAAGCTTTATAATGCATGCTATAAAAAGTTTTCTTTAGCTATATTACTTAAAACCTTATGTTCTCAATGTAGAATAAAAAGATTTCTAAAATAAAAAAAAAGTTATTGTTCGATTTAATTAGAATTAATGTTTTTTTGTCCATGTAAAAATGTTTAATGCATTTATGTGTTAAAAGGTTCAAGCGCACTCTGTTAAAAAACTCACTTGTATAGCAAGTATCATTATTCAGATACTGGTTACTATTACAGCCACAAAGAGCATTAACACAGGTCATGTTGGATTTACATTGGTCATTTGAAGAACATGAACGATTGGAGGATAATTCTTTAACAAAAAGCAACACAGAAATATTTATAATATAAAGCTTTACAATGCACAAAACAAAATTCCCTATTGCTGTAATTACAAAAGCTTTGGTTCTTTACCAATTATGAGTAAATATCTTAAATGACACAAGCTTTTTCTATTAAAAAAATTAATTAAAATTAATCTGCTTTGTTTTTATTTTTAAGTGGCTGTAAAAATTCAAGCATGGTCAGTGTAGTAAGCAAAATAATGACTCATTGCTTAATCTCCTTGTCTTGTCTGTTATAAGGTATGGTTATGTAACTATATTTTTAACAGCAATTTGATATTTTATCCAGAATAGTCATTCTAGTAAAAGCATTACTGCCTTAAACAAACTCCATGTAATTGTTGTAAACATTTAGTCCAATTTCTTAAAATGCTTGAATTATCATCTTTTTAAAATATGTTGATCATCAAGTGTTTTCAGAAATAAAGCTCTCGGTCAACATCAACTTATTGATAATTTTTTTCCCTTTTTAAGATATTACAAACAATTTTTAATAAATATATAATTAAATAAAAGATTGTTATAGAAATTTGAAACCAATTATTTTGGCAGAAGTGGCTGAAAAAACGTATGCAAAATTACGCATAGACAAAAATGACATATTAAAATAAAGTTATAGAAACTCAAGTTATAACATACTTTAGAAACATTTTGAAATATTTTACACAAAACTCTCTTCATTAGCTACCAGGAACTAGTAAGAAGTGACGAGGAATAAAAACAAAAATTGTAAAATTATAAAGATTCAAAATAAATTATGTTACAAAAGTTAAGGGTACTTTTGTCAAATAATTATTACTGAACAAAAGTAATACAATTAAAAATGATTTTTGAAATGCTATTATAGATGGTATTTATGTAATTAGATTTAGTTTTTGATGATTTAAATTTCAAATAGAAACTTACACAAAATAAACCGGGAGTGATCTCCCCTAAACTTTCTCGAATATTCTTATATGAAACAAAAGTGGATGGCAACTCGGGATATAGACATGATTTTTAATCCATTTTAAATACTTAAACTTTTAAAAATAGAATTAAATCTCTTAGAAAAAAGAATTGCACACCAAGTGAACGCCAAATAAAATGTGCATAATAATGCGGAATATTATTAGTACATTATAAATTTACATGTGTTTTTTGAGAAACCGGTGAACGGAAATTACTCAAAATTTGACAGAAGGTAGAGAAACAGATCTTTTACTTACATGTGAAATTTCATTTATCTATCTGAAATTGTACTCTAGTTATAGGCTTTTGAAAAATTGAAAGAAGAAAAAATTGAAAGTAGAAAAAAGTTCCACTTCTGGTTATCAGAAATCGCTGAAAAGTTGATACGGATCTACAAATTTCATATAATACTTGTATATGAAATTTCATCAACATAGCTGTAACGGTACTCAAGTTATCGTGTTTACAGACAACATACAGACAAGTTTGCAAAACTATGTTTTTCCGACTCAGCGAGCTGTAAAAAGTTAATTAAGATTTGCAAAAATCTCGTTGGTTTTTTTTGCACGATTACAAGATTTTCTCTATACTTCCTATATACGAGAAAGTAAAAAAGTTCTCCAATACTTCAATATTTTGTGTAATAGATATAAATATAATTAAGTGACACAATCTATTATTTACTTAGTGCATTATATACACTCTGGTCAAAAGAATGTAAGACTTATTAAAAAAGTCATCAATTATGATCAATATCTAGGTTTTTATCTTATTGCTCATAAGCCAAAACTCTTAATCAGGAATGCTGCAAAAAACTTAAATGGATCTACAAACAATGTGCAGAAAATAATTGTCCAAATGCTATTAGCCAGAAGGCATTTTCCCAAATGGAAAAATTGCCTGTTTGGGATGACTGCATGAAATTCCATTGATCGAACATTTACCTAAAAATAGTGTTATTATATATTTAATTAAAAGTAAAACATTCAATTGTAAATGTATTTTTTTTAAATAAACAAAATGAGTTTGCATCTTCATAAAAAAATCCTTAATATTTTTAAGATTTAGCATTGATTTGATAAAAGTTTAGAAATTGATGTTTGTCAAAAAAAAGGAAAAATTTCTTCAATAAGTTTTAGAACAGACACATGTAATATTGATGTGAAAATAATAGCATATTTCAATTCTTATTAAAAGATTGTGTCAATACATATAAATATAGCCACTTATTTAAATTAGGTTTTACAGCTTTATTTTTTATGTTTTGAGGTGGGTATACCACACTACCTACACTGTGTGGGCCACTTCGTTTAACATTAAACAAAGGCACTTTCATTTGATTTTTAGTTGAAAAGAATTGCTAACTAGTATATATTTAGAATAGATTGCTTAATCAACATTTTGAGGTAGTCATTTTGTAAATAATGGGGATGTTTAGGCAGCAATTTCCATTCAGAACATCTTGTTTAGACAATGAGTTTATGCAATTAATTATTGGTTTCATTGAATATTCATATAAATTGTGGGTTAAATTATAATTTTATAGTTAGAAAAACATGGAATCTGATATATTTTGTACTTTAAACAAAAAATCAACTATCAATAGAAAACTCCCTAAATAAAACAGGTTTAATTTTCAATACCATGTACTCATTGAATTTTTTAATATTTTTTAGGCAACCGTCCATTATAGAAATATTTGAGCAAACAGTCTTCTAGGAACAATCCAATTGGGACAATATCCATTTTAGCAATTTGTCCTACTTGGATAATTGTCCCATTCAGCAAACATTCATTTTGAGAAATGTCACATTTGGGTTAATGTCCTAATACGTAAAAAAATTCGTCAAAGAAAATAGCCTCAAAGCAAAAATCTGGCACCAAATTTAAATGTATATTAATTTTGTCCAGTTTCCTCAGACTACAGCAAGATTAAAGTAACTTAAATCCTTGTACAATAAATGGAATTCTATACTTTATCGTGCTAGAATGATGTTAGGTGACAATTTTTCTACAGTGGTGTGGGCCAATACTCAACTTCCCCAACTAGCAGAATGATTACTAGACTAAAATTAGGACTAATTTTCCAGATCATATTAGACTGTACACACTCCATACAATTAGTCATGGATCAATAACTTGGTTAAGGGTTACTAAAACTCAAACAGAAACTAAACTTTTTTATCTAACAAAACAAATGCTTACTGTAATCATGATACTTACTAGGATGGCATAAGTTGTTTAACCTGTATTCAGTGTCCTTGCACAAACAGAAGCTATTAAGACATTGTGTGCCTGTTTCACAGATTGTTGTACTGCTGCAGCTCTCATTATATCGAGCCACTGTCAGATGAAGAGTGTTGTATTAGAAAAGTTGTGAGTGTTAGAGCTGCATATATTTTAAAGCTGGTAATTTAGCACACAAAAAATAATTACATGCTTAAAAAAATCATTAGTATGGCAATACATTCAATTATTTTTAGATCACCACTATATATATCCACAATGAAATGGAATAATAAACATTTTTTTCCTATACAAATGAGCAATGCAACATTTATTATATTTTAAATGGACCACGCACTTTAAAAGCTGTTTTTATTGTTCTTTCTAGCAAACACCTGTAGTCAAACATAGTAATTTAATTGACCATAGATGGAAAAGAAATGCTCTGTTTAACAATACATCTGTAAAAGGTAAGTTAATTAAACATTCAACAATTTTAAAGAATCATCGGATGGTAAATGTGTAAAAAATTATTTGTATTATTTAATCAAAAATATTAAAACACACACCTATAGAAGTCAGTACACAAATGATAGTTCAGAAAGAAATATCAAATTAGAAAATAAGTGGTGTGGAAAGGACACACAATTAAAATACAACACATCAGCATCACTAGACATTGCATGAAACAAGGAAACATAACAAAACAAATACCAACATTGGCCTGATAGAGGTCAGTTAGGAGGTGAGGGATGTTGGAATAACATGGCCTGAAGTGATGTAAATTAAAGTTTTTGGCAAAATGTGATCATATGCTTGGTTGAGAGAGGAAAGGAATAAGACAAATATCTTAACAGTTTCTTACTTGTCTTGGCATTGTCATATTGTTCAAATGTAGTCATTGTTGGATAATATGTTTCTGATAGTGAGGATACTATTTTTATTTTGTAGCTCTGTCCAGACAAAAGATTTTGTATGGTTCCTCCTGTTGCATTGGCAAGTACTGATTGGTTACTGGTGTTCATGTAGTAGGAAACATTTTTATTGTAAGGGTTATTGGCGGTCCAGCTTAGTGTGATGAAATTTGTTCCTTGGACAGCTACCTTCACTGCTGACACTTTTAGAGTATCAACTGTAAAGAAACGTTTGGATTTTATATAATCTAAAATAATTTTAGAAGCTAAGAATTTTTTAAAAAGTACATTTTCAATCTAACAATACTACCATCTTTTGGTCATGAGAAAAGAATTTCTTTAAAAAGACCTTGATATAACCAACAGTAGTTTCTTCTATATAATTTAAAAAAAAATATAATGAAATGAGAATTTCTTTTAAAAAGACCTTGATATAACCAACACTAGTTTGTTCTATATAATTTTTAAAACATTATTAGGAAAAACATTAATAGAATATTCAATAAATTTATTTAAACCTTACCTGAAACACAGCTATTATTGCTAACAAAATAGTCACTTTGATTGCAAAGGCAATGGTTTAGACTCTCACTGGTGTAGTTAGTGCAAGTAAGGTTGGCTGCACAAATGTCAGTTGCGTTACAAGTAGCACCATGTTCTAGAATAAAGTTTTAAAACATATAAGCCTACTACAGCATTTATAAAATAAATAAACTTCAATACAGAATGGAACAATGGCATGTTTCTAAGTCTAAGTCCCCTGGTTCACTAAACTTTGGGTATTTAACTCGAGTTGGTAAATGTAAAGGCAGCTGGACCACAGTATCTCCTAATATGCCAAGATGACAGAAAACTGTGGATTCACTCTCCAATATTTCCTAGATCTACCAACTAAAAGTATTAGTGATAATTTTCTAAATTCAAACCCAAGAAAGTTTAATTTTTCTTAGGCTAACCACAAACTGACTAAACTTTTAAAATAATAAGCATAAAAAATGGTAAAATCTTGCTTGAAACTTTAAGAAGCATTTAGGCACAATTTTAATTAGTGTGATAGAATACTGTTAAGCTTAGACAAAAACAAACATAATTTCAATAAAGACCAAACCTAATGATACATTAACATAGAACATACCTAAACAGGATCCCGAATCACATGATTGACAGAAAGCCTGGTAATATAAAAAGTCAAAGTATAAATTAAGCAAGGCTAGATTAGTAATTATATTAATTAAAAATGACAAGTTATAAATCACTAAAAAACGTTTTAATAACAAGCTTTTATGTAATAATGCACTAAAAGGTAGAAACTAAATTATACACTACTAGTTTAAGAACTATAAAGATAAATGGCCACTACTTATTAGTGCATTATTATTACATAAAAGCTAGTTATTAAAATGTTTTCTATAAATTTTTTTTTTCATTCCTTCACATTTTAAAAATTTACAAAAGAGTTGCATAACTAAAAACCATTGCACACCTAAGGAACGTGATGACGCATATTTAATAGTGCAGAATATTTGGGAAAGACTGCCTACTAATTTGGTAAAAATTTTAATTAATTCATAAAAAATAATTAGGCAACCAACAAAATCAAATTTAATGTCATGCTGCATTGTCTTCATGTCTTGACCCATGTGCCAACATTGAAACAAATCTGTCAGTTAGAAGAGTCCGAAATTTAGCTCGGGTGTTTCAATCTAGACAGACAGACAGACTGACAACAGAGGAAGCAAGTTAAATAAAAGCTTGTAAAAATGGAAACTTACCAAAAGCTGCAAGAAAATTATGCAAATGAATAATGTTGAGGTGGTAAAAACCCGATCTTTTTTGTTTGAAGCCATAATATTATGGCAAATATCAAACTACCACTTTCTAGGCAATTTCATCAGTTTCATAAATGGCAAGGTGAAACTTGTGTTGCATTCAAAACTGCAATATTCTGGAATGTGTATATGCAAAAATAAATTAAAATATTAAATTATTTAGCTTTACAGTGTGGCAGTTTTTAAATGTATATTATTTATAAATTATTCTATAGAAAAAATTAGTAACAATAATTTAATGTATTATTTTTATATATTACTATATAGCTTTTATATATATTAAGTACTACTTTCTCTGTAATATATACATTTCTGCTAGTTACTGGAAGACCTGGTTGGTGTCTACCACAAATAACCCCTCCCCACCTAGATTTCTCTCCTCTACGACATATACCCCTACCAGCCCCAATTGGATCCAGCTTTTCCACCTATAACTCTTCCTCCCCAATCTTTTTTTATTTTGGTGAATTTTTAGACCTAGAACTTCTTTACATGATATGTTCCATGCCATTTTTATTGATTCTCTCTGTGGATCTAAATAGTCCTTTTTCTTCCACTCCCCCCCCCCCACCTCCTAATATCTTAAATCTATAAGTTAGCTCAATGTTAAACTTAATTTTTGTTTTGTTTGTTTAAATTTAAAATTACAATTTTTTAATTTGTCATTTCTCTGTTTTCAGTTTATTAAATGCTGATATGAAATCAAATAAGTGTTTACATATTAAAAACACAAATAAGATAAGGGGGAGGAGGTTTTCTGAAAGGGTGAGGACACTTTTACAATTGTTTATCTCAGTTAAAAGAAGAAAACACATGAAATATTTTTCCAGTAGGAATATTAATCAGGTGACATAAGATCTATGTTAAGCACTCTGTCCTGCAACCTTAATTGTTGCAGGACAGAGTGCTTAACATAGACATATGGAGAAGGACAAAGCAAGAGCCCAAGACAGTTAGTTCAAATAAGACAGAGGAAGGGGCGCTGAGTGGGGCAAATACTGTGAAAGGCTCATTCAAATGTGACTTCAAACCTGGCGATTCACACTACATCGTAAAAAATTCCATACGCACACCAATTGTTCCAATCCATTGTTGTTATTTTGACGTTAGCTTTAATGATATATAAATTTGTTATTTCTATTAGACCTAAGTAAGTTCCACCATTATTAACAATGAGAAAAATGGCCCGTTGAGGGAGGATACAACGGGCGCTAGGCTGATAGTACTGTCTCTTTTCTCTAAACTAAAACCACCCCACCCCCCCCCCCCCCACCCCCCAAAAAAACATGTCTACAGTCCCATTCAACGAAATATAATTATATACTTTTTCCAGTGTCCGCCCCCTCCCCGAAAATTCTATCCCCGCCCCCGAAAATTTCAAGTACCCCCACCCCTCTCCGGGGAGGAAAAAGTCTGAAAGAAACACTGGTGTCGCGCTTAGCCACTACCCGAAGAATTGCATTAAAGAAATTGCAAGAAAACCACTTTTTAGATTAGACACATCAATTAGGCGGTAATTTTATTATAGAGTATCGATGAAGAAATTTCTTTTGAGTTAGGGAGGGGGGGGGGGGGGTGGGGGGCTCAGACGTTCTTACGCGGGGGTGGGGCTTCGCCCCTACCCGAAGAATTGTATGAAAGAAACTCTTCACGCAAACCACTTAGATTAGACAAAATTTCCTTTTTATTCAATGTTTACTCGAGAATCAATGACGTCATATTACTGTGTGCACTCTCCGGCTAGAGATTATTTTCTACTCTGTGCTAAATGTGACGACGTCATACTTCGTTTTTCGAATTACTATGCATGTTTTTAATTTGCTTGTGTTTTCTCAAGAGCGTTCTTGTCAGATAGACAGACAGCGAAACTATTAGTATTAATATTTGTAAGACTAAAGAGATTAATGTTTGCATTCATTATAATATTACTGATGAAGGCACAAATAGCTAAGAAATATTTTTCTTTTTAGTCGTCAAATAAAAAATAAAATAAGTTTAAAAATAAAAATACCAATAGATAACTGTTTTTAACAGAATTATTTAAGGTAATGAATCTGTTTGGGTATTTAACTAAAGATATTTTGTTGATTAATACATAAATATATATATATATATATATATATATATATATATATATATATATATATATAAATATATATATTATATATATATATATAAATATATATATTATATATATATATATATATATATATATATATATATATATATATATATATATATATATATATATATATATATATATATATATATACTTTTTTTTTGGTAGTAGTATGCAAATGTTATGTTTGATGTGTGACAGTTACCACTAAGCAAATCTAATCCACCCCTTTTCTGCATGAATCCACCAAAACTTGACTTCACTATGACCCCCACCCCTCTTATCTCACATGGATGTCATAAACGGATGTTCCAAAGGGATGTGGCGAGAGTTTGGGTCTACGAAAGTTTGGAGTTTGGGCTGCAGTGCAGCCGACATACAGTTTCCAGAAACTGTATGGTCCAGTAGACAATAGTAAAAGCCCTATAGACTTTCTAAATAATAAGAGCCAATAATAATAATTATATAAATACCAGATAAATGGCCAGTTGAGGGATAAATACAATGGCTGCTAGGTTGATATTTTTGTCATTTTCACTAAAAGGAAACCAAAATCCCCACCTCAACTTCAAATTTAAATGGCAACGAAAAATGACACTGAAAACAGATTTTTATCCAGAATCTGCAGGAAATTTAACTTGAAATAAAACACATAATAAGCCTAACCTTAATCCTGATATTTTTTCTTCTAAAATTAGGCCATAAGATTAGGCGTTTAATTTTTTTTGCCTCTATTATCAATAATGTCATTATTATTGAGTATTGTTTTGGGCAAATCGATTCTTAATTCTATTTTTTATTTTGTGTATAGGAGTCATCCATAAATGACGTCACGCTTTTTTTGACGATTTTACCTCCCTCTCTCCCCTTCATCACACGTTGTCACAAAAAGCCAGACCCCCCCCTCCCCTCCATCACACGTCGTCACAAAGAGCCAGACCTCCCCCCCCCCCTAAATGACGTCACACCTCAGCCTGCAACCTCCCTCAAAATTGGTGTTGAATTTTTCTAAAAACATCGATATTTTTCAAACATATAAAATTTTGATCAATTCCTATTATAATTTATTAAAACTGTTTTCTAAAACACGAAATAACGGCTAAAACACGTTATCTAACATTGCTTTTTTATAATGCGAAAAAGTGACGTCACACTATCTGAACCCCCCTTCCCCATCATCACACACCATCACAAAATTATGGTCACCCCCTCCCCCCTACGAGTGTGACGTCATTTATGGAGGACACTATATTATCTATTGGATACTTTTCTAATATTTAGGAAGAACTCACGCTTTTCATTATAGTAATTTAAATAGTAGTGTACTATTATGTATTTAATGATTCAGACGATAGACAGAGAAGCAAGTTAAATAAAAGCTTGTAAAAAGTTTAACGTTATTTATGGATAACCCCTTGGCCTACAACAGTGGCGTAGCGAGGTCGGGTGTCACCCGGTGCGGCACTTAATGGTGTCACCCCCCCAGAGGCGTAGCGACCCTTCCCGGGGACAAACTTTCAAAATTTCGATTTGCACCCCCCCCCTCAAACTTTCGATTTGCACCCCCCCCCCTCAAGTTTTCAATTTGCACCCCCCCTCGAACTTTCGATTTGCACCCCCACCTCAAGTTTTCGATTTGCACCCCCCCCTCGAACTTTCGATTTGCACCCCCACCTCAAGTTTTTCTCTATATATTTTGCTATTTTTTGCCTTGGTGTCATCCCCCTAAATGGTGTCACCCGGTGCGGTCCGCACCCCCCGCCCCCCCCTCGCTACGCCCCTGGCCTACAATACTAAATAAATACACTGTCAGTATGAGTACACATACCACAACAACTAACCTACCGCATGCAGAATCTAGATCTATTTCTATAGGCCTAGGCCTTATTATTATTAAACTGTAGTTTTACTATACTATACAACTATACATAATCTAATAATACTGTATATATAGCAGTGCATAGAAACTCACTATTCACTATAGGCCTATGTATTTGTTTAGGCCTTATAGCCTAAATAATAATTGGCCTAGAATCTATACTACATAGTCATATAGTGTAGTCATAGTCTATAGTTTAGGCCAGGGCCTAGTAGTAGTAGGCTAGTATTAATATAGGCCTATAGTATAAAGTAGTTTAAAAGTAGGCCTAGGTATAGATCTAGGCAATTTAATTAAACAGGCCTAAGGAACTTATCAAGGATTAATTTACAAATAAATTAATTAAATAGTAAATAGGCCTACTGAAATTTGTATTAGGGCCATTTTGAGAGTGGTTAGTTAGCAGATCTAGATCTAGTTATTAGTTTTTCTTACTATATGTGAAATCTACTCAATTCTCAATTTAAACTTGACAACTGAATAAAAAACGTCCATACTTTATCCCCTAGGCACTAATTTGGGGGTTGTAGCGAGTTTAGGCTAAATTATTGAATTTTAAAATGTTTTGTCACTCACAGCTATGATATGACGGATCATCCATGACAACCTGGTTAAAAGTTGAAAGGTTTAACTTTTTAAGTGACCGTAAAATAGATCTAATTTTTTTTCACAAGAGAGTTCCTAAAAGTAGAATTGGCCCGTCTATCGTCGGGATATATTTATAGAGGAAAAAAATTAAGAGAATGTCATCAGAACAGAATTTTAAAAAAGACAAGACAGAAGTGATGTTTGAATTCTTTTATTTCTTTAATTTTATAACATGTTTTATTGTACAAAAGAGCAAAATAAAAAACCATGCCAGGTAAACGTATCCATTCAAATAGCGGTCACGTGGTCAAAAAAATAAAAAAAATTTGGTTGTCATTTTTTGGCCACTCATATTAAAAAAAGGGTTGAAGATATTTGATTTATTTTTTCATAGAATGATAAAACTAATAATGCTTTACTAGGGAAATCAATTTTGTGATAGGGAGATCTATATTTAAAAAGTTATATTATTTTGAATGACACCGACTTTAAATTTAGCCTACATTCCCCAGAGCAATTTCTGAAAATGCTTTTCTGGCATATTTAGCCTTGCCACCTATAGCATGTTTTTATAACGTGAAAACCCGCCATTTTACTCGTGATAAACATTTTTAAAAGTAATTCTAAGAAGGTCTCTGGAACTAAGTCGAAAAACTCGCCGGAAGTCATGGTCCGATCCTTACGCCATGTTCTGGTTAGCAACCAAGGACGCTTTTAAGTTAGTGAGCCTCCCTACTAGTTATTACTTAGGCCTGATAGATCTACTTAAAACTAAAAGTTAATACTTATTTATAGCCTAGGACATAGATTCTAGATCTAGGGCCCAAAAGTGTAAAACTACTGTACTCTGTACTACTAGAATCTACTGAAAGTGTAGTAAACTGTAAACTAAACTGTGAAACTTACGATAAGGCTTAAGTATTATTAACACTTTAAGTTTAATAAACAGTCGCACACACACCAAGTTGCTTGGTATTTGCATCTGAGTGTATTATATTTAGATCTATTAAAACCAATTAAACCAGGTAATTATAAACAAAATACCAATACCCACAATGTATAATCTAGTCGTGACCAATCCAGTTATGAAAAAGTCCTTGTCTCAAGACATGATTTTACGCTTCCTTGTTGGAGACTGTATTTTGTATAACGGGTTATATCCCTTCCTTGTTGATGTTTGAGCTAAAAATAAATTATCGATGTTCATGGCCGACCACCGGTTACGCCCAAGTTTATTGCCGTTAAAAGCAAAATTAAACTAATTCTGGACTCTAGGCATTCGGTATTATTTTAAAGCTTTGATGTAACTTTATAGAGCTAGATTTCTAGATCTATTTCAAAATGTGCAAATCAGTTCTTAAAAATAGTTCTAGCTCTAGATCTAGCTCTCAAAGTTATAGATCTAAAAGTAGCCAATAGAAAAACAATCTCACTGTGTCTTAATCAGTAGATATACCATAATTAAAATTATGTTATACAAATTAAGGACGTTATAGGGCCATACATAACTATAGGCGTAACACTTTTGTCTGGACCCCCCTTCACCCCCCCCCCCCCCACCTCCCTTAAAATGCCTTAAATCCTCACACCGTCACAAGACCCTACAAAAAATGACGTCAACACTTCAGTTTATCTCTCTTCCCCATATTGCAATGTTTTATTTTATGAAACAGATTACTTTCAAATATTAAGCGAGCTTCTTCGATATCGATCAGCTGTTATTACAATATACAAGAAAAAGTTTTAAACTGCGAAATACCAATATTCTAGTCAGTCAGTTCAAAAAAGTAATAGACTTATTTATAAATAAATATTTATCTTTCACTATGTTTATGCTTTTTCTATTGTTTATTGCCAGAGTTTCTTCCAGGCATCTCTTCGGGGGGGGGGGGGGGGGGGGGGGGGAAGAGAAAGTCTACCGCCCCCTCCCCCGAACTAAATGGAATTTATTTATAAAATAATATATACTTTTAACAGTGTCCGCCACCCCCCACCCCGGAAATTTTTAGTCCGCCCCCCCCCCCCCCGAAAACTTCAAGTGCCCCCCCCCCCCCGAGAGAAAAAGTCTGAAAGAAACACTGTTTATTGCAAGTTTAAGAAACCAGAATAACGCAATATCAAAAGTTCTAACCTTACTGTTAAAGAGCTCGATTTATTTATGAATTGTCATGGTTCATGAAGACGTTTTTCATTCAGGCATTGTGGAGTGGTATAGTGGAGGCAGTGTGATTGGTGGGTTGGATAAGTTGGTTACATTTATACCAAAGGTGGCCAAATGATTTATTTGTCTGGAGTCAAAATGTCGGGAGTCCATTTGTCGTGAGCCAATTGGTCAGGAGCTTTTTTTTTGTCGGGAACCAATATATAGGGATTCTCATTTGACGGGAGCCAATATATCAGGGCCAGTTTCTTCCAGGCATCTCTTAGGGGGGCCCTCCCGAAAAAAGTCTACCCCCTCCCCCCGAACGAAATGGAATATGGACTTTATAAAGAAAATATACACTTTTAACAGTGTCCGCCCTCCCCCCCCCCCCCCCCCGAAAATTTCAGGTGCCCCCCCCCCGCCCGCCCCCCCCCCCCCCCCGCGGAGAAAAAAGTCTGGAAGAAACACTGATCGAGGCTCTTTTGTCGCGGTCATTTTGACAGGGGCAGATTGACGGGGAACGAGTAGTTTGGGTCGCAGTGTTGTTGCTGTTTTGTTAGGGCTGTTTTGCCACTTACCGTTTTGACGGTGCACCATTAGGCCTAAACAAATTGAGCTAAGGTGGTTCAGATCAATGTTATAATAGCTTATAGGCCTACTCAGAGGCGTAGCGAGGGGGGGGGGCGGGGGTGCGGACCGCACCGGGTGACACCATTTAGGGGGGTGACACCAAGGCAAAAAAAAAATAATAGCAAAATATATAGAGAACAACTTAAAGGGGAGGGGGGGTGCAAATCGACAGTTTAAGAGGGGGGGGGGGGTGCAAATCGAAAATTTGAAAGTTTGTCCCCGGGAAGGGTCGCTACGCCTCTTGGGGGTGACACCATTAAGTGCCGCACCTGGTGACATCCGACCTCGCTACGCCACTGGGCCTAATACCATAACAATGTATTCTGCTCCATTTCTGCCACACATTATTTCTTTAATTACATCACAAGCGTAACTGTCGTTTCTAAAGTAGATATGGCAATGGATTTTCTCTAGTTATGCAACTCCCTCCCACTCTTACTTTAGTCAAAACTTAAAAGATCAGTCAGTGATCACGAACAGTTTTACACCTACATACCTAAAGTTCTGATAAGTAAAGATCAAGAGTACAGTCCTGCCACTCTGCCAGTTATTATCTATCTATCTATATACTACTAAAAGTCAAGTTTGTTTACATGTTTGAATATTTATTTGTTTGCCTGATCGAAAATTGTGATATGTTCGACTCTATCTGGAAAGCTGTAAAATGGTATGCAGGTAGAGAATAATTTTTTAATGCAGACAGACTGTTGATCACAAATTTATTTAAAGACGTTAATTAATTAATTGATTTATTCATATGCAGATTTACCCATTTTTTTAAAAAATATTTGAAAAGCCACTAGACTCGGCGGGACCGTGACGTCACAGGTTTTTGTTTACTCTTTAGTACAATAAAATGGCGGCGTCTATCGAAGAAAATTGTGTTCCCATTCACAAGTTTAACGCGTTCTAAATCTAATTTTCTGTCGGTCATAACTTTAACAATACGTCCGTTTTCTGTATTTATTACGTTCCAACACTTATATCAATGTTCAACTGTCTTTTTCATTTAGTTTTACAATAAATTTCTCTAGATCTAAAGATCAGCTATCGAAGGAAATTTATGAATCTAGCCTAGATCTAGATCTAGATCTAGCCTAGATGTAGGTCACTAGGTTTCTATGTAAATTCTAGATCTAGACTTAATGTAAATTCTACATCTAGAATCTATTTCAGCCTTAATTATTTTATATAAATCTTTGTTTGGCTTATTTAAGATAAAATTTAATTTGAAAGTTAGTACTACTAGACTTATTTTTAGATCTAGATCTAGAATCTATACGCCGTAAATCAAGTTGCATAAGGAGATACATAGTATAGTATAAAAATTCACTTGTGACGTCACGAGTAAATAGCTAAAATGGTAGCGTAGTCAGCTCTCACGCTGGAGGCACGGGTTCTAGACCAATATGTCAATGAAATTTTTTTTTTCAATTTTTTTTTTTTTAGATGTGAATGATAACGTTGCCTATCTGAACTTGGCAAGATACAGGGCAGGTGAAGTAGAGTTCATCTGTTTCTTTGTCCTAAGCATATGAAAGGATAGTGTGGTCAGATACATGCTCGGCTGGAATTGTTTTTTAAACGATAAAAACATGTTGTCTGAGACTTGGCAGGACACTGGGCAGGTGAAGTAGAGTTGAGTAGGTCACCTGTGACGTCAGTTTATGAAGGGATAGTCCGAAATCGGTGTTTTCGGTGTTTTTAAAAGATAAAAAAACATATATTTGAATGTGGGGTCTGTTTTTTGTGACGATAAGTGACACTGCAGTAGCGTACCGAGGAGGGGGGGGGGGACGGTAGGGGAGGCGGGGGGTGGGGAGGGGAGGCGGGGGGTGGGGGGGGGGGGAAGGGGAGGCGGGGGGTGGGGAGGGGAAGGG